GTAGTTATTAGTATACATATCTTTTACACACTGTAATGCGTATGAATGATAACAAAAGTAAGACGTCCATATAAACATACTTTATTGAAAGAGGTAAAAGTACACTGCTAAGAAAGTACATTGTATTTCTTATACTTTCATTTTAATTCCCTCCAATCAAGATTTTAAAGCAGCTTCACTCCATTAGTCCATGTTTGTTGCTTTTTGTCACTGTTTCTACTTTGTCTTTATCATTATCATAACGTAGCGCTACAACACTGGGTGGGTCTTCGCTAACTACAAATTTTCTCCAAGTTGATCGATTTTCCACGAATCTGTAATCAACTGAAATGTTATTTTTTTTAGATATGGCATTTTCTGTGCTAACTTCCTTTCATACCAGTTTTATAAGTTTGACATCTTGGCGTCTATGCATGTGTCCGATCTACCTTAAGGGATTTATTTTCCGGAACAATATCGTTATAAGAGCTTTCTTTATTTAGTATGTGTTCTTATTCTATGCAGATTTGTAGCGATATGATAATGAGGTTAAAAAATGTGTATTATTTTTCTTTCAAATATTCGTAATTCTTCCTTACTTGTTTTACTCATTGTCCATGATTCGCATCCATGTATTAAAATAAGTCTAAAGTTTAAATTATTCTCTGTATTTTTTAGTGGCATTATTATTAACCGTGATAATTTATCTTATTAGATATTTAAAGTGTTCCATATTTTGGAAATTGTGATTGTTAACTTTAATATTTTATCTAGATTTATTGAATTGGTCTCTTTTGTTGATTCGCTTGTATCTGGTTTTCATTTCGTTGATTTTAAGTGAAAAATTTTTCGTGCTCTCTTCACTTTATTGAAGATGTTTGCGGACGAGAGAGTTTCTTATGAGATCTATATCATTAGCAGGAGTGCTTTGTACCTTGGGCCGGTAATGGATTACGTCTTAAATAGGCGATATTTCTATTTTAGTAGGCTGTTTATTAATTTTTTGACTATTTGAAACGGTCCTGCAAGTGACAACAGTAGGTTCATTTAATTTCGCTTCGTAATAAACTTAAAATTATTCGGGAATTACAAGTTAGAAAATTCAACCGAGTTCAAAAATAAGTATCAAAAGTTAAGTGCATACAGGTGATAGTAGTTAATAAAGAAAATACCATCAGACAAGTAAGATAGAACTATTTTATTAATAATTTTAACAAGTCTTAAGTAAATGAATAATTGAGTGAAAGATTAAAAAAGTGGTTTTGGCGAATGTTCGAAGGGTCGACCTGCTTAGGCATTCCTACGCGTTTTTTGTTTTTTTTTTGGCAGATACGAAAGTAATTAGTGCTGACAAGAAATTATTGATCAAAATAAAAGCCACATAATTTTATTACAAAAATCCAGATCTGGCCTTAAAATAGATTTGATTAAAGTTGGGATTAGAATTAAATTAAATTAAAATAATAAATTAAAAGTAAATGTAATACAATAACTAAATCGAATGAACAGCAAAAGAAATAAGCCAGAACACGATAACTTATTCGACGAGGAGGAAGCCATCAAAAAAAGCAAAGCCACGTTAAGAACATCTCCAAAGGATAACATAAAAAATCGCGAAATGGAAGAACTAAAGAAACTACAAGAAGAAATAAATAAGGAGATTAAAACGGAAATAAAAGAGCTGAAAACAGAAATGAAGGAAGAAAATAAGGAGATGAGAAGATATATAAATAAAGTTAAAGAAGAGATAAAACAAAATAACGAAAAAATAAAAAGCATAAAACTGGAAATAGAAAGGGTGAAGGAAGAATGGACAAAAGAGAAAGAAGAACTGAAAAGAGAAAACGAACTAACCAAAACGATAACAAAAAGATAACGGAAGAATTAAATGATCTAAAACGCTCATTAGAAAGGTTAGACAAAGAAAAAAGAATATAATCATCAGTGGATCAAAAATAGACTCTGAAGACTCAAAAACATTGAAAGAGGGAATGACTACTATATTAGAAAATCATCTTGGAGTTAAAACCAATATTAAAAGAGCACAAAAAATAGGAACAAAAACATGCTTAATTGAACTTGAAAGCGAAGAAGAAAAAACAACAATCTTAAGAAACAAATACAAACTTAAGAATGTGAAGATCGAAAAAATATGGATTACAGAGGACCTCACAAAAGGAGAGAGAGAGAAAATGGAAGCTTTAAGAGATAAAGCAAGAGAAATAAGGGAAATGGAAAAATGGTCAAAATAGGATACAATAAAATCACAGTGGACGGCAAGGAATGGAGATGGTGCTATAAAGAAGAAAAGGTGTTGGAAATAGCGTGTTCAAAAAACTACCAGAGCAACATAAAAAGAACCAAGGAGAGGCCAAGCAACGAGTAGAGAAAGAAGAATTACTAAATAGAAATTAGAAATAATAAAAATAGATTATAAATCAATTTTAAGCCAAACCCCGGAAATGTCCCTAATAGAGACGCTTTCACAAATCTGAAGATATACCTGAACCAATAGTGTCATCCTTAAACTCTGGACTTGCTATAAATACCTTGAAGATAGTTTCTATCACAGAACTTTGTTTAAAACCAAGTGGCAACCTAGAACCAGAAAAATAATATTCTCCGCAAACTTGTCAGCTCAAAATAGGAAGCACATTCTTCCACCCTTAAAACGTAGACTTAAACTCTATGCTTATGCTGCCATATATACCTTGCTAGTATGGGTGATAAAAACACATACTTAACACGTAAGTATATTTAGCTATAAATTAGTCAGTCATCAGATCATCACATCTGCAAAATATACAAAAAAAATATAAGCTGTTCCTCGCCATCTCAACCCTCGAAAGGAACTTCCTTATGGTTGTTATCTTCCTTAAATTTGCCTGGAGGACTCTTGCCTGCAAACACCGGTTAACCTGTGTGAATGTGGGGTGGTATAAGATTCATCACACTTTCTTAGTTGACTTTTCCATTCAAATCGCTCTTTTCTGAAGGGACAAGGTTTATTTATTTGAACTAAACATGTTAAGTATAGCCAGTAAGCTTTTACTTATAAAGATCATTGCAAATTTGAAACCAACTCCACTTGTATTGATAACATATTACCCTAAATAGAAAATAAAACATTCAGAAGTATGTAATATTGGAGAAGTGGTATAATGCTTGTTAGATAAATTCTTTCTTTTTTTGTGCACTACTACCCATTCTTACACAAAAATATCTATTTTAGCACTTAAATATTTATTTTGAGATAACCTTTTATCCAAACTTATATGTAGTACATAGATAAAACCAGAAATAAAATAATAAAAAGCTGTATACAAGATATCATAAAACAATGGATGAAATAAAAGAAGTTCTTATTCATCGGATTCTTAAATAAAACTTATGAAGACATATTCACGTTAACAAAATACATTAGGAAATTTCCGCATATGAAACAAAATCCAATTTGGTAATGAAATCCTTTTGTATCTATAAAGCTATTTTTAGAGAACTCGTACCTACCAAAAACAGGTAGTTAATAGTATACATATCTGTTACACACTGCAATGCGTATGAATGATAACAAAACTAAGGAGTCCATATAAACCGTCCAGACTTTACGCGAGAATTATACATCTTATAGCAGAGTTGCCAAACTATCAGAGCTTACTTAAACCGATATACATATGGTTCCAATATACACTGAAAAAGATCTGAACGACCCCTATAATATATACACGTGAACTAAGCGATATACATTTATGATACAGGGATAATTATGGGCTCCAAAATTTTTTTAAAAATTATGAAACTATACATGTTGACGAATCGACAGAGCCAATATTATGGAATGGTCAAGTGAGCTCCGTATATCGGTGTCCACTTGACCACGGAGCTCACCTGAACCTGAATTTTAACATGGGCGGAGTTTACTTTATGCCGTAAATATATATATATATATATATATATATATGTATATATATGTATATATATGATATATATATATATATATATATATATATATATATATATATATATATATATATGTATATATATGTAAAAGTGTAGGTGAAAGACCACATCCCTGTTTGAGGCCTTTTGTTGCGGTGATTGTTTTTGTTATTTCATTACCTAACTTTATTTGCACTTGTGTTTCTTTATACAGTCTTTGTGTTATATTCACCCATTTTTCTTAAACTCGCATTCTTCTCATTGCTTCCCATAGTTGTTTCCTGGGCACGCTATCGTATGCTTTCTCTAAGTCGATAAAGGTCATATGTGTTTCAATGTTTTTTTCTTTGTTCTTTTGAATCACCTGTCTCATAATGAATATATATCTAAACATGATCTGGCTTTTCTGAACCAGGCTTGTTCTTCGCTATAATGGTCCATGTGTTGTTCTAGTTTTTCTTTTATAACTGATGAAAAGATTCTTGCTATTGAAGGCATTACACTGATCCCTCTGTAGTTATTTGGTGACTTTTTTGAAAATGGAGGACATGTACTCATCGGGAATCTTCTCTTCTGCTTCGATTTTATTGAACAACATTCGTATAAAGGATGATATCCTTACGCCTCCATATTTCAGCAGTTCCCTTTTTATGTTCCCTGGTCCTGGTGCTTTATTGTTTTTGGATTTCTTTAGTGCTTTATTTATATCTTCCTCTGTGATTTTTGCTTCCTCAGTTATTATTGTCACAGGGTCGTATGAGATATACCCCCGCCTATTCTCCTGCAATAGTTTTGTGTAATGCTTTGTTCACTCTTTTGATGTAATTATCTGTATGGTATTTTTACTTCGTTTATCTGATAAAATCAATTAGATAATATAAATGAGTAACAATGAGTTGAATAATAACATTAGACGCAAATTCTGTTACGCAATTTGTGTACTGTCTATAAAATAATAGTTATATATTCTTATAGCTAATAAATTGATTTTATTTGTTAATTTTTGAGTTAATAAAGCTTTAATACATATTTATACCTATTTCGCTATATTACATAACTAATGGCAATTATTCTTTTATCAGCAAAACTTAAAAGACTCGCCCAAATGTGGCTATGACATGATGGTCGATATCCAATGTAGAACTGTAAAAGGAGGTTTCTCTGCTAGTGAAGTTTCTAAGGACACAGGCTTGGATATAGAATGCTCACTTGACAATGGACTTGTCTGTAAATCACCTGGAGACGAAAAAGAATGTCCAGACTTTGAAGTACGAGTAAGATGTCAGTGCGGTAAGTGTAATTGATATGGTTTTCACTTCTTTCAGTCAATTTTTAAACTTTTTATATATGATTACTTAATTATATAAATTCAATAATTTCTGATCGTTTTGTTGATTTGTGCAGAAGGTACCACCACGACAACAACAAGAGTGACTACCAAAACAACGAGCAAATCTCTTCCAACGGAAGTTACGGAAGAAGAAACAACATCAACAACAAGGAGAACTAGACCAACAAAAGGAACTAACAAACCTACTGAAACCACTGAACCTGAAGTGGAATGTACAACTGGCTGGACTAGTTGGATTAACCAAGATGTTCCAATCACTGAAGGTGAACTCAAAGAAACAGACATTGAACCAGTTCCTTCAACATCTGTTCTTGTAAGTACATTGTTATTATTTTAATTACACAAAATACCTATATATGTATAAAAATATCCGAAAACACAAAGTCGACTCAATCTGACAAAATCGGTAGAATAATATAAAGGAGTCACAATGAGTTGGATAATCACATTAAACGCATACCCTGTTACGCTCTTTGTTTACTGTCTATAAAATACTAGTTTTACCCTGTTATAAAGTATCAATTAGTGTTATTTGTTAATTTTGAGTAAATAAAGATTTTTTACAAATATTATTATTTCGCTGTAACACGTAACTTATGCTAACTTTCTTTTATCAGGAATACTTAAAAGACTCACCCAAATGTGGTTATGATATGATGGTCGATATCCAATGTAGAACTGTAAAAGGAGGTTTCTCTGCTAGTGAAGTTTCTAAGGACACAGGTCTGGATATAGAATGCTCACTTGAAAATGGACTTGTCTGTAAATCACCTGGAGACGAAAAAGAATGTCCAGACTTTGAAGTACGAGTAAGATGTCAGTGCGGTAAGTGTTATTGACATGGTTTTAAATTCACTCAGTCAATTTTTAAAAGTCTTATATATATTTAATTAACTATATAAATTCCATAATCTCTAATCGTTTTATTGATTTGTGCAGAAGGTACCACCACGACAACGACAAGAGTGACTACCAAAACAACGAGCAAATCCCTTCCAACGGAAGTTACGGAAGAAGAAACAACATCAACAACAAGGAGAACTAGACCAACAGAAGGAACTAACAAACCTACCGAAACAACTGAACCTGAAGTGGAGTGTACAACTGGCTGGACTAGTTGGATTAACCAAGATGTTCCAATCAGTGAAGGTGAACTCAAAGAAACAGATATTGAACCAGTTCCTTCAACATCTGTTCTTGTAAGTTTATTCTTATTCTTCTAATTACACAAAATATCTAGATATGTATAAAAATATCCGAACGCACAATGTCTACTTAATCTGATAAAATTAGTTGGATAATACAAAGGAGTAACAATCAGTTGATTAATAACATTAGACGCAAACCCTGTTACGTTATTTATGTACTATCTATAAAATAATAGTTTTATCCTCTTATAACGTATAAGTAATTAGCGTTATTTGTTCATTTTTAAGTAAATAAAGATTTAATGCATATTTATTTATATTTCGCTATAATACGTAACTTATGGTAATATTTCTTTTATCAGCAATACTTAAAAGACTCACCCAAATGTGGTTATGATATGATGGTCGATATCCAATGTAGAACTGTGAAAGGAGGTTTCTCTGCTAGTGAAGTTTCTAGGAATACAGGTTTGGATATAGAATGTTCACTTGAAAATGGACTTGTTTGCAAATCCCCCGGAGGCGAAAAAGCATGTCCAGATTTTGAAGTACGAGTAAGATGTCAATGCGGTAAGTGACATACCTATCAATTAATTCAATTAATTTTAAAAATCTCAAATATGTAAAATTATATAAATTCAATAATATTTAACCATTTTTTTTTAATTTTTACAGAAGGTACCACCACGACAACGACAAGAGTGACTACCAAAACAACAAGCAAATCTCTTCCAACCGAAGTTACGGAAGAAGAAACAACATCAACAACAAGAAGAACACAGCCAACAACAAAACTTTTACCAACAGAAACAACAGAGGAGGAAACTGTTACAACGAAAAGAACTAGGCCAACAGAAGGAACTAACAAACCTACTGAAACAACGGAACCAGAGGTAGAATGTACAACTGGCTGGACCTCTTGGATTAACCAAGATGTTCCTGTGCATGAAGATGAATTGAGGGAAAAGGATATTGAACCAGTACCTACCACTTCAGTACTTGTAAGTGCTAACAAATTAAGATTCCTTTGATTTAATTTTTTTTTATAAAAATTGCCAAAGTAAATATCTACATATACCCCTTAATATAATGTTATTAATATAGCTAATATAGTCATAATTTCCCATTTCAGCAACAATTAAAGGATTCTCCAAAATGTGACTCTGACATGGTTGTTGATATTCAATGTAGAACTGTTAAGGATGATAAATCTGCCTATTTGGTTGCTCAAGAGACCGGTCTAGATATTAAATGCTCTCTTGAGGAAGGTTTAGTCTGTAATTCATCTGGAAATGGTTTGCTATGTCCAGATTTTGAAGTACGAGTGAAATGTCAATGTGGTGAGTAAATAAAATCCCTTTTACATTAGGTAATTAGAACTTTCATATATCTACTAATTTTATTTTATTATAGAACCAACAACAACATCAAGGGTCACTAGACCTACAACTAAAGTTGTTCCAACAGAAACAACTGAAGAAGAAACTACTGGAACTACAAGAAGAGTAACATCTAGACCCAGAAGCACTGTTGCAGAAACTGAAACTACAGAAACTGAAGTCGGTTGTCAAACTGGCTGGACTTCTTGGATTAACCAAGATGTTCCAAGAAACGAGAATGAATTGAGAGAACAAGATATTGAACCAGTTCCTACTACTGAAATACTTGTAAGTAAACCCTAAACTCACATTTTAAATTTTCGTAATAAGTTATATATTTTTCGGTAAATTAAATATCTACTTATACTTCTTCATCTAATTGTTCTAACATAGCTAATATAGTCATAATTTCCAATTTCAGCAACATTTGAAGGATTCTCCGAAATGTGACTCCGACATGGTTGTTGATATTCAATGTAGAACTGTTAAGGATGGTAAATCGGCCTATTTGGTTGCTAAAGAGACCGGTCTAAATATTCAATGCTCTCTTGAAGAAGGTTTAGTTTGTAAGTCATCTGGAAATAGTTCACTATGTCCAGATTTTGAAGTTCGAGTGAAATGTCAATGTGGTAAGTAAATAAAATCTCTTTTACATTTGTTAATTAGAATTTTCGTATATCTACTAATTTTATTTTATTATAGAACCAACAACAACATCAAGGGTCACTAGACCTACAACTAAAGTTCTTCCAACAGAAACAACTGAAGAAGAAACCACTGGAACTACGAGAAGAGTAACATCCAGACCCACAAGCACTGTTGCAGAAACTGAAACTACAGAAACTGAAGTCGGATGTCAAACGGGCTGGACTTCTTGGATTAATCAAGATGTTCCAAGAAACGAGAATGAATTGAGAGAGGAAGATATTGAACCAGTTCCTTCTACTGAAATACTTGTAAGTAAATTCTAAACTGACATTTTAAATTTACATAATAAATTATATATTTCTTGATAAAGTAAATATCTACCTATAGTTCTTCATTTTACTGTTCTAACATAGCTAACATAGTCATAATTTCAAATTTCAGCAACATTTGAAGGATTCTCCAAAATGTGACTCTGACATGGTTGTTGATATTCAATGTAGAACTGTTAAAGATGGTAAATCGGCCTATAAGGTTGCTAAAGAGACCGGTCTAGATATTCAATGCTCTCTTGAAGAAGGTTTAGTTTGTAAATCATCTGGAAATGAAACACTATGTCCAGATTTTGAAGTACGAGTGAAATGTCAATGTGGTGAGTAAACAAAATCACTTTAACATTTGTTAATTAGAATTTTTATATATCTACTAACTTTATTTTATTATAGAACCAACAACAACATCAAGGGTCACTAGACCTACAACTAAAGTTCTTCCGACAGAAACAACAGAAGAAGAAACTACTGGAACTACAAGAAGAGTAACATCTAGACCCACAAGCACTGTTGCAGAAACTGAAACTACAGAAAATGAAGTCGGTTGTCAAACTGGCTGGACTTCTTGGATTAATCAAGATGTTCCAAGAAACGAGGGTGAATTGAGAGAGGAAGATATTGAACCAGTTCCTTCTACTGAAATACTTGTAAGTAAACTCTAAACTCACATTTTAAATTTTCATAATAAATTATAAAATATTTCTTGATAAATTAAATATCTACCTATACATCTTCATCTTACTGTTCTAACATAGATAACATAGTCATAATTTCAAATTTCAGCAACATTTGAAGGATTCTCCGAAATGTGACTCCGACATGGTTGTTGATATTCAATGTAGAACTGTTAAGGATGATAAATCTGCCTATTTGGTTGCCCAAGAGACCGGTCTAGATATTAAATGCTCTCTTGAAGAAGGTTTAGTTTGTAAATCATCTGGAAATGATACACTATGTCCAGATTTTGAAGTACGAGTGAAATGTCAATGTGGTGAGTAAACAAAATCCCCTTAACATCTGTTAATTAGAATTTTCATATATCTACCAATTTTGTTCTATTATAGAACCAACAACAACATCAAGGGTCACTAGACCTACAACTAAAGTTCTTCCAACAGAAACAACTGAAGAAGAAACCACTGGAACTACGAGAAGAGTAACATCTAGACCCACAAGCACTGTTGCAGAAACTGAAACTACAGAAAGTGAAGTTGGATGTCAAACTGGCTGGACTTCTTGGATTAACCAAGATGTTCCAAGAAACGAGGAAGAATTGAGAGAACAAGATATTGAACCAGTTCCTTCTACTGAAATACTTGTAAGTAATTTATTTTTATTCTAAACCCTCATTTTAAAGATTAAAGGCATAATTGATTAGTAACGAGTTTTACGAAAAATTAAATAGCTACGTATACTTCTCCATTAAACTGTTGTAATATAGCTAATGTAGTCATAATTTCTAATTTCAGCAACATTTGAAGGATTCTCCGAAATGTGACTCTGACATGGTTGTTGATATTCAATGTAGAACTGTTAAGGATGGTAAATCGGCTTATAAGGTGGCCCAAGAGACTGGTTTAGATATTCAATGCTCTCTTGAAGAAGGTTTAGTTTGTAAATCATCTGGAAATGATTCACTATGTCCAGATTTTGAAGTTCGAGTGAAATGTCAATGTGGTGAGTAAATAAACTCCCTTTTAAATTTGTTAAATAGAATTTTCGTATATCTAATAATTTTATTTTATTATAGAACCAACAACAACATCAAGGGTCACCAGACCTACAACTAAAGTTCTTCCAACAGAAACAACTGAAGAAGAAACTACTGGAACTACAAGAAGAGTAACATCTAGACCCACAAGCACTGTTGCAGAAACTGAAACTACAGAAAGTGAAGTCGGTTGTCAAACTGGCTGGACTTCTTGGATTAACCAAGATGTTCCAAGAAACGAGGATGAATTGAGAGAACAAGATATCGAACCAGTTCCTTCTACTGAAATACTTGTAAGTAATTTATTTTTATCCTAAATGCATATTTTAATGATTTAGAACATAACTGATCAGTAACAAACTTTACGAAAAATTAAATATCTACGTATACTTCTTTATTTACCTTTTATAACATCGCTAATGTAGTCATAATTTCCAATTTCAGCAACATTTGAAGGATTCTCCAAAATGTGACTCTGACATGGTTGTTGATATTCAATGTAGAACTGTTAAAGGTGGTGAATCGGCCTATAAGGTTGCTCAAGAGACCGGTCTAGATATTCAATGCTCTCTAGAAGATGGTTTAGTCTGTAACTCATCTGGAAATGGTTCACTTTGTCCAGATTTTGAAGTACGAGTGAAATGCCAATGTGGTAAGTAAATAAAATCCCTTTTACATTTATTAATTAGAATTTTTATATGTCTACTAATTTTATTTTATTATAGAACCAACAACAACATCAAGGGTCACTAGACCTACAACTAAAGTTGTTCCAACAGAAACAACTGAAGAAGAAACCACTGGAACTACGAAAAGAGTAACATCTAGACCCACAAGCACTGTTTCAGAAACTGAAACTACAGAAAGCGAATTCGGTTGTCAAACTGGCTGGACTTCTTGGATTAACCAAGATGTTCCAAGAAACGAGGATGAATTGAGAGAAGAAGATATTGAACCAGTTCCTTCTACTGAAATACTTGTAAGTAATTTATTTCTATACCAGATGCATATTTTAAAGGATTTCGTTTTTTTCTTTCTAGCAATATTTGAAAGATTCGCCTAAATGTGAGTCCAACATGATGGTAGATATTCAATGCAGAACTGTGAAAGATCTAGAATCAGCCTACAAAGTTGCTCAAGAAACTGGATTGGACATTGAGTGCTCTCTTGAAAGAGGTTTAATTTGTAAATCTTCAGGAAATGAATCCAAATGCCCAGACTTTGAAGTGAGGGTAAAATGCCAGTGTGGTAAGTAGAGTGTTTTATAGATTCGGTACATTTTATGTTCAGTGTTAACATTTTAATATTTTTTAGAACCAACTACAATCACCAAAACCACTTTAAGACCCACAACACAGGCAACACATCCAACCGAAGTAACTGAAGGCGAAGTCACTACCACCAAGTTAACTACCAGACCCACAATGGAAACAGCACCTACAGAAATTACTGAAGAAGTTACAACAACGACCAGAAAAGTAATCACCACAAGCCACGTGACTTCACAACCTACAGAAACCACTGTTGAAGAAGAAGTTAATTGCAAGACTGGTTGGACTCCATGGATTAATCAGGACCTTCCATCAAATGAAAACGAATTAAGAGAAGAAGACGTAGAGCCTGTACCTACACCCTCAATAATGGTTAGCAAATATGAAATATTTATGATCGATTTATTTATTAAATAATTCTTACTTTTATAGAAATATCTGAAGGATTCGCCTAAATGTGGCATCGATAAAATTGTCGCTATTCAATGTAGAACTGTTAAAGGAGGATTCTCTGCAGAAAATATTGCTAAGGAAACTGGTCTTGATATCGAATGTTCTTTAGAAAACGGATTGATCTGTAAAGCTACTGGAAAAGATAATCTCTGCCCAGATTTTGAAACACGTGTCAAATGTCAATGCGGTAAGTAAATTTATAATTACAAAATATGTTCAAAAACGAAAAAATTATTCGGTTATTTTTACTCTATTTTGTTTATAGAATCTGTCACAACTACTACAGCAGTAACCAGACCTACTAGCAAAACTGCTCCAACAGAAGTTACAGAAGAAGAAACTACCGGTACAACAACCACTCCTAAACCAACCACTGTAGAAGAACGTACTACTACAGCTACACCAATGGAACTTAACAAATCAACTACAACTGTAGCCCCCAAAGTAACAACTGAAGGAGAACTTACTTGTCAACCAGGCTGGTCCACATGGATCAACCAAGAAGTTCTTCCAAAGGATGAATTAACAGAAGAAGATAGGGAACCTGTACCATCTACTGAAGTACTCGTAAGTATACTGAAAGTTTTAACAAGCATTTGTTTGTAAATGCATTTTTTAGTTGATTATAATAATACAATATTAACGTAACCTATTAAATATATTAAAAAATACTTTTTTATAGAAAAACTTGGAAAATTCACCAAAATGTGATAGGGATATGGTTGTTGACATTCAGTGTAGAACAGTTAGAAATGGTGTATTATCCTACATAGTAGCTCAGAGTACTGGTCTAGATATCGAATGCTCTCTGCAACATGGTTTGGTTTGCAAAGCTACTGAAAATAGCATTACCTTGTGTCCAGACTTTGAAGTACGCGTGAAATGTCAATGTGGTAAGTTAGTTTTATTTTTCACTGTTAAATATAGGTTTATTAATATTTAATTAAGTAATACTCCAGTCGACAGAGACGAAAATGCCACTGAACCTCTAAAAAGCATACGAACAAGCTAAATTTTGCTCTCTTAGAAACAAAGCTTAAAACTACCAACAATCTTGAATGTCAGTTACGAAAATTTACATCTACTTGACGGTTAAACTTCGATATGTTTTGATAAAAGTATTCTCTCGACAAAAATCAAAATGCGTTTTAAAGGTGAAGAACGCAGGTTTCGTATGCAATTTTTGCATGATTATTACATTTATTTTTTGATTCAAATAAAGTCCGTTTCTATAAAGCTGTTAAATAAATAAACATTGCTTTTTTGAAGATTCTCATAAGATCAATCAAATTTATTACTTCCATTGAACAATCACTATGGAATTTCCATTGTTTGAGCCTAATCTTGTAACTAATATTTTGCCAACCACATAAGATATTACTATAAAGGGTTGAAAATTGGAGACAGAAATTATTGGGGTGGAGATAGGGCAAGCAAAATAAATCGAAACTTATGCAAACGGCCACTCAGGGTTTATTTGGGGAGCTTGGAAAGGCTCTTCCTTCCTAAAAAAACACAAAAGGGGTTATAAACTTTTTTAACAAAAGAAATAAACAAATTGTTTTAGGAAAAACAATAAACATTTATTACTGTCCCACCACAAACAGCTACAAAGTAAATAGTACAAAAATACTATATTATTAGTTACAAAAGTAAATACAAAATAATAAAAACTGAGACTTTACGTTGAGTATAAATCACTTTTTCTAACAAATTTTGCCGGTTTTTTTAAACTATACACACTGACGTCTGCTTTCCATGACCAATGAATCAAACCTCACCTAAAACTGCTCACTACATATTTTCCATGAAAAAGAACGAAAAACGAGAAAAAATTACAAATTTGACGTAAAATTTTGACTAACACTGAAGCGAACTGTCCCTGACAGCGACCTCAGCGAGAGTGATGTAATTCTTAAAAAATTATTCGCTTCCCCGCATAACCTTCTCAGCGATCTAAGTGGATGAACGATCAAAGAAAATACCAAAAAATATGCGTCTGTGATACATTAACAAATTGTAAAATGTGTTTATAACAACTCGGCGACGCAAAAAGCATTGAAATAATTCCTGGGTTTTTATAACACAGGAGGAAATTTAAATATATACCAAGGAATTGAAAAATGCTATAATCTCTATAGCATGAAATTTCGATTTTGAGTTTTGGCGACAAATATGAAGCATTTAAATAATATAAAATATACATCGTGTCGGCAGAAAACGAATATTATATAGCATATAAAGAACAAATAAAATTATCATTACTAGAATGATTGCCTAAATTCGATAGCGGAGAGAAACTAGAATAGTTGGCGACCATTTATGCAGAAAAACGTAGATGTTACAACAATCACATATATTTTTTATGAATAAAATTCTTTCCTTTACACTAATACAAAAGCTGTTCCACACGAACCATGGTAAAATTTAAACCAATGATGCCACTTACAGAACAAGAAAATATAAACTAGGAGTTACAATAAAATAGGAAAAGTGATTGAACTTAAGTATTTGGAAAACAAAATTTACTTTCCAATATTTCCAGCCCTTTTTATATTTTTTAAATATTACAAATACTTCAACATTGGCTAAAATTTCCAAACCAAGGTCAAAAAACAAAAAAAAATTACTTCAATGTTTTGTTTCTTCATAGTTCTATTTTTTTGCATTTTTTTCCATTTATTATATTTATTAATCATTTATATTGGTATATTAATTTATAACTATTTTACATCTCTCCACGTTCTATTATTTCAGAATTCACCACAACTGCTACACCACCAACAGAGTTATCAGAAATAACTGAACCTCCATTCGTTACCAAGAAAAAGACCACTGCTGGTGTATACACCACACCTTCAACTACACTCAGTGAAGTCACCGAAGAATTCGTAACCAAAAAAGAACGTACCGATGCTCAAACGCCTGGAACTGTTACTACACCCGCTGGAACATCTTATGCAACTCCAAGCGTTACACCACCAAGTGAATGTGCTAAAGACAGGTAGAGTTTTTACTTACATAATTGTCCTCATACATACTTTACTCTTTTCTTGTTATAAAATGAATTGCAATATTCTCTTTATGGTTTCCATGTTCGTAACGTTTGCGGCCATATTAAACCGTTATGTTTTATGAAGTGATTATTCCGAATTAAATTTGTTCTGTAAATACAAAAGGATCTCATTTTGTCCATCTCTACTGTTTTCATTCACTTTTGAAATATTTCATACACTTTTGTCTTGTATGATTATGTTTCTAATTGCAGAACCTTAATCTTTTCATTTTCATGCACTTAGTACTCTGTAATTGTCAGTAGTTTAAACGTTTTTGGCTTCCTGAAACTATTTATCTATTTACTTTTCCCGAAACTCGGCTTAGATTTGTACTGGTTGTACTATTACAGCGAATTGGCTAATTATATATTTTCCTTTTATTCTTGGTACCTATTACAGAATTCTTAAACACTGTACAAAGTACCTACAAACATTGCACAGATCTAGTCGATAAGTATATCATAATATATTTGTGAAATTAGTTGTAGTCTTCAAAAAGTGCTTGCTACCTTCGATCTAATACCTAAATCAGTGTAGAGTTATATACAACAAAGTCTACAAATTCATGAAATACAAAGTGTCTTATAAAACTGCCTGGCGCAGCTATATATGTACTTGACTGACGCATGCCCAGTAAAGGACGGATTGTTCGGTTCGGCGCCAGGACTGTGACGAGACGTGACTGATGTGTCTGAATCGACCTTAAGGATACCTGTTTAGATAATTTCTGCCTGTTTTCCACAATACTTCAATTTTATTATCAGATATCCCTCTAATATAGTTATTTAATTTATACTAGAGTACTTTAGAGACTACATACTTTAGAGATTGTACTTTAAAGGGTACCTAGGAGATCCTAAGAACCATAACCATAACCTCTTGACCATATGTGAATATATTGATCGGCCCAAGTTCAAAACCCTTCCGTCGATGTTTTATAAATATATGCCTGAAATAAAGAGTTATATAGTCCTAGTGCAACAGAAATGCTTACATATTCACCACTACTATAGCTTTTCACAGCCGGCCCTTCTTCATTATAATCGTGGAATGATTTAAACATGGAATATTTGGCCTATATTTGGGTTCCATATGATCAGAAATAATTACCCAAATGGCTTCCTTAATTTCATTTATACCATTGTTGTCCTGATCTAACCATTACATTAGTCGAGGGTTCTCACACTCTATAAGGTCCCATTTTTACCTTCACCTTCACAGATCTAGTTGATGATGTGCCCCCAGAGTCCCTGTAATTAAAAGGTAAATTTTGCACCTTGCATAATTTTAATATAGCGTTTTTTGCTGTCCTCGCTATCTTGGTTTTTTTATGCCTACTCGTGGTAAGGCTACTTTACTTTACTCACGACATTTAAATTTTTACTATTCAGATTTAGATGACTTTATCACTTTAAATTCCTTATTTCGTTAAATTTCCTAATTCTGAACTTCTATGGGCTCATATTAGGATCTAAATCTGAAGTCGATCTTGTTTTATGTTATCATTGACTGTTCATTTAAATTTGCCATAGTCTAAGATGACCACATCATCTGCATAACCCAAAAGAGGTTATTAAATTCGTCTATCAACTCATATATGACCTGATTCCACAAAAGAGGAAATAAGGCTCCATGCTTGGAAAATAAGATTTTTCTAGTATGTTGATAACTTCAATATTTTTGATGGTTTTGACACGTTTCGGAATATTTGCTGCCTAAAATTGTCCTTAATATTGCTAATCTCTACCTCTTATTATGGTAATTATTATCAGTATTTTGGTTTTGTCTATATAGAGTCTATAGTGTATCCTCCTCAAACCTTTTTGTCATTTTGTTTTAATTTGTAGACCTCTTTATAGAAAATCTTAAGAAATTATTAGATATGAGGTTGTAAATATAATTCAAATTGAAGTCTCCCCTCCATTATAAATGCCTCGTATCCAGAAGTTTAACTTTTATTGATAGTGATTCGTATTTTGTGATAGTACATTCTTGTTCGAGCTTCAAAGATACGGAAAGTTTCGATTGCGAGTACAGCAGATATTTTTAATTTTATTTTTATTAGTATCAGTTTCATTTCGTTTCATGATTTTTCACAGAATCTTCATCGTCTACTGTTCTTGTATCTTAATATTCCTTTTTCTTTTTTTTATCAAATATTTCATTTTAGTGTATGTTTAGTTTAATCTTTTAGGCTTTACCATTAATTTTAAGAATTTTGTTGATGGTATTTCTATCTTTAAAAGCGAAATTGTAATTTTGTCCAATACTTTACAATATACATTCCGCAAATATTATTGGCCTCTCCTTATAATGTATATCTCTTTTAGCTTCGTTCCACTTATCCAAGGTGACCTTCCATTACCTGATGAAGCATTCAGTGCTAGCAGCGTTTTAGAAGATATCTTCGCACCAAACAATGCAAGATTGGACAGCGATGTCAGCGAAACTTCTGGTAGGAAATATATTTTCATTGTAAAAGAATTGCAATACAAATCATACTTTTATTTAAGGTGGAAGCTGGGCTCCTAGGTATACGAACGAAAACCAATTCTTAGAAATCGATCTTGGAAGACAAGAACCTGTTTACGGAGTAATTGTTAAGGGAAGTCCATTATACGACGAATATGTTACAAGTTACAGAGTGTTATACAGTCCAGATGGTCATATATTCTACTACGTTTTGGATAAGAATACTAAATTGCCAATAGTAAGTGAATACATTGTTTGTTTTTAACACAATATTTTTAAAAGAAAATATTTATTAATCAGCATCTCTTTTAGATATTCAGAGGTTCTACCGATGCAACGACTGAAGTCAAACAATTCTTCGATGAACCTGTTGAAGCAACGAAGATTCGTATTAATCCAAAAACATGGAATAACGGAATCTCTTTAAGAGTTGAACTTATTGGATGTGGAGAAATGCAAACTTCTACCACTCTAACCGCCAAACCTACTAAACATACCAGGCCAACCCATCGTACCAGAAGACCTACCACTCGCCATTCAACCACCACGACTCACAAACCCACAACCATAATTGTAAGTATTTTCTTAAGATAAAAAAATTTCGGTATCATAGCAAGGAAAAGTCAAACCAGAGTTGCGCAATAAAATGTGACAAAACGGATATCGGATAAACGGAAATTAAAGAATCATTAATAGGCATAATACGAATATTGTTCAATTAAAACCCATGTTTGGCGCAGAAAAAAAAATTATTGGCAAATATATCTACAAATAATTACCACTATAATGAAGGCACATATCTCATTGTTGCACCAGTCATTGTATAGCCTGTTTAAAGAATTCTTGTGCTTGTTGCTTAAAAAATTCTTTTGATGCATTTTTTACTTCTTTATCCGACTAAAAACGATTGTCACTTTTTCAGTCCACCAATCGCACAGAGTGCGAGACTATAGTGCAGAAATCGGGACTATAAGGCGGATGCTCCAATATCTTCCATTTCTTTCATTGTAGATTTTCTTTTACAACTTTGACAACATGAGGGTACATTGTCGTACAGAAAATGACTCCATAACTTCCCATGTTTATCTTATTGCTTGATGAAGCTTGTTCAAAGTTCTACTATATAGGGTTGCGCTGCTATGCACTCTAGGTTCTGTAAATACTATGAGCAAGGTTCCTTCATAGTCGAAAAAAAAGTTAATACGACCTTTTCTGCAAAAGTTTTAACTTTAAGTTCTTTGGTGACGGAGACTTTGCGTGTTTCCATTGCATCAATGACAGCTTACTAGATAGTTCAAAAGAATGACACCACGATTCGTCGCCGGCGATTATTGATGAAAGAAAGTCATTACTGTTTGGATTGTATTCTGTGAGATCTTACAAAGATAAATCCATTCGCAAGCCTTTTTGGTAGGTACTCTAACGAAAGGCGGGAATCCATTGCGCACTAGCTTTGCTGTAACCCAATTTGTATACGATACTATGGGCAAATCCTAATTAATCCTTCTCTAATTAATCCTTCCACACATGTCACATTTCTGTCTTTGGATGTAGTGCTCAATACACCTTATCGCGGCTTATCATTCGTCTCCTCTCTTCCAATCTTAAATTTTCACCATTCCTTGACAGTTAAATCAAAATAATTTAGGAGAGGTAATTAAATGTTATACAGGCAATAGTTTAATAAAGTTTATAAAAATGCTTACCAATATTACTGTTACACTTGCGAACGGGTAGTCACACAAGCAGGTTTCATACGAGATGTTTTCTCGCATTAGTTGATTTGTCTTAAAGTTTTCACGTGTACACATCACTTTCGCTTTTTAACTAGTTAAAAAAGAGAAAAATCGTCTCTACTTCCATAGTAGACGGCAGCCAGAGGGAAAGAGAGAGGGAGAGAGATAGAGAGAAGAAAAAAACCTCTATCTTCTCCGGGAACCAAATTAAGAAAGAGCGATTAAAGAGTCGGATAAAAGTAGGGAGAAGGAATTATTATTAAGGATTGGCCTAAGTAATGATTTGAAATTAGGGTTGGGAATTATAGAAATGATACAGCGAAAAATGTAATATTGTTTCTTGCATGTGAAAAATTGAACACAGTGCTTGCATTCGAATACGAATTTGCAGCATAAAAAAAAATTGAATAAACTCACGCTGATTATATGTGGTCGATGAATTGTTAGTAATAAACGTCATTTTTACAAGGCAGTCAAATACAAAAATGATGACAGATGACAGGAACTGATCAGTGTGACGTTTATAAACATAACTAACATTGCAAAACGTCAATTACGCTATTGCAATTATTTCCAAGGCTAACCTGACCAAAGTTGGATTCTAAATAAACAGACGTACATTTGTATTTAATGAAGTAAGGAGGTAAGCAGATTTACGAAAATATACCTAATAACTTTTATCGACCTATGTCCTTCATATGAAACCGTAAAAACTTGTATTGAAATCTTCCAAGGAAGGTAAATTTGCCATTGAAGATGAGAAGCGATCGGATGTAATATCTAAACACGACTTTAATGTGCACAAAAAAACTAGGTGAAGATGACAGGAATAATATTGCCGAATTCTACCAAAACTGTACTGACGGCCCAGAAATTATGAAATGGGAGGTAGAACACGCTATAAATAATGCTAAAATTAGAAAATCTTGTGCTCCAGATGATATACCAACTATGTTTGCTAAAACTAATAGAAAATGATAACATTAAAGTAGTAGTAAGACTTTTAATTCAATATATAACACCGGAATGATTCCCACAGATTGGCTCAAATCCATCTTTGTCGCAATATCTATAAAACACAATGCGAGACAATTCTCAGAATCTCGATTAATTAGCCTAATGAGCTACACTCTCAAAATTTTTCTAAGAATACTACACAACAGAATTAGACGCAAATGCGAAAAAGATCTTGAAGATACCCAATTTGGTTTTAAAAATGTTATGGGAATCAGGGAGGCACTTTTTGCACTTAACATCCTATGACAGAATAGTCGTGACCAAAGAAAATATGTATTTGCATGTTTCGTGGACTTCGAGAAGACATTCGATAAAGTACATCATGTGAAATTAATGCAAATACTGAAAAAAATATCGTAAAAGATGACAAGAATATTCGTGTCATTCAAAATTCGTACTGGAATCAAACTGTTATCGTAGAAATTGGAGGTAATTACACCGATGAAATCTCTATACAACGAGGAGTCAGACAAGGCTGCATTTTGTCGCCAACATTGTTCAATGTTTACTCGGACCAGTTATTTAAAAAGGCACTTGAGAGACAACCGTATGGAATCAAAATCAACGGGAACTACTTAATGTGATTAGATATGCAGACGATGCAGTAATTCTCAAAATAAACTCATACAAAACCAAAATTTTTGTATTTAGTCGTGACCCACATCCCGATGCAAAGCTTCAATTAAACGAAGTTCAAGTTGAGAAAGCTCACAAAATGACATATTTGGGAACTGTAATAATGGACCAACTAGATCAATACATGAAATAAAACATAGAATAGCAATGACTAAAACTACTTTTATGAAAATGAAGTCATCTCTTTGCAATATCTATCTCAGTTTAGAAGACAAAGAATCATTAAGTGTTATGTTTGGTCTGTACTTTTATATAGTGAAGAAGTATGTACGCTAAAAGTATCGATCATGAACGAAATTGAAGCATTAAAAATGTGGATTCATAGACGAATGCTGAAGAAACCTTGGACAGCAAGAAAAACTAATGAAGAAATACTAAGGAGCGTCAACAAAGATAGAGAACTGCTAAAGACTGTTAAACATCGAAAAATGTCTTATCTGGGACATATAGTAAGTGGAAGTCGATATAAAATATTATAACTGATCCTTAAACGCAAAATAGAGGTGAGTAGAGGTGTAGGAAAAAAACAAGTTTCTTGGTTAAAAAACATTCGTAAATGGACTCAGATATCAAATGCAGGACAATTATTCCATATTGCAGAAGATCGAGAAGATTTCGCAATGGTGATCGCCAACGTCTGATAATTCTGATATGGCACGCGAAGAAGAAGAAACGAAATACTAGTATCGAAAATACTAGTTTTGTGTCATTCTTGGGCCCATGTAATAAGCCCAAATACAAGCATAGGCAATTTCTCTTCATGTATTTATTTGTGTACCATAAATTTTACACCTGAACTCTATAGGGAACTTACAGCTGAACGTCATATCTAAATTACTAAGTGTATAGGAGTTGTCGTAGACACATTACGACTTCGTGGATTGTCAAACCTTAGAAGTGACAACCTAAACATTTAATTTTTGTAGTAGAGGTGTTAATATCTCATACAAAAGCATTTAAATATAACAATTTCTGCAAAATAGATCATCAAATATCTAACTGTTAGCCAGAAGCTTGCAAGAGCATAAGCATCATGTCAGATCCGTGATTTGTTTTAAAAAGATCTAAACTTTCTAATGTTGTTACTATGAATTACACACAGAAAAAACAGCAGTCGAGGAAATGTAGATATTCTGATTCTCCAAAGCCTAAGAAATTTCTTATTTAAAAATATGCTGGAAAAGTTTTTGCTTCGGGAAATTCCTATTCGACGGTACTGACAATGACCACAAGAAAAACAATTTAAAAATCTTCAAGATAAGATACAATAATTTATCCAAAGGTATTTTGTTTTGCATGTTACCATAATATGTTACATATTTTATATAATATTAACAAGTATATCTTGTTCTTATAAAGAAATGTAATACTTCTTATATTTGCATGCATTAAAATAATTCATTATAATTTTAGGTTCATACTACAGTAGCACCACAGATTTGTGACGATCCTCTTGGTCTTACTGATGGCACCCTATCCCTGTCTCAAATTTCAGTAAGTTCTTCTGTCGACGTCAGACATGACAAAGCTAGTCTTAAACTCAACAGTGAATCCGCTTGGCAACCACTTACCAACTCACCTACTGAATGGATAGTGGTAAGTATACGTTAATAATAAAAAACTAAAATGAGCTAATAATTTTGTATTTTGGTATTGTAGGTCGATTTCTTGGAACCAAAAGAATTAACTGGTTTGATCACCAAGGGAGGACCCGATGGTTGGGTTGAAAATTACGTTGTCCAATATTCCCACGACGGAATAAACTGGAACAAAGTTTTGTATCAACAAAAAGAACGACTTTTCCCTGGAAACTACAACAGCAACCTTCCTCAAGTGAACTACTTTGAATTACCAGTCAGGGCTAGATACTTGAAGGTCATTCCTAAGAAATGGAAGAACACAATTCAGATGAGACTTGAAGTACAAGGTTGCTACGTCCCATACCGTAAGTGCAAGTTTTGATGCCAATATTGTTTATCATCATTTCTAATTATATGATTATGTTAATCAAATTTAAACTTTTTGTGGTTTATAATATTTATCTGCATCTATTAAGGAATTTAATTATGTGTATAAGTTGATGAAACTCAAGTATTTTGTGAAAACCAATTAAGCAAAATGAATATACTTACCCTTGTTTTTTAGCTACTACTACACCCAAGGAAGTCACACCATCAACTACTACCACTGCATACGAATGTAACTACTGTCCTGGAGTAATCGATACCAATGTTGAACTTGACGTCTGCAAATGCTTACCAACCAAATACTGGGATGGAAACAGATGTGTTGACAGACCTGAATGTCCTTGTGTAGTTGGTGTTGTCAAGTAAGTATAGCATTTTATATCTGTTTTAAACGAGAACAACAGTTTAACACTAAAGCATTTATCGAAATAGTTCATACAAATTTTCTACAATAAAATCAACAATAAACAATTGCATAGGATACTTTGATAGAAACTGTGAATATTGGATCTAGTGGAATTTATTTCCACCAAGTACAGGGACTAGACAGACCTTTGGAAGATATTCGTAACAATCAAAAACAATTATTTTGGTGGTCTATTTTCAGACTAATCCTTATTTAATAGTTATTCCCCAATTAACTGCTGCGAACGAACTAACGCATGCTTAACAACATCCAATTTGTGGCGGTATATAAAGATGCTCCAATTGACAAATAGCAAGTGAATGTTTTTGCAACAAGATAGTATACAATGGTGTTTTCGAAGCAGTTGTTAAATATTGGACTTGTTGAAATGTTAAAGTCGCCATTTACACCTCGGGTAGTAATGTAGAAAATTGTGATTTGAAAATTAAGTAGACTCTTTATTTATAATAAATATTGTTTCAGATATCCAGTTGGAGCCGTATTTGAAAAGGAGGATTGTTCAGAATGTGTCTGCAAACTTGGTGGAGTTGAATACTGTGAACCTAAGAAATGTCAACCTTGTGGACCGGTAATTGTTGTCTAATTATATCATAAAATAAAATTTTAAGAAATATTTATATCTCAATTTTTATGTCATTAAAAACATACAACTTAAGTTTGCTTTCTATTTTTGCAGGGTATGAGAAGCACTGTAACAGCAACATGTGCCTGTACCTGCAAATTCTGCGAAGAAGGAACAACTCTATGCCCAACGAGTAACATTTGTATCAACTCAACTCTATGGTGCAACGGTGTCGTAGATTGTCCTGATGATGAGGTTAACTGTGCTACAACTACTTCCCCAACTCCTGAAGTAAGTTCAGCTCTTCCAGAAGAGACTACCACACCTGGCGTGGAAACTAGTCCTACACCAAAAGAAGTAACCACTAAACAAACACCCAAACCTACTGAAGCTACAAGACCAACAACAGAAGTTTCTACTGGTAGCCCCGAAGTTTCTACTCCTCAACCTACCGCACAAACAACTCAAAGTACCACAGTTTCTGTATTCACTACCAAAGCTCCAGTGACTACCACCAACAAACCTACTACGCCCAAAGGTAATTAAGTTGTTTCATTTTTAATAAAGTCAATAGCGTTCATAGAAACTATAATATTTATATTTTTGTAGAAGAGTGTATCGAAATAGTATGTCCTCCTGGATTTAAAAGGGTAGAAAAGAAAAAGAACAACAAGAAAACTACCAATAAATATACATCACAAATGATAAGAAACCAAGGCACCAAGGGTGGTACTAAAGGAGGCACCAAAGGAGGTACTAAAGGAGGAAGCCAACCTGTCAAACAACGTAAGCCAAATAAAATTTTTAGTAAATACTAACTTATTAAAAGATTTATAACAGTCTTTATTTTATTTAAAATAGTTTTACTTTAATTATATTTATATTTGGTTATTTCGTTTTAGCACCCAAATGGAAACTACCTTCACCTTCTTACCCAACTAAGGGAGGCAACAACGGCCTCGAACAATTAGTAGAAGACGAATGTAAAGTATACGTTTGTGTACCAGATTTCACTGGTGGAGAAGTTTGTCCTACGGTTGAGTGTCTCTATGGATTAATTTTAGTTCTAGACGAATCTACTGATGAATGTCAAGAATTCCACTGTGAAGTTCCACCTAAACCAGATGCAACATGTAAAGTTACTGGAAAAACTTTCGAAACGTTTGACAACGTTGAATATAAATATGACATATGTAATCATGTGTTGGCTAGAGATTTGGAACACGACGATTGGGAAATATCATGTAAGTATTATATTTTTATAAATAGAAGTAAAATGAAATTTTATAACGTTTATGAAAAAACAGTAACTTAATGCCGAAGTTTTAATTTGTGCTTACAAAAATATGTAGACTTGTTCTGCAATATATTTAGATTATCATCCATCATCATCATCATCATCATCCAGCCTCTATTTATCACGTCCACTGCTGGACATAGGCCTCCCTTAAACTCCTCCATTCCTCACGATTTTGTGCTCTTTGTTGCCAATTTTTAGTGATACGCCTGATGTCGTCGGCCCAACGTGTAGGTGGTCTTCCTCTACTGCGTTTGTCTGCTCTTGGTCTCCAATTTGTAATTTTGCTCGTCCATCGTGAATCGTGCATTCTCGCTACATGGCCTGCCCAGTTCCATTTTAGTTCCGCTATGCGTTCCACAACATCAGTAATGCTCGTCCTTCTTCGCAGATCTTCGTTTCTTATTCGGTCCCTCAACGTCACTCCCAGCATAGACCGTTCCATTCGTCTCTGTGCCACTCTCAGTTTCTCAGATTTTCAAGCCGTGGTCTTGGTTAAAGTCATAGTTTCCGCCCCATAGGTCATGACCGGTAATACGCATTGGTCAAACACTTTTCTTTTGAGGCTGATTGGTATGTTGGCCCTAAGTGTGTCTCGCAGTTTTCCAAAGGCTGCCCATGTTAAAGTAATTCGTCTTTGGATCTCACATGTTTGGTTATCCCTGCTGATTCTTATTTCATGACCCAAATACGTATATTTCTCCACCAGTTCTACCACTTTGTCTTGAATTGTCAAATGGTTATTGGGGACCAAATTTGTCATAAACTTAGTTTTGGTCAAGTTCATTCTCAGGCCCACCTTCGAACATGCAAAATCCAATTCGTTTAACATATCTGTAGCTTCTCCTAAATTATCTGTGATAAGGACAATGTCATCTGCGAAACGGAGATGGTTAAGCTTTTCGCCGTCTATCGTTACTCCTCTGTGGTCCCAATTGATCATCTTAAAGGCATATTGCATAGTGTACATTGTCCAATACCTTTACAAAGAAGTGGATGATAATCTTAGAATATGCCTTTAAGATTATCATCCACTTCTTTGTAAAGGTATTGGACAATGTACACTCAGGTGCTAAAAATCCAATCCACGCATATTTTATAGAGAAGAAATATCTTAGGAGATATCTCGTATAGATTGGACATAGATTTAAGGAGGAACGTTAAATATGAATAAGAAACACAATTTATACAAAAGAATTATTTATTTATAAATATATAATATGACATTATTGTTGGTCTAATTCTTCCCATATTATCTAAAGAGCGGCACTAAGCTCAGGCAAGTTGTTTGAGCGGGGTAGCTGAACTTAAATTTGTCTTCCCAGTGTGTCACATAGATGTTTAATTGAATTGAGATCGGGACTAAAAGCTGGCCAATTCTTACAGACAATATAGACGTCTTCTATTGGCGATTCTAGCACGGTTAGGACGCGCATTATCGTTCATAAAAATAAAATTAGGTCCTATGACTGGTGCAAACGCTACCACATGCTCATCTAATACGGTTGTTATATACCTTGCTCCTATCACAGAGCCTCTATTCCACAAGAACTAAGTCAGTACTTGCATCAGAACTTATACCAGTCCAAACCATAAATGTGCTTCCTCGATGAGTTATTCTGTCGACAACATTGCATTGAGCAAATCGGTATCCTTGTTTTCTGCAGATTCCTTCAAGGCCGACCGGTGATCTTAAGTAAAACCTGGACTCATCCGATAACAAAACATTACTCAAATCTGCGTAATTCCAATTTTCGTGTTTCCTTGCAAAAGCAAGTCGAGCTTTGGTGTATTCCATAAATTCGCTTCATGAAGTCCTCGACGAACTGTTCTTCCACATTTCGGACTTCGGATAGGCGAGTTGCCAGCTCAATTAAACTTTTTTTGTGTGTGTTTTGGCTTGGACAATTGTCATTCAGCCAGTCTCAATCAAGATAAGTTTATTAATGTAGTGTGTGTGTGTGTGTTTGTGTGTGTAGAGTAATTGTCTTGGTACTTAGCAAAGTCGACGTCATTGTCTTTGCTAAGAGACGCTAATTGTATCCGAACGTCTGCGGTCCCTCCGGTGTGTACCAATTAAACTTAGATCTCTAGTTTTTAAACACGAAGCAACCAAAAATCGATCGCTTGCTTGAGATATCACCCTCCTACGGCCTGGTCTTCACCTAGTGTAATTGTGGTTTTGATTGAACCCCTGAATGAGTCTTTGATCAGCACAATTACTTTTCAACATCAGCACCTGGCAACGACAATCTTGCACTAAAGCCACGGTTCTTGCACTATCTGTTGGTGTTTCTATTTCAAATAGTAAAGTAATTTCTATTTCAAATGGGGTTGACAAGTCGTTTTAAATTTTTACTGGTGATAGCATCCTCACCATTGTCACTTTTATCAAACATATGAGTTTTTTTTTAATTTCTAACTTATTCATAGCATTATAAAGACTTGTTCTTAAGACACTGTCATATGCCGCTTTAAAATCGACAAAAACATGATACATATCTATGTTAAACTCTTGCGCTTTTTCGAGGATCTATCGTAGTGTAAAGATCTGGTTAATGGTTGAACATCCACGCCTGAATCCTGCCTGATATTCTCCTAGAATCGTTTCGGCACAAGGCTTCAATATTTCGTGCAAAATGTTTGACAATATCTTGTATGCTGTATTTAAGAGAGTTATTCCGCGGTAATTTTACGTTCCAGTTGGTTTCCCTTTTTGTGTAACAAGAAAATTAAGCCTAAGCTCCATTCTTCAGGCATTTGCTCCTAAGACCAAATTTTACAAACAATTTCTCGCGTCACCTTGGTGAGCTGCTCTCCACCGTGCTTAAATAACTCTGCTGGGATGCCATCGCTGCCTGGGGATTTGTGGTTTTCTTGCCACTTATCGAAATTAGATTGTTGACAAATACAAATTACTAATGTTAGTAAGAAAGTTCATAAAAAAATTCAAATAATGTATAGAAATTATTAATTGTACTTATATGAGGGTTTCTCTAAATTTATATATACTATATAACAAGTCCTAAGTTTTAAAACTCGCAAAAGAAAGTAATACTACAATTCAAAAGGTTAATTAAAAAATCCCAATTATTTCAGTGAGAAAGGCCTGCACAACAACTTGCTCTAGAGACCTAATCATTCAACATGACTGGCAACAATTCATCATCCACCCCGACTTCACTATGGAATACGACGGATACACCTACACCTTGGACCAAGCTATCAAACTAGCTGAAAGACAGGATGACTTCTCACTGCAACAAGTTGGTAACACCGTCTTGTTCACTTCAACCAAATATGGTTTCTGGGTTGTTTGGAATCGCGATGCTGACGTCAAGATTGGAGTTGATCAAGAACTTATCGAAAAGGTAAATAAAGTTAATAGAATAGTAATAATAATACTACAAAACCAGTTCATTAAATGGTTACCATATCAAGCTAACATATAAAGATTGTAGATGGAAAGAATGTCTTCTTTTATAAGCAGAGTATATTTTTACGAATACTTGCGTTCACTTTCATTAGAATTTCCATTTCCTTACTACATTAGCAATTTTGCGCCCCTTCATGTGTCAGTCTTCCAAAATTATGCATTTTTGAAGTGGCTGCATCTTTGAATGTCCTTCATGTAGATCATCTAGGGCATATTCATTGAGTACGAAGAAAAACCCCAAAATTTATAGCCATAGTGCTTTCGACCCTAAGGAATTAAAATTTTTTCTAAATTAAAGTTTTTAAATTATGCTAAGCAAGTTTCTTATGTACATATTATCTCATTTTATTTATTCATTATTTAAATCCAATTATAATTATGTAAAACATATAATTATGCTTCAAACATACAAACCTAGTAAGTATTAAACCACATTTTTGTTATAACCCTAGTCAAACTTTAACTTCTACGTTTGCTTAAATTAAACTAGTAATACTTATTTTAAGGAAAGCATTGATGATGAAATATTTCATTTCGAAAACGTTCTGTATTATTAATATTTTTTAAACAGACAATTGTTATTATATTGTGATGTTTTAGGTTGATGGTTTGTGTGGTTACTTTGATGGCGAGAAAGAAGGAGACAAGAGGAAGCCTGATGGTGGCTTGAGTAAGACTACTGAAGAATTTGGAGATAGTTGGGCCCTATCGCACGACCAACCTCAAATTTGTGAAGCTAGATCTTGCCCAGATGAAAAACAGGACAAGGCATGGCAGATCTGTAACAAAGTCAGGTATGTAGGATATTCATAATCTTGATATTTTTGTTTTTTTTTTTAATAAAGACTTTCAATTTGACTATTATAAATTGTGATTTTTAGGGAGCAATCTCTCGACAAGTGTGGCCATGTATTAGATGTTGAATCGTTCTTATCAAAATGTTTGGAAACAACATGTACTTGCTTAGAACACGCAGTCGAAGACTCTAAAGCAGAAGAATCATGCAAATGTGAAGCTTTACAAAACTTCGTTGTCGAATGTCTTTCCAAAGACCCATCTGTTGATATATCTGATTGGAGAGTAGAACAAAATTGCCGTAAGTAAACAATTACTCTTTTTATTCATATAATTATCGTTAAGCACAATATCGAGTTTTGCAATAACCAAATTTATAATTTTAGCTACTGAATGTGAAGCTCCATTGATCTTCCAAGATTGTTACCAAAGAAGATGTGAACCAAGCTGTAATACCTTCTCCGATCCAAGCGTATGTCCTAAAGTCAGTGATATGTGTTTCCCTGGTTGTTACTGTCCTCCTGGTTACGTCAAAGAAGGAGACAAATGTATTCCTCCATCTAGCTGTAAGAATTGCGAATGTGACCTCCTACCTCATGTAACTTACGTCACTTACGATGATAACGAATTCACCGTCAATGGAAATTGTGTCTATGTCATGTCAAGGGATGAAGTTGCTATTGGACAGGAACATCAATTCCAGGTACAAATTTATAGCATTCAAATAAAAAAAAACCTATGTTCTTTTGAACGTTAGTTAAATAATTTTTTTATAGGTTCTTGTTACTAACCACCCATGTGCAAACTCTAAAGGAGGTAACCATAAGATGTGTATAGGAAAAATCACCATCCTATACCAAGGCCACAAAATACATGTTCTTAAGGACGAAAACAGACCAAGATTAAAACTTATCATGGACGGAGAAGTAATCGATGATTATTCTGAAGTTAAGCACGTCGTAAACGTTCACAGAGATTCAAATGGCGATATGAAGATTCTTTTGCCTACGATCCAAGTTGAGGTAAATAAAATCAATCATTAAATCTATATTCTTATAATTAAATTTGTTTTATTTATACTTATATCCTTGTAGGTATTAGTAACCTACCCAACACTTGCATCTAGTGTTAAGGCACCATCTTACATCTTCGAAGGAAAGCTTGAAGGTATTTGCGGTAACTGCAATGGAAAACCCAAGGATGACTTCAAAAAACCAGATGGAAATCAACCTAAAGATGATTTAGACTTTGGATTGAGCTGGCTGTACGAAGGTCTTCCTCAAAACAAAGAAGAATGTGGCGCTGAGAAAGAAGAAACATGCGTACCAGATCCCACACAACCTGATCCATGCGAACAATTATTGGATGTAAACAAATTTGGAAAGGTAATTGTAATTAAGTTAATTGCGAAACTAAATAATAAATTAAAAAATAAATAGCAAGATTTATATATGAGACAAATATCATGTAGATTTATCAAACGAAACTTTATATCCAAAATAATGACTTATTAATTTAATTTTTTAGTGTGCAAACCTTTTGGATCCAACTTCATACTTGGATTGGTGTCAAAGAGATACTTGCAAAGGAGATCCAGCCGAATCTTGCGCTGCTCTTGAGGCATACGCCAAAGACTGCGCCAAGTTTGGCTTCTGTGTTAACTGGAGAAACGATCTTTGCCCAGCTCCAGTCTGTGCTCCTGGTTTGTTCTACTCACCATGCGGACCAGCTCATCCAGAAACTTGCGAGACTATCATAGAGGGTACCAAAGGAGGTATAAAGGGAGGAAAGAAAAATATTCCTACTGAGGGATGCTTCTGTCCTAAAGGAAAGGTTCTATTAAACGAGACTTGTGTTACATCAAGAGAATGTATAACTTGTGACAACGAAGGACATCATCCTGGAGATGTATGGAAGAAGGACAAATGTACAAAATGTAAATGCCAAGGTACCAACTTGGAATGTCAAAAACAAGAATGTGTTGATCCATCGACTATTTGTGAACACGGATACAATGCCGTCAAAGTACCAACTGCTGCAGACGAATGCTGTGACAAATATACTTGCAGTAAGTATTGAAGTGTTTCAGATTTTTTCATATTTGAGTATACGAGTTGTACATGAAAAACTATATATTTTTTATTTGTAGTTCCTGGACCTACTTTCTCACCAACTTGCGAACCGCCACAAAACTTGGTATGTGGTAAGGATCAAGTAACCAGACTTACTACCAAGTCGAATGGCTGCCAATCTTACATTTGTGAATGCAAACCTCTAGAAGAATGTGAAGAAATTGATCTTACTTCCACAGAACCATTGGAACCAGGTCGGTACAGAAATTTGACTTTAATTTATAGTTTACTAAACATTTCAATAAATCTATTAATTAGTGATGGAGCATGTGGTGATTTTTAAATCACGCCATAATCAGTGACCGTGATATCATAATATTTATTATATAAACACGTTTTATAAAACGTGGCAGTGAAATTGATATCTGATATAATATGCTTACTGGTCACAGTTATCGAAGTTTACAAGGAATGGTAGTTAGCAGTGATTTCTAAATCTGAGTTTAAACGCAAAATACGAAAAAGTGTACTCCAACACGTCATTTATCTACTTGTAAGACAAACACTAAGTCAACTTAACGATTGAACAAGATATCAATTAAAAATTTTTAAATATTTCTTTTATCTAATCTAGATTTCCATTGATGCCACCGGCTACCTCAGTTCTTACCACTTGAGCCATGATACGTTCCAATATAAAAATATATATCTATTTTAATATATTTGATGTATATACTTATTTAAATTTAAAAAATATTCTTAATATATTATAGTATTGACTATTATTCTGTTATCCCTAATTTTAGGATACGTCAAAGAAATTGACACCAACAGCAGCTGTTGTCCAGTCATCAACTATGTTTGCAAGAAAGACAGGTGTCCAGTCATAGAACCCTGTCCACCATTCTACTCAGTTAAGATAGAAGAAGGTGAATGTTGTCCAACCTACTCTTGCGAGGCTCCAGAAAAATGTATTGCTGAAACTGGATACACATCTGCCGCTGAAGGTGGTGAACGTCCATTGAACGATTTGGAAAAACAAAAACTGCTTAAGAACGCTAATGACACCTGGAATGACGGACCCTGTAGAACTTGCAAATGTCTACACAACAGTAATAACAGTAAGTTGTAGATCTTAAAACATTTTAACATTTAATTTATTTGAAATTGTTTTTTAGACGCCTTCATTACATCCTGCTCCAAGACCAATTGCCCCATCATGGAACAGAGCTCAGACTTTGATGATTACGAATTAATTGCCGAATACGTCTACCAACAGTGTTGTCCTACTTACAAACGAGTTGCTTGCAAATACAACGGTAAGATTTGTTTATCTGTCTACAAAATATTATAACTACAATGCTAACAGCTGTTATCGCATAGTAGTTCAGTCAAAAAAGTCGATTCAAACGGGATTTTTGGGAAAACATGTTTCTTACTTTCACATTTAAGCCTTTTTATACCATATGTTCAATTAGTATTTTAATAAATAAAAATAATACAATTTTTAAATATATTGATGAACATTCGGAGTACTTAACATAAATGGCTAAGATTTCATTGAAAATTTCAGATTAAAGTTCCAAAAAGTAAAGTTGCCTCTATCTATCGTCCATCGGCAAAATCAAAGAATGCCACCTTTGCGAGTAGTCCAGACAAATTAAGATATTTTTTACGTTCCGCTATTGAACTTTTTTGTCCTTAAAAGTAGAAAAAAAGTTTAATTTCTTCTGCTTAATATTTATTTAACAGTCCAAGAAAATTTGAACATTTACAAAAATCTGCAAAATGATTCTGGAAATAGGTACTTGTCGATGCAGTATCATAAGAAAAGCGGCCTTTCTAACAGTAATTCCGTATTCTACCATGAAATACAAAAAATACTTATATTGTATATACCAAGAACCTTCCACAAAATCGCTTTGAGCAGATGGCTTAAAAAACTTGGATTTAAATACAATATCGTTGATAAACGAGTGACTATTAAAGAAAGTTAAAGGATAGTACATTGGCGTTTACATTATTTAGAAAAAATTCAAGAATATCGAGACCAAAAGCGAACAATATATTATTTAGACGAGGAATGGTATGACATGCATGATATCGCTAGCAAGAGTTGGACTGATGGTTCACTTAAGTGCCAGCTGAAAGGCGTACCTCCGAAGAAAGGTCCTTAAATTATTATTGTGTACTGTGGATCTTCAATTAGTTGGGTGCCAAATGGGTTAAAGATTTGCGGAAAAAAAACAGAAAATGTAATGTAGTGTATATTATCATCAGAATATTAATTCTAATATATTTAAGAGTGGTCCAAGAATTTAAAGCTTCCTAATATAATACCATAAAAACATAATATTGGGGAAAACCAAACCAGTTAAAGAAAACGAATGGTTTGACAAGGAGTGCCAAAAAGCAACAGATAACAAAAACAGGGCATACCTAAAGACAAATCAAGCTGGATGCACAAGAAGAGCAAAGGAAGAATACCGGACACTAAGAAGAGAAGAAAAACGATTATATAGAAGAAAAAAAAGACAATTTGAGCAAAAGCAGTTGGAAAGCACAGAATGGCTAAGAAATCAAAATGAAACTCGAAAGTTCTACAGAAATCTAAACAAAATGCGCAAAGAGTTTAAGCCAAGAATAAGGAGCTGTAAGGATGTAGAAGGAAATATCCTAAATGATACAGCCTCAATCCTAAACAGATGGGTTAAATTTTTCGATGCAAATTTAATGGCCATCATATCGAAGAAGCAGATAAAACCCTAGCAAACCGAAATGATTGGAATCCTTTCAACCCAAACGAAAGACCACCTACCATCGAAAACATTGCCCAAGCCATTAAAAAGCTTAAAAATAATAAATCAGCAGGAGTTGATCAAATTTGCAGTGAGCTCTACAAGAATGGTGGCGATGCCCTACTACAGACACTGCATAAGCTTTTACTTCTTGTTTGACACAATGAGACCATGCCTTGTGAATGATATGCCCGTTACATAAAAAAAGGTGACCAGCTCCAGTGTGACAACTATAGAGGTATAACCCTGTTAACAACTGCTTACAAAATACTAGCAAATATTCTCTACGAAAGGTTGCAATTTTACACAGTGGGCATAATTGGTAAATATCAAGTTGGATTCACTCCAGAAAAATCAACGATTGACCAGATTCATTCAATATGACAGATTCTCGAGAAAACATTAGAATTCAATATTGAAACCCATCACCTATTCGTCGACTTCAAGGCCGCATACGACAGTGTCAAGAGAACAGTGCTATACCAATCAATGCATGAGTTTGGTATACCAGAGAAACTTATCCGACTAACGAGAATGATAATGGCTAACTTAGAAGCCACTGTTAGAATACAGGGAGAGAGTTCTAGATCCTTTGAGATAAAGGATGGACTCAGACAAGGAGATGCTCTGGCTTGCCTCCTATTTAATATTGCCTTAGAAAAAGGCAGTCCGAGATACACGAATTAGGGATGGCGGTACTAGTTACAATAGATCGATACAAGTCTTAGCATATGCTGATGACATTGACATAGTAGGGCGTAGCAAGCGAGATGTTAAGCAATATCTCCTAGAATGGAAACAGCGGCGAAACAGGTCGGTCTAGTCATCAACGAAGACAAAACCAAGTACATGTTGGTTACAAAGGATCCGATAGCAAATGAGGAACGAAAAACAGTCTTTGGAAGTCATACCTTTGGGCGTGTTGACAGCTTCACATACCTTGGGTCGCTATTGACTGCTACCAATAAAACAAGCGAAGAAATCAAGAGATGAATAAATCTTACAAATAGGTCATACTATGGGCTCCAAAAGCATTTCCACTTAAGAAACATTCAAAGAAAAACTAAAATTATTATATACAAAACATTGCTGAGGCCAGTCCTCACATATGGAGCAGAAACATGGACTCTAACGCAGAAAGATGAAAGACTTTTGGGAATATTTGAGCGTAAAATACTCCGCCAAATATTTGGAGCTGTAAACGACCAAGGGCAGTGGCGCAGAAGATATAATTTTGAAATGTATCAGCTCTTTGATAAGCCATATGTCATAACGTTCATTAAAACACAGCGACTTAGATGGGCTGGACACATAATACGAATGCCAGAAAATACCATTGCTAAAAAGCTAACTACAGGAACACCTGTAGGAAAAAGAAGCAAAGGCCGACCGCGAATTAGGTGGTTAGATGGAGTAGGAACTGACTTACGAATATTAAAAATCAAAAGATGGCAACATGTTGCCAAAAACCGAACAGAATGGCAACGAATCTTAGAGCAGGCCAAGATCCACAGATGATTGTCGAGCCAAAGATGATGAATATAGTACCAAGCAGTAAGATAATTATGCACAATGCCAGCTATCACTCAAGACTTCTAAACAAAATTTCGATCAGTTCGTTTTATTATATGTTGTTTTGGTAAAAACATATTGGTCATTTATCTAGTAAGACAAGATACTTTTCTTTAATAGACTTTTTTTATTAAATAATAAACGAAATCTCTTTACTTACCAGACTATCAAAGGCCTATTTCCTCAACACTCTTCCGCATCACTCTGTCTGGCATGCTGTTACGTCCCCCTTTGGCTCCAGATGTGCCCTCACGATCCTCAGCATAAACTTTGAAGAAATCATTAATTATTTATCGCCAAATGCATGAGTGTGCATTTTAAATCTACTGCCAGATGTCAGTTTTTGTTATACGTCAGATGTCCTTGCTACTCTTTGAGTATCGGTGCTCCAAATATCCAGACAGCATCCTTCATTAGGAAACATCCATAAACTACGTCGTAAAAATTTGAACTTTTTAATACCCTTCCACCCTTTGTCTTAATTTCGACGACGTTGCAATTTTAATTTCAAGTCACCCCCCTTTTCTGTGATTTAAAAAAAATCAATATTATTTCTGGATTTTTTAAAATTAACTATAAATCTTTATTTACGAATGTATCATAACAAGAATATTTAATTAATATTAAGAATTCAATTGAAATACACCAAATTACGTCAGATGTGCACTCAAGCTAGCCCCACTGTTCTTCATATCTATACCATAGTAAAATGCAAAGTTTCCCCTTTCCTGACGTATTTTATGGATTTTCCCTTGGTAGCGAGCCGCGCCTCACAACACTGTGACACTGACAAAAATTCCCATACGTTATTATGATATATTATTAATCTCTATTATTGTTTTTTAAATGACATTATTATTTTTAGGTAAAGTACAAGAAGTAGGAGACACATGGTACATGGAAGGTGACTACTGTACATCTATTATGTGTGTCAAATCTGATGCCGGATATATTCAGAAGCAGAACCAAGTCAAACACTGTGAAGTCAATTGTGATTATGGATTTGAATACGTCGCACCAACTGTGGAATCCAAAGAATGTTGCGGATACTGCAAACAAATCGCTTGTGTTGTTGAAGGAACAATCTATGAAATTGGAGAAGAATGGTCATCTCCAGATGCTTGTACCAAATATGTGTGCACAGATGTTGAAGGTTTGGTAAGTATTATTAAATATTCAAATATCACATCTTCGATTTCTTAATGTTTCTTCGCTATAAACTTTAATTAAAAAGTAAATTAAATATCTGGAATATGTTTAATTATAGTTTAATCATTTGTGATCTAATATTATTTGTCTTTTTAGATTCAAGTTAGAGCTCAACTTACTAACTGTCCGGTAATTTCTCAAGACGATATCAAAAACTTTGTTATTCAAGAAGAGATTGTCAAAGGACAGTGTTGTCCCAAACACGTGAAGACAGCTTGCAAAGTTGATGGCAATATTGTTAAGGTGAGAAATTTGTTAATACATTACTTATAGTAATAGTACAATCAAATAATGTTAGTATGATCACACAGGGCTTATTGGTACATTTATTTTCGTCAATGGTTCCGGATAAGTCTTTATAAAATGCTTTGATTTCCTCATTGTGCATATATTTGGAAAATTTTAAGCTGTTGACTTCTGTAGATTTTTAGTGTGATAAGCAGTATTCTATCTAATTTGTTTTTATAACTGAACACTGACTTCGATGTATAAGAAAACCTACCCCCGTTGGCTTTTGTTTTTCCTTCGTTTGAATTTTAAGTTTTGATTTAGCTAACTTTTGGCGACCATAAGGCTTTGGATCTCTGATTCTACTCTCCTGTGACAATATGGTTTTATAATCTGCCATCGTCACTTTTCATTTAAAGGGTTTTGACATTTAAAACGTCGTACTTGGCAGTTGACGAGTTTTAATTTAGCCGCCCATTTTAAATCATTTACTCTTTACAGCCGCTCACAGTTTTGGTCTAAGACGCTTGCTTTGGTTTCTAGTTTTGGTGTAAGTTTGTTTTCATTTTTACAGTATTTATTCTAAGAGGCATTTCCCTATCTGCCACCTGGTGTCCAAGTCTTGACCTGCCCAAGTGAAAAAAGAAAAGTGTTTAATATATAAAAACATTTGATTAGGTACATGAAAACACTTTTACCACTTATTTGTATTTCGTGTCTTCTATGTCTTCGGTTTCTGCTATATTTTTAAAATATTTTTATTAGATAAATTTTATATTATAAAATATAAAATATTTTATATTATATAAAATATTTTTATTTTTTATTTTATGCTTATTATTATTTCTTGTTAATAGGTTGGAGAAACATGGCCCTCAGCAGATGATAAATGCAAGAGCTACAAATGTAATGAAAAAGGAGAACAAGAACTTGTCCTTCAAGAATCCGTCCAGTTCTGCAAGACTGAATGTGCAAAGGTAAATATATTTTATTATTAAATCTAGTTTAAGGCTAAAACCGATAATTGTATGTACTGAATAATAGTAGGGAACATGGGGCAATGACGTTCACTTAACAAGAAAGTCTAATTTTATTTAGACAAATAGGAAAAATAAGTTGTAAATACGGATTATCCATTTTATTCCAAGTACTTTTACAAGTAACATAAAAAAACTTCTTACTTAATAATCTTAATTATATGTTCATATGTACTTTATTGTTATTTATATCACTAACCTAACATGTTTGTTTACAACAGACAGTACGAAAAAAATGGCTGTACAACTAATAAAAAAAATTGTAATGAAAAGGCCTATTCTGCAGTAGTGTTCGGTTATAACTATAATAGAAAGTCGTACTTATGCGTAATTAATATATTTTTCATGTTTTTATCTTTCGTTTTAGGGTTGGGAATACAAACCATCTGAAACAAAATGCTGTGGTCAATGTGTCCAAGTATCGTGTGTCATTGAGAACGAAGTATGGCTAGAAGGTCAAACCTGGAAATCAGAAGATAATTGTACAACATTCAGTTGTGAAAGATTGGGAGACCAATATTCGATTGTAAGTCAGCAAGAATCTTGCCCACCGTTCGATAGTTCTTGCGATCCTAAAGACATATACGTAAAGGGATGTTGTCAATACTGCAACTCTACTGGAGAAGCACTAAGTAAGTATAAGAGAGATCAGAATCTACTAATAAATTTGATTATTCATTCTTAAGATTAAAAAAATCTAAACTTCTGATACAGACTGCAATGCAAAACGCCATAATTCGTGTAAAACTACTTGAGAGAAACCACTACAGAAATTCATATAAAGCGATGTGTGAGTCAAGGCGACACTCTCTCACCTAAATTATTTATAACGGTCCCATACGCCTTTAAAAAGCTAAAGTGGGAAAATAGAGGAATAAAAATAGATGCAGAAATGCTTAATCATCTGCGTTTTGCCGAGGATATAGTACCTATTACCAAAGATCTGTGTGAAACACAACAACAAGAATTAGAAAACATATCTTTAACAATAGGTCTAAAAATAAACATCAATAAGACCAAATTTATGACAAATTTGGTTCTCAGCAAACACCTAACCATCCAAAATCAAGTAGAATTGACAAAAAAGTACATATATCTTGGTCATGAAATCAGAATAAGCAAGGATAATCAGACCTGTGAATTTGAACGACGAATAACACTTGCTTGGGCGGTGTATGGTTCACTGACAGACATCTTTAAGAGTAACATCCTGATAGGTATTAAACGGAAGACATTTGACCAATGCGTTCTTCCTATTATGACTTATGGAACTCTCACTCTCACAAAAACAACAGCACTAAAAATGCGAGTGGCACAAAGGCGCATGGAAAGATCCATTCTCGGCGTGACAAAAATAAGACAGAATAAGGAACCAAGACCTAAGAAAGAGAACAGGTATCACTGATGTCGTCGAACGTATAGCTAAGCTGAAATGGAATTGAGCAGGTTACATAGCAAGACTAAAAGACTCAAGATGGACCAGAAAACTAATTGACAAGAGAAGACAAATGCAGCAGAGGACGACCACCAACACGCTGGATGGAAGACATTAAACGAATATCCAAGAAATTGCAACCCACACAAGACCCACAGAACCGTGAAGAGTGGCGAAAAATGGGATCTGCCTATGTCCAACAGTGGACGGAAGATGTTGCATGATGATGAATGTCGTACACTTCCAAAACGCAGCAGGACATGAACATGACACGGAGCTCATCGTAAACGACAGAAATAAGAATATTCCGCTGGATAAAAAACAAACCATAATGTTCATATTGCATTATGAAGCTATAACGAATCAAAATGGAACAAAAAAGATAAGAAAATTTAATTGAGGTCACTTTTTTCAAAATAATATTGTCTGTCAGAATAATCACCCCGTACATACTATATAACATATTTATTTTAATTTCAGCACAATGTATGGCCCTTCCAGTTCCCGAAAAACAAACCATTGGACTATTGAAATACTCTGAATGTTCCAATATCAACCCGATCAAGAACTTCACAGAATGTGTTGGTAGCTGTGAATCTGCAACTACCTTCAATCCAGGTACGATTTCTTATGTTTTCTGATTATTATAGAGTTAAATGTATTGCTAAACGGTATTAAAACGAAATATGGGATTACGTAAATGGTATTAAATATATACAGAATTATGCTTTATGCAGCTCAGATTTTTATGCATTCCAGTAATCAGGAATATTTCCGTCATACAAAGTATGCTAAGTTAGTTAACTTCCAGGTTACTCATGTTTCACTATATTTAGTTCATCGTTTTGCGTAATTTTTCTTATTAAATATGTATAAAAACGTTTCAGTATATTCTTTTTCTTCTTCTAGTTCCATAGACGTTATCAATCGTTGAATATATTATGTTCGCTACCATATTCAATATCGTGACTGTATTGACAGCATCTCTACATAAATAATGATTTATTCGATTATTCGTACGATTGTCTTAGATTTTGTAGCCATATTGCTTTTCTTCTACCAGGACCGGTTTACCTTAGATCTTTTCCTAAATGATGCAAAAGTTCATATTTTCAGGGTGTCTCATAATATCACCGAAATATTCCAGCTTGCGCCTCTTTATTATATTGACCAGTTGTGCTGTTTGGTTCAATCGACTAAAGGCGGACTCCCATGCATCCGATTTCCGACGACACGATGATCCGAAAGTATTCTCATTGGTCAGAATCGAATCAGAATATTTTCGCGCCGAATTTCATCCGATATTTTTTAACTACGCTTCCGACATCGGATAAAGATAAAATTATTTTAACTTTTTCCGACAAAACGGATGTTTTGTAACCTAATTGTATTCCAATAGTTTAACATCTTTACATTTAATTTGTTGAAACATGAATTTAAATCGAAGAAGCTATGCTCGTAAAGTTAATAAAACACTATTATTATGTCTGCTTCTTTTAATTCGCAAAAAAAAAACAAAACATACAATTCGACAAAGAAAATATTGGGTTAGTTAAATATTTCAGTAAAAAAAGTCACAAGGGGCTTTTAATAATCTATTGCATTCTTGCAGGAAATGAAGCTAAATGATGTTGATAAATATTTGCAATTACCTTAGAATGCGTAATTGCACATTTCACATAGTTTCTTCTACGTTATCCATAATAAACTGAGTAATTGAAAGCAGGAGAAGGGATTATATACCATGCGGAAATAATCCCTTCTGCTGTTTTACTACGCAAAAGTGGTAAAACAGCAATTACCAGCCAAACCACCAACATCCAAACAATAAACAAAAAATTGACTGTTAACAGTTTATACGGATTTTCGTATCCGACAATCGCATCCATGTGACTAGCTTCCAAATAGCAACTACGAAACCATACGATTTTCGTATGTCGGAAATCGGATACATGGGACTCCGCCTTAAGGATCTGCTCATTTCTAACTCTGTAGAACCCAGCGTTTTTGTCTTTTAAACTTTGGGACAGTTTCCCACGTTTGTTTCCGGTGATCTCTTTTAATTTATTGTGCAGACGAAATGTATCGTATTTCTTCTCATAGTGTTGTCTCATAACTATTTTTTTACAACTTTCCGGATGAAATTTTGAATTGAAGCGACGATAAAAAAGAACCAATTTAAATAATAAATTGCATAAAGTAATTTGTTTAAATCGTATTTTGTTTTTACAGTTTTGGGAATGCTGCAATCCAAATGTTCTTGTTGTCAAGCTGTCGCCTTCAATGCATTACAAGTCGAACTTCAATGCCCTGACGGCAGTGTGCTCAAGAAGGACATAGAAGTACCATCCAAATGTAACTGTAACATAACCGCTTGCGAAGGAAACTTGAAAACTATCGAACCCAGGTCCATCGTTCACAGAGGAAGAAGATATGGCGTCTATTAAAAGATAGAATAGTTTGTTTTATGACTAGTGTCACGTGTTTTATTATTAATATGTAAGAGTTTTATTAGAGTTAAATAAAGTTGGTTGATGTTGAGATGAGTTTTGTTTGATTTTAATTTTACTGGTAGAAGAGATTTTAATAAATTCAATATGATTCTTCAAGATTGGAGTAAAAATTAGATTTCTACCAACGGAAAGAGCAGGCAGGATTCCGATTAAATTATGGTACCAATGATCACCTTCGTACAGTAAAGATCCTTATTGAAAAATCTATAGAATACAACAAATATTTTGTCCTTACCTTCATAGATTTTCATAAATCATTCGACACGATCGAAATCTTCTTCTTCGTCTTCTTCTTAAGGTGCCGTGCATTTCTGCGTAGGCGTCCACCGTACATTGTCTTGTCAGGTGAGATGTTAAATATTCTGGATTAAATAATTCTATTTTTAGCAGCATTGCGAAGCATTTCATAGCTGTGGATTCCTGTCCATTGTCGAATATTGCGCAGCCATGACATTTTTTTTACGTCCGAGACCTCTCATACCCTCTATCTTCCCTTCGAGTATCAGTTCCTGAAAAGTGTATCGCTCTCCTCGTATAATGTGCCCCAAGTATGCAGTCTTCTTACTTTTTACATAATTAAAAAGTTCCCTATCCTGTAAGCCCGCTCTTCTGAGTACTTCTCATTTCTGACCCTGTCCGTCCATGATATTCTGAGCATTCGACGCAGGCACCACATTTCAAACACTTCAAGTTTGTTAATGGAACTGGCCTTTAACGTCCATGCTTCCATTCCGTACAGGAGAACAGGCCACACGTAACATTTAAGCATCTTGTATCGGAGGTTGAAGTCCAATTTGCGATCAGTCAGAGACTTACGAAGCCTCAAAAAAGCATTTCTGGCTTGTTCAACTCTGCTCTTTATTTCATTCTCGGGGTCCCAACCCTCATTCAGCAAACATCCCAAGTATTTGAATTGCCTAACTTGTTCGATTTCTTCTCCAGAGACATATATCTTTGCGTTGGGGTAATCATTTCTAATTATAATCATTGATTTTGTCTTCTTGATATTTATTTTCAAACCCGAGCTTCACTTGCAAGAGTTAGATCATTTAAAAGGCATTGAAGATCTTCGATGTTTTCTGCCACTATGGCTGTATCATCGGCATACCTGATGTTATTAATAAATATGCCGTTAACTTTAATACCCTTATTAGAGTCTTCCACTGCTTCTGCGAAGGCTTTTTCTACGTATAAATTGAACAGCATTGGGGACAGTATACAACCTGCCTTACTCCTTTTTTAATGGAGAAATCTTCTGTTTCGTTGGAATTTTGAAGACGTACTGTTGCTGTCTGATTCCAATACAGATTGGCGATGATTCTTATATCCTTTGCATCCAATCCCAACTCTTGTAGGTATTTTATCATCAATTCGTGTTTTACATTATCGAATGCTTTCTCGTAATCGATGAAACAGATAAAAACATCCTTTCTTTGATCTAAACAATTCTGTATCAATGTTTGCATACTAAAGATCGCTTCTCTCGTGCCAAATCCATTTTTGAAACCAAACTGACTCCATCCACTGACCTCTTCACATTTCTTAAACAATCTAGTGTGAATTATTCTCAGAAAAAGTTTTAAAAAGTGACTCATTAGGCTTATTAGTCGGTGGTCCTTGCAGAAGTTCGCACGTGGTGTTTTTGGTAGGGCGATAAATGTAGATCGAAGCCAATCTTTTGGAATCTGGCCCGTATCGTAGATGTCGTTAAAGAGCTTGACAATAATGTCTAGGTTTTCTTCATTAAGTAACTTGATTGTTTCTGCGTACATATCATCTGGTCCTGGGGTTTTGTTACTTTTTAATAGTTTGATAGCGTGTACAATTTCAGCTTTCAAAATACTTGGGCCATACGTGGTGGTTTTTGTGTTCTGTCATCATTGAACAAATTGGCTGTGTACATTTTCCAAGTATTAAGTACATCGTTAGGGTCCGTTATTAATTCATTTTGGTCATTATGTATACCAGTGACTTGTTTTTTCTTGAAGACACCAGCAATTTCCTTAATTTTCTTGTGAAGATTGAAGCTGTCGCCGAGTTTATATAGGCTTTCAGCCTCGCGCAAAGTGTAGTCATCCAGATCTCCTTCGCCGCTATAATTCGCAGACAATAGTCGCCAGACGATCAAAATAGACAGCCTTATAGAAGCAATGAATGACAGCAGGATTGACCATAGGTATACTGAACTTATTTACAATATTAACAAAAATGCCACTATGACTTAAAATACCTAATATGCCTAATTATAGAAATAACTATTCTTAAATTAAATTATGTTTTTTAAATAAATTAATTCAAATAAAATGCTGTTTACACTTCATTTTAAGGTTCCTTCTTCATTACGGAAGGGTAGCTATAACTACAGCAAATTGCTCTCTATCTTGAGCTGTTCTTGGTATCGAATGTGTGTCCAGGCCTGTTAAGTCTCTTATATTCTTCAGCCAGGATCATTTTTTTCTTCCTGGACCTCTTTTTCCTTCTCCTTTCCCTTCAATTGTAAGTCGTAGGAAGGTGGTTACAATATTTAGTTTTTTGTCAGTTCTCATTCTTCTCAGCACCTCGTTGTTGGTCACGTGCTCTGTTCACGAAATCTTCAGCATCCTTCGAAAATCACACATTTCAAAGGCTTCTTTCTATAGAAAATGTCACACTGAGAGTGCAGTACGGGTAATATACGGCAATGCTTTTCTTATGGAGAATAAACGCGCAGGGTTGTTGGTTTTCTCCAGCTGTTGATTGCTCATTGTCTCACAGGACCGGCTTGGATAAAATGCATCTGCCGGCAGTACGAGTAAAATATTTTATATCATGTATACGTATACAGTAGAATAAAAAGGCGTTGATGAGTTATTGACAACGAAAACTATGAATTTTGCATATAAAACGTCAACATGAGATATACAATTGAATCATATTCATAAGAGTAACATTTGAACATTGAACACCTCTTTACAAGAACAACATACAATAACTGTAGTTTTAATGTTTTACACAAAATAGAAAAAACCTACATAATATCTTGGAAAGAATTTGGAAACTTGGAAATGATATTATTTATAGATATATATATATAATATTCAAATTTCCAATTCTTTCATAGAAATTAGATTTTTCTATTGTATGTAAAATATTAAAAATACAGCTATGGTGTTTCTATAAATAGGTCTTCATTTCTTTTGTAAAACTTCTGCTACAAATTACCATCATTAACATAATCACCTAAATATGGCCATAAACTTGTTTGTCATAATTAGTATTTGATAAACTCCAAGCTTTCCCTATTTCACCCCCTACCCATCCTAAGGATGGGTAGTGGCTGAAAGTGCTTTTGGAAAACGAAACTACACTTCAAAATTTAGTCCGAGTTTCAACGGAGAGTATGGAGTCCCATAAGTTTAAATCCGGTGAATTATTTAACGGTTGTGCTAAACTCGTAGTGTTAAATGTGTAGTGTTTTTTACAAAATACGGAAAAACTTAATGTAAGTGCTGCTGTAAGACGTACTTCGTTGATGACTGGTGTTAGCGAAAGAAGCATTTACAATTTCAAAAAAGAAAAAGAACAGAGTGGAACGTTGAAATCACCAAAAAAAACGTAAAAAACGAGTGTGTCAATCAAATTCTAGAATACTCACATATGACGAGGGTGGAAGAAGCATTCTACGGAGAATTGTTCATTGTGAATTTTTCATGAAAAATTTGCCGCCATTCTTAAAGCATATACATAACTTGATACAAGGTAATGCGAATATAGAGCCGTTGTCTCTTTCTACTTTATACAGACTTCTGAAAGATATTGGATTTGTTTATAAGAAACGTGGCCGAAGAAGCATCATGGTGGAGCGAGAGGATATTATTCATTGGCGCCATAATTATTTGAGAACTTTACGACGTTTGCGAAAAGACCATTACAATATCATATATTTGGACGAATCATGGGTTAATATTGGCCAATCTATAAATTACGAATGGTGCGATACTACAATACAAAACAGTCGTGATGCTTTTCTCAAAGGTTTAAGTACTGGCTTAAAAGCACCTACTAAACGAGGTCCACGATATGTTTTACTGCATGCAGGGTTTTCAGTAGGTTTCTTTCCTGACACACAGCGTGTTTTTTTGACAAAGAAAAATGATGGCGACTATGACGATGATATGGATGCCGCATATTTTGAGTCTTGGTTTAAGGAGACATTAATATCAAATTTACCAAATAATGGTCGCAGGAATATAATTGTAATGGACAATGCATCGTACCACTCCCGTAAAGAGAGATTCCCTAACAATTATTGGAATAAAGCTGCAATCAAGGAATGGTGAGTGGAAAAAGACATTTTTTTCGAGGAGTGTTATTTATACTTGATGATACTCATCAAGTATCATCTTGATGAGTATGATTCACAACATAATGTTTATATTTTAAGGCTTCATCCATATCACTGCGAATTGAATCCTATAGAAATGGTGTGGAACCAAGTTAAGCGATATGTAGGTACCCATAATACCACTTTTAAAAACGATGAGGTACGCCAGTTGATCGACGACGGTTTCGCACGCGTCACAAAGCAAAATTGGCGCAATTATGTCACTCATGTTGTTAATAAAACGGAAACTGAGATGTGGACTGCGGACAACCTGATGACGTAGACCAATTGATAATACACGCGAACACAAGGGAGAGTAGCGAAAGCGAATTCGACATCTCGGATGTAGAGGACGACTTTAATATAATTAATTGAATATCTGTGAGTAACCTCGATTAATTTACACTGTATAACCAATAAAATGCATTTACCAGTCCAATCTGAGTATGGGCTTTTCGGATATTGGGCTGGGTGCACGGAAATCGAGTTCCCGGAGGTTTCACCCTGTATATTTATAGCTATCAAGAAATGTAATTTAAAATATATTTGTTAGTTTAATAAAGTATAAATATAACATAATGTTAAATAACTTACACTATAAACCTTATACCTACTCATCTGGTCAAGTGTGGGCAAGGAAAACCATTATCCCATATGGAATAACACAAGGTTTCGCTGAAAACTACCAGGTTGCTATGCCAAGGACCTAGGTAAACTTATGTTGTGTGTAAAAAATGCGAGACTGCATTATGTTTTAACAAGGACAAAAACTGCACTTCAGATTTCCACAAACAAAAATTTCATAGTAGGTTTAAAAATTTCGCAGTGATTCAAGTGCGCAACTTGTTTTTTTAATAACGTCGCCGAGATTAAAAAATGTACAAAGCTTTTTCGATCTTCCCGTTCCTGAAAATTTTTCACATATTTACAAAAGAAAAAGTTTTTTTTTGGATATTGGGCTGAGTGCACGGAAATCAAGTTACCGGAGGTTCCACCCGGTATATTTATAGCTATCAAGAAATGTAATTGAAAATTCATTTGATACTTTAATAAAGTATACAGTTTTATAATAAAATTCTCGCTAAAAACTTAAGGTCTTTTTATTCAAATTCATGCCTCTTATTTGGCTACTTGAAGGCAATTATTTTATCAATATATTATTTTATAATAAATAACAGAGCCCGGCGTAGAGATCTGGGTACGGTTCTGTGACTACCACTTGGACCTGTTTGTATCGCCAAGCACAAGGCGTGAAATCCGGCAATTGTGCATTCCTATATTAGCCGTACTGCACTCTCGGTGTGACATTTTCTATATACGCCTCATACTTGTAATTCCGAGAGTTCATGTTTCCACTCCGTATAGCAATAAGGAATAAATTACCGTTTTTACAAATTGATATCGGATATCCAACGATAAGATATAGAGTTTATTAGGAATATTTAATATTTTCATTAACGTTTACACTTACATTGTATTATTGCATTTAAATGACTTAACTTTGGTTTATACTTATTTATTCTTGGTTTGTTCTTGATTTTGTAGCCATAGGATAGGTGGGTTTAAATTAATGGTCTTTAAAATACCTAGTTTAAATTGACAGTGCTTGATTTTTCACTATTTATATTTTGATAACTTTCCTTTGGTTTAATAGTCTTGTACACTTGATTTTACTGTCATAGAGTATGTGGGTTTAAATTTTTTTTTTGTTTAAGTTTAAGACCACTTAATGTTGTACACTTCTTTGCACGCATAACTTCTCATTGATGTAATATATCGCTTAAAATAATTATTGAGAAAATGGTTCTCTTACATGACGCACAAATCATATCAATCGTAAAGGTGCAAAAATCTAAATCCTATATCAAAATCACCCTTAAGACTCATGACCTCCCGTGACAAAAATTTCTGGATCCGCCACTGACACCTTGTTGGTTATACTCTTTTCACGCAATTCTTAAATAAGCTTTTTGAACACAATTTTCGGAGTGGAAATCGAAACGTCAAATATTGGTCAAAAATGTAATCTTCTTTGCAATCACTTGTGGTTTAATATATAAACATAATATTTAACGTAGAGGGATTTGAGACCGATCAATCAGGAGCAAGGGGCAAGAGAAATGGCATGTAATTATATTTGCTCCCTTTCTCTTGCTGCCTCTAGCAATTTCATACCTTTATTTCACAGTTAAACAACTGTGTAGTCTTTAAGAAGTCTATTAGACTCTTGAATCGGCCTGAACAGTTCTTCTTCTTCTTCTTCTTCTTCTTCTTCTTCTTCTTCTTCTAGTAGCACTACAACCCGGGGTGGGTCTTGGCTGACTGCACAACCTGCTTCCATCTCGAACGGTCGTCCATGATGTTTAAGTCAGTGGGTAGCCCCATTGTTCTCAAATCTGACCATATATTATCTCTCCATCGCATTCGTGGACGTCCTACGTGCCTTCTCCCTGTCGGGACTTCTTCCCAGATTAACTTGGTAAGGCGGTTATTAGGGAGCCTATGAACATGGCCAGCCATCTTAGACGTTGGGATTTAATCTCTTGGACTACGTCGCTAGCACTATACATTTGTTTGACCTCGGCATTTGTTCTCATTCGGTATTGGTTAGTATTCGGATCGTGATAGGACCGAAGATCTTTCTGAGGATTTTTCTCTCAAAGCATCTGAGTTTACTTTCCATTGCTTTTGTCAGCGTCCACGTCCTCAACACCCATACATGAGCACCGGTCTAATTACTGTTTTATATATCCTTGATATCCTCGAACAGTTCAGAATTTCTTTTAAACTATGGGTTATATTGTTGACAGTGCGAGTGGCCTGGTAGTGTTGACATTCTGTGAGGATGTGCTTAATGGTAATAGGAATATCGTTGTAGTGGGAGCATAGCTGTTGGTCTGTAGAGGACATAAGATAACCGTGTATCAAAGTGTGTGTCCTATCCTCAATATTTGTATTTCTATCTTTTTTCTGTTTAGGGATGCAATGGATAAATGGCTGTTAATATTAGGTTGTATTTCTTTGAGCTTTGTGTTGTGATATTCCAGCCACTTGCCATAGATATTCGTTTTGAATTTTGATTTTTTATTCTCTTGAAGCTGTATTTTGTAGATGGGTAAGTTGGAAGTAGATGCTTCTTTCGCAGCACTGTCAGCCATCTCATTCCATTGGATGCCGATATGAGAAGGTACCAATATTATTGTTATTGAAGTCCCTCGGTAAGTGTGGAGATAGATCGATTCTAGTATTTTTCGGTGAGAATCGGTGCACAGAGCTACACTTTGAAATAGTCGAAAGGGAAGTCGAGAGCTTTTGAAATACTGAAGAGTTCTCCTGAAAACACGCTACATTCGTTGGGGATTCGGTATTGTCCTAATACTGTATTAACTGTACTGACAAAAAGGTGTTTTTAAAAGGAGGTGTTCTAAACACTGGCCAGAATTCTGATTTTATAGATGCAATTGTTTGAGATCATTTTTGTCTTTACACAAGGGTTGTAGTATCTGTGGAATTGAAAATATACATCTGGGTGAGTTTACGAGTCCAGGTCTTGGCGAAGTCAGAATATTAAATACAGGGTTAATACAATTAAATGAATTTTTTGCTAGCATAAGATAGGAGTAGTTGTTGCCTCCGAATGTAAAGAGAAGTTCATGAGATTCACAGTAAAGATTTTCAGCGGACTGGATAGAAATGTTCCTAAGTATATTCGGAGAGCAGTGTTGTGAACAAAGTTTAACTATTGTATTAAATTATTGGATGCGGACAACCATATATGTAAGTATATAATCATAGTCTAATTTGGATCGGATTATAGCTCGATCGATATATTTTAAGTAGTATACTTTCATCGGCACCCTATTGATGGTGGGACAATGTCTTTAACAAATTCATTCGGCTTAAACAGTTGCCTTTTATTTAATCGATATGACGACGCCAGGTGAGTTTGATATCGACAGTTAGTCCTAAAAACTTGTAATGATCAATTAATTCTAAATTAACTTTGATGATATACAAGGCAAATATCGAACACAGTATTAATTAAATCTTGCCCAAGTACTTTCGATCGCTAGATCATCCTCAGGGACATTTCGTCAGTTGTGGCCTATTCGACAAGAGCAAAATGTCATAAATGTAAAATGTGGCATAACAATACACTACACAAAGACAAACAAACACTTTAAAATTTTTGAAGAATGACGAAGCTACATGGTATATAGAAGCCGGAGACAGATACTTGCCTTGTATATCATCAAAGTTCATTTATTCGAGCATTCAACTTTATATTGGTTTAATTCTAAATTTACTCCATTTAGTGTTATTTATTTACTCCTGGTGAATTTAATTATTTTGAATTTATTGGACAAGAAACTAAAGCTAGTTTTCTGAGACCATGTAGTAAGGGACTCGACAGAATTTTGTAATATAGATGACGTTGCAGCTGTGGATTTTCCTTGGCAGTATACAGTAAGGTCGTCTGCGTATGGGGCAAAGTTAACGGGAGATTTTATATGAGAGCAAATATCATTGATGGTTAGAAGAAAGAGGGTAGAATTAAAAGTAGAACCTTGCGTTACAACATTTACAGTGACATAGTTGTCGGATAAAATACTCCGTTCATTGTGATTTTGAAATTTCTATTATTTAAAAAGCATAATATGTTGCCCGTAAGAATCTTTTCTACAATTTTTTAAAGTATATATAAATAAAGACCTATATCAAAATTATTACGATTACGTCTATCTTGGAGGCCACAGCAGTTGCTAGTAAACTTTATTTTCTTTAGTTCTAAATGAGAACAAGAATATAATTATGTAACAGTTTCTTCGCTTGTAACGTGATGTTTTTTGAAATAAAAAATACTTTGTAGTGGGGAAAGTATGTATAATAATATATTTTTACACAAATTTTTTCTGCTCATAATTTACACAATTTTTCATCAAAATAATTTTGAATCATACAATTTTATTACAAACGACATAATATCTTCAGTTAAAATTTTATTATTTTCTATAGCTGCAAAATGTCCTATTGATGGATAAGTATTATACTGGATTATATTTGGGTATTTATCACGGAGGAATTCTTCTGGTTGATAGAGAATTTCGTTTTCGAAATAAGCACAAGCACATGGTATCTTTTTATCGATTGGAATACTGAAAAAATAATTATTAGAATTGCTGTACATTTATTTCCAATAAAGCACAATCAACAGAAGAAAGATTACATATTACCCTACTTAATAATACATCCTATTCATAAGCAAGTTAGAAATTGATTATTCTGTCTAATAATGTGATAAATCATATTTACATATATATACCCGTATTTGTTTTCTGTACACCGAGCTGGGGATCGAACTCACATCCGCTGAACCACTCGCAGTGAAGCGAATGAGAATCCGGCCGCCCAACTCGCTTGACTATCTGACCAACTAAATCATATTTTACTTTTATAAAAGTTAAAGGACGTTAAATAAACTAGTTATGTAACTTTTGTTCATACAATAATATGTCAAAAATATATTTTTGAATATAAAATACCCTGTAAAAGAGTACCAAAGTATTGAGGCAAATATGAAGTGTGAATTTCATATCTTTTCCAAAATTAGAAATATACTGTCTGGCATAAGTTAGGGATATTGCCAATTTATTGGTAATGGTATTTCATTCTGCATCAGTTATTTGTAAGTAAACAATTTAAAAATATTATAGTTTTTAACTTAACTTTAACATTATAAAGAGAATTAGACCAAAAAAACATTTTAAGTATTGAAATGGCACCTGTACAGCCATTTAAAAATGACCTTTCTTTTCTCAAATGGCATAAACAAAATATACTTTCGGGTATAATTTGCCATTTGCCAACTTTTTTTATAAATATTTTTTATTGTTCTGAAGCTATTTTCTTGTGGCATTTTAAATTAATTGCTATTTAACTGGGAATAACCCACAATTAAAGATAAATAAGAGCCACAAATACGTTTGTAAGATAAAGATACGTTTATTGACGTTTCAATTTCTACTTCGGAAATCGTTCTCAAAATACAAACAGTAAATTAAACAAATTTTGTTTTTTGTTACATAGTGAAAAATTCTTCTAATAATTTAATTTTATCTGACTCATTTATATTGACAATTTAGACATACATTATGCATTTTAAAGTAGACGACTTTAAAATGATATTGCCAATACTGTTGAGATGCGCTCCTGGGACGACTTTACTTATAAGATAGTTCATTCGATTACATGAAATCAACTTTAACTTGAGGATATCCGTCAGAAAAAAATCATAGCATATAATTCGTCTTTAAAAAGACAAACACATGACATGATGACAGTAAAATTCTCCTGTTAGTGATTCCATAGTAAATTATGAGGAAAAACCAGGAAAAAAACCTCATAATACTATCCCGACATGGTAAGTATTTGTTCGTGGAATTAGTTTCCTTCAATAAACACCAAAATTCTGATTTTATATGTTTCGTTATTTAAAAAACATAAATGATGTATCCTCTATATGTTACTGATTTAATCTTATTAATAACTTCCTCTTTCAATATTGGTAACCAGATCCTATTACATTCTGCCGGGAATTTGCGACACAATTGGCCTCATTTAGCATAATTAAAGCCGCTTCTTTGATTTTTCTTTTTTTACCATCCGTCTCTTTTAGGACTACATTTGAATTATTCTATTGAACCCTATGTTCATGATCCCATGCGTGTTTACATATTTGAGATCAATAACATCAATCTTATATTAAAAATAGAGAATTTGATAGATCTCAAATATGTAAACACGCATGGGATAATGAACATAGGGTTTAATGGAATAATTCAAATGTAGTCCTAAAAGAAACGGATGGTAAAAAAAGAAAAATCAAAGAAGCGGCTCTAATTATGCTAAATGAGGCCAATTGTGTCGCAAATTCCTCGGCAGAATGTAGTAGGATCTGGTTACCAATATTGAAAGAGGAAGTTATTAATAAGAAAATACCAGTATTAGTAAGTCAGTAACATATAGAGGATACATTATTTATGTTTTTTTAAATAACGAAACATATAAAATCAGAATTTCGGTGTTTATTGAAGGTAAACTAATTGCACGAACAAATACTTACCATGTCGGGATAGTATTATGAGGTTTTTTTCCTGGTTTTTCCCTCATAATTTACTATGGAATTACTAACAGGAGAATTTTACTGTCATCATGTCATGTGCATGTCTTTTTAAAGACGAATGATATGCTGTGATTTTTTTCTGACGGATATTTTCAAGTTAAAGTTGATTTCATGTAATCGAATGAACTATCTTATAAGTAAAGTCGTCCCAGGAGCGCATTTCAACAATATTGGCAATATCATTTTAAAGTCGTCTACTTTAAAATGCATAATGTATGTATGAATTGTCAATATAAATGAGTCAGATAAAATTAAATTATTAGAAGAATTTTTCACTATGTAACAAAAAACAAAATTTGTTTAATGTACTGTTTGTATTTTGAGAACGATTTCGGAAGTGGAAATTGAAACGTCAATAAACGTATTTTTATCTTTAATTGTGGCTTATTCCCAGTTAAATAGCAATTAAATATTTTTTAGTTTAGAAAATTGCATTTTAAAGAGTAAGTATTTACAAGAAAGTTTTCTGTTGTATGTTTTTATTTAGAGTGTGTAGTTTTTTCAGGGTATTGAAATGAATAAAAAAGTCTTTTTTTTTTTGTGTAAATGTCATGACGCAGTAGAAGTTTCTGTAACCACGGGATGATATGTCTTTTCTATTGACTTCCTCAGCTAATCCAGTTTAAAAAAGCCGCCCAGTAATTTTTCAAGTGAATTTTCTGCTTCGTTTCATGGAGTAATAAACTATAAACAATTTATAAATTTAATTTTATTTAATTATGTATTTCATTGAATAAAAAAAAACAAAAAACTGGTGATAATTGTTAATGTAAATAAGTGACCTAATTGATGTATACAGTTGTACAGTATAATAATAATTGTTACATTATTATTCATTTAATATTTAGCTATATCTCTAACTTATGCCTCACAGCTTATTACTTACTTGTGTAAACCAATTTTCAATCCCCTCACTGTCATATTCTCACAATAATATCTGGCAGCTGTTGTAGATTTCTGTGGAAACCAATAGTAAAACAGAATTGAATCAATAAAAATGGTCAAATCTAATTGTTCTAATCCAGCTGTAGACGAGAACACATTAGTTCTATTCGAACCAACTGATAACTTCTCAAAACTGTAAGTGATTAAGGCCAGTGGACTGCTGTCAAGAATATTACCTTAAAATATGTAAAATTAGCGAAAAATTTTATAATAAAAGATATTCTGGAAGCCAATTCTGTGTAAGCATAAATAAGGCTAAAAAATTTTAAAAACAATGATCTCATTGGTAAAAATTGGTACAAGGAGATCATTGGTCAAAACACAAATGAGATCATATATGTATATATTAAACCTAGTAAATCTAGAGCCAAGATTAATACTATTACAAGAATTAATATTAAACTCCACAGTCTTCCGAGTTGAACCGCGTCGATGATCATTGCAAGTTTTCGACATCCTTCTTGATGTCTTCTTCAGGGCTTCTGAGGTCTCAGTCTACCGAGCTTCCGACACTACGGCACTGATCACTAACCAATACATTACTGCTATTGGGAACAGCAGACGGTTTATTTATACGGTCGATGGTGACGTGCTTTGGCTGTAGGTTGGCATAGGGGTAAGCGTGGGAATTTGCGGGGAGATTGGTGCAAACATTTCTGACAGTAGGATGTTGATTGGTGGGTAAATAGATAACATTTTCCTTATAAGAGGATAATATATGAAAATGTAAATAAAAAAGTACTTTAAATTCGGTTTTTTAACTCCCATTTCGATATTGGTATCATTGTTTCCATTGACTGATTTCCGAAGTGGGAACCGAAACTTCAAGTATTTTTAATTAAAATTGTGGTTTATTCTCATCAAATATAGTAGTTAATGTAATATTCTTGGTCTATTTTATACGATTTCTGAAAGTTACTTGTTGGTAAACTGTCGCTTCAGTCCTTCGGTATCGCTGTTGAAGTTAATAATGTATCTCTCGTGTCAAATAAATCCACTAGGTATAATTAGGGTTTTGTGTTTAAATACACTCCGTGACATTAGAAGTGTTACACCCAGAGGGAAAAATTTCTTAATTTTTTGGCAACATGCTAAATTTACATCAAGATTAAAATGATTACGTTGTAAATAATTTTTATTAACAAGTAAAAAAAATAATGTGTATGGCGACACCATAGCTGCATCTTCTTGTGGGACCTCATTCCAAGCAACTTGAACTTCATGTATTAACTGTGCTAGAGTCTGTGGAGGATAGTGCAAAGTGGACAGTCTCCTTCCCATCATATCCCATACATGTTAGGATTTAAATCCGGAGCACGGGGCGGAGCGGTAAAACATTAAAACAAAGTCCATAGGTTGACGAGCAATATGGGGACGCGCGTTGTCTTGCTAAAAAAGAACATCTTGACGGCGAGATAAGGCAATAAAGTGGTTAGTAAGATGTCATCAACATACCGCGCAGCTATCATATTGGCCCGAATAAACACAAGTGGTGATCGGCTAAAATAGGCTATAGCCCCCCAAACCATTACTTCAACTGTCCTGTGTACATGTCTTGAACCTCAAACACAATATCTATGGCTCTCCATGGCAGCGTCTTACCATCCTACGAACATCATGCATTCCTAAACAGAATCGTGATTCATCACTGAATGCTACATTACGGCATTCTGCCACCCAATGCTGCCATTCTCGGCACCAATTCAAACCATTTCCGTAGCCCAAACTAGTCCAATGGCTTGAATGCAACAGTATATTGTAAGTATACTAACAGATCTACCTACTACTTTACTTTACGTCAAATTGCTGACTAATTACATTAGTCAGCAATTTGACGCGTAGTAGCAAAACGGTCTCGCAGAGACAGTAATCTAAAGCGCCTATCTTGACGCTCTGTAGTACCCTCGATTGACCAGTTGATCTTCTTCGTGTTCCTCTACCTTTGTTTGTCCACACACGACAGATACGCATAACCGTCATTGCCTTACAATTAACAAGGCGACCAATTTTGCAATACGACAAACTCATATCTCTATACGCAATAATTCTACCCCTGTCAAAATCGCTAACACGGTGGTAATTTTGGTGTCTTCGAACGAGTCATTTTTTTACACTGAATACAATTAGGCTGCTGGCTGAGGAATAATAACTAAAAATTTCTATATGAACCCGTTTTCACAAGTCGATCTTTTCACAAAAAAAATTAAAGATAAAGCTTTATTTTTACAAAAAGTAGAAAAGACAAAACATTAGTATTATTATCATAGCATGTTTTAAATATAGTCATTCTGTTGCTAAAAAATTAAGTTCAAGAAATGTCACTGCGTATATCTTTATAACCACTCTAATAGTTGATTTATTATAGGAGACCTGTTACTTTTTTATTACTTACCAACAGTATCTGGCTTTGTTCCAAATAAATGGAAATAAGCTCCTTCGTAAAAAAGGAACCGTAACTGATTCAAAAATGGATATATTTTCTCTTCGTATTTGTTTTCCACAAAACCTCGTGGCCATACGGTTCCTAGTAATGTTTTAAGAATAGTAACAGTTCTCAAAGAGAAACAAAAGTTTGAATGTAATCCGATTACTGAATCGGGATATAGTGTAGCTAAAGCTGTGATTGTGACTGCGCCCCAATCGCTCCCGTGTACTACAAACTTATTATAACCTAAACGGTTCATAAGAAGGCGCATTATGTTTGCGCTATGAGCAGCACCGAAGCCTGGTTTGGACGCTCCATCAGAATACCTAAAACAGAATTAGTACACCGGGGTAAGAGGAACCTAAAAAATCATTAATTTCTGTTTAAGGCCTTCTAAAAAATTTAGTTATATATGCACTCTATAAGGTTACCGACAGGTAAGAGTTACACCATTTTCTAATACGAATGCGGTGTTAAAACATAAAAAAAACTTTAAATAACTTTTTTCTAACAAAAACTTTCAATCATGTGACATGGTTTCCACTTGCCCCACATTTTCTACATGGCAAGGGGCAAGTAGAAACCTATCCGAATTTATATATTGAATTCAATGCAAATCATTCTGGGGCAAGTAGAAATAATAAAAAACCATTTCTGAATACATTTGTAATAAAAGTTTAAAAAAATATGGTTATTAGCGAACATTATAGTTGTTTAGAGAAATAGGAAACGAAATTAAAGCTTGTTGCCTTTTTGTAAGCTGGGAAAAACTTAATGGTTTTGGCAATACTAATTCAATTTGGAACTTAAATGTGACTGATATGTCTGGTAGGTTAGGAAAATAATATTTTCCGTCATTTTTTGTGCATTTTCGAAGGCAACTAACTTTAACTTCAGTATCAAAACACTGTAAAATTTTAGCGACATAATAAATATAATTTGAGCCTCCTTTAACTGGAAATTTCATTAATACGAAATCATCGGGCATAGCCGCACGATGTAACTCTTCTTCGATGGGAGGGGTTGGAACCCTTAATATATCAATATCGTCGTCGGAATCTGATCTCATCTCAATGAAAGCTTGGTCATCATCACTGCTGTCAGATTCTGTTTCCTTCTTCTTTATCCTTTTCCTTTCCGTTTTATTGGATTTTACGGTCATTTTGTCTTGTTGTATCTTCATTTTTGCTAAATAGTCAGTGTGTGTTATGATCTCAGCGCCAGAACAGATTTTCTTACGCTTTTGCTGGTTTGATGGGGATTGTTTGACATGTTCGAGTAAAATAGATTCGAGGAAGCCTTTTTAATGCATGATTCCGATTATCATTTTGAAGATACTGTTTGTATTGTAACACAGTACTTCTGACCAAGTGTGTTGCTTGGTTGCCACTGGTATTTTCCGACATTTCTTCTTGTTGAGGGGTATCACCAGGGTCATTCCTATTTCTCACTAATGATGCCTTCTTAGAGTTATGATATTGAAATCTTTTGAAAGCCTCAGGTTCAAATTTTTCAACAGGAATCACTGCATTACAGAATGGGTAAATACCGGCCTTACTAAAACCACTTCTAATATGGTTTGAACTCAGCTCCTTCCATACTTGTGAAATTATAGATGAAAATATGGATTTCGGTAACTTTGTACCGTCATTTCTTCTTTGCCATTTTATAAGAGCTTCATCGTACATTTGTTTTAAAGGCTTGAACACAGCCAAATCCATTGGCTGTAGGAGATGGCTTGTATGTGGCGGTAGTTTTAAAATAATTATGTCTTCCCTTAAAGCAGTTTCTATAAGGGCAATTGATGTGTGTGAAGAGTGACCGTCATAGATCAGAACAACGGGTCTCTCTTTAGGAATATTCGGAAGGAACGTATGTTCAATATAATTAGAAAATGTTTCCGTTTCCATCCATCCGTTTATTGTTGCTCCGTATGTAATTCCTGGATACTCGTCATCTTTTTTTGCTAGCCATGTATCCCAAAGATTTTTTCCTTTGAAAATAATAAGGGGTGGTAATTTTTCTTCTATAGCATTGCCACCCATTAAGACAGAAAAGTTTTCTTTGCCAGGACCAGCTGTAACTCGATGAGCGGCTTTTCCTTTTTCACCTACTACTTTTACACGACTAGGATCTAGACAGAAACTGGTTTCATCTAGATTATAAATCCTTTCACGGGTATATTCGAAGTGATTTCTTTCACCAAGTCAAAGTACTCTGCAATTACAAATGGATCTATACCTTTTTTACGGGCCACTTCAACTAATTGTGGCTTCTTTTGAGAAAGTCCATATCGGCGCTTGAAACTTAAAAAATAATCATCTCCTGGTATTGAATCTTTAAATGGAGTTTTTATGTTATTTTCTGACACATATTGTCCAATAGCTAACAAAATTTCTTTTTTTTGAAAGACCAAAACCCCATTTTTCCATGGTCTTAATATGGTCAGCAATTTTGGTCTCAATATCTAAAGGTAAAGCTGTTGGCCTACCCATAGTGGTACTTTTTTCACCCCTTAATCCCTTGACTCTTTTAAATAATGTTGTTTTTGGAATGGAGTAATGTTTTGATGCTCTGTAGAGTGTCATTTGCTTAGATTTCACAGCTTCTACTGCTTCTCTTAAGGTTTCTTGAGAATATGTTGGCGGTGGTTTCTTTTTGGCATAATTACGAACCATTGTTACTGCAAAGAAAAAAAAATAAGGTAGATTAAACTGTTTTAAATAAATGCTTGGGGAAAGTGGACACTAGTGTCCACTTTCCCCAATGTTGTGGGTTCCACTTGCCCCAAGCATAAAAAACAATGGGGCAAGTGGAACCTATCTATTTTTACAAAAATTATCTACACAAGTTAGTTTTAGCCTACATATAAATAAAATACTATATTATTTTATTCCTTACCTAATGAAAATCGCTGTTAATTCGAATTCCTTGAATCAAAACCGTTGGCTTAAAGATAACAATTACAATTCGATGGTTAAATCGATACCGCTTGGTAGATAAACACTTGAATAGTTTTGCTTAACGACAGAATTATGACTGACTCTGAGCGTCAGTGGTAATATTAACCTAGTGTAGATCGTTTTTAGGGAGATTGCAGTCACAGGACTGGATTATGATTTTTTTAAACACATGGTTTCCACTTCCCCCATATTTCCACTTGCCCCGGGGTACCTTATACTAAAATCACAATCAAGATGCACATTATGCTGACCATTATACTAGAAATAAACAAACCAAGACACGTTAAATGTTACAAGGAGCACTCTCAAATAATGCAAAGTTTATACATTGTAAATCATGATTCGGGAGTGTTCTTCGTAACATTCAAGTGTCTTTATTTGTTTATTTCTAGTGCACCTTAATTGTGATTTTAGTATAGGCACTAAAAGTTATTCCTCTTTTATAATAAACAGAATAACAAAAATTATTTCTCCTAAGAGGAAAGGTAAGAGGAAAGGTAAATATAGTATGTATATACAGTGCGTTAAGTTTTGGATTAGTTCGCTAAAGCGCTAAAATCGGCAACATTGCCTCTTACTAGGAAATGGACAGCCGGAGTGTGACGTCACATCTGTCGTATTGTTGTCACTACTTTCCAAACAAAAGTTAAAATGTCAAATCTCAAGATTTTTTAATTTCTATAAAGTTAACATTTTGCTTCCTCTGCTACTTTTTCTTTTAAGTATAGTGTTTTTTACGATAATACCATCATAGTTCAGTTTCTATTTCTATGAAATATAGTTTAAAAGTATACATTAAGGAAATTCTAACCTTACTTTATTGATGCATTCATTTTATTGCTATTTTTATAAAACAACATGCTTTATTATTTACACAACCTTGTAAAATTGTTGTAGTAACTATTAAAATACTTAGATATTGCAAAAAGCGGAAAGATTCTCTAAAAAAATTAAAAAATAAAGAAAAATACAAATTATCCACACTAAACAACATTTGTTTGGTAAGTGAAGCTGACAGATGTCAATAAAATCTATGTGATCACTCCAGCGGTCCATTCTAATTTTCCAATCCCCTCCGCTCATCAAATATTTGCTGTCTTTTTCATCAACGTCTGTTTTGCTTTGCAATTTTTAGAAAGCACAGATTAAAGCAGAAATCTGAATTGTGTTTCGAAACTATTTTACGGATTTATTATCAGATGTCGCTATTGCGTCCATATCGAAGCCATTTTAGTGTTGCTTCTTAAAAGACAGAAAATATTGATCCTTCACGTTGAGAACACCTATGAATAACTGTTCTGATGAGACCTATTAGGTCGAAATACGTATCAACAGATACATAGGCGCAGTTTGCGTGAAATAAAATATTTGCTGTCTTTTTCATAAAGTATAATATTTTATAACTTTTGGGCAGTCAATATTTTTAGGCAGTGTTTTTATATTTAAAAAACTGAGCTTGTGCAAAACGCTTCCTGTACGCGGATAACTACTCTACTTACCCAAATCCTATGAGAGAAGGTATAACTAACTCTATTGAGAATTTATCTCGATATTCTTTTGAAGTCAATTTTGGTATGGACTCATAAAATTCTGTAACGGAACTTGGCCATCCGTGTAACATTAATATTGGAACAACTGGAACATTTGCTTGTCTCTTAGATCTAATGTGTATAAAATGAACGTTGATACCTTAAAAATATAATAATATGAAGTAAATATAACATTCCTATATCTAAAGCGATTTGTGGTAAGTAATTTCGCATATTATCTTTTGGTTTTCTATATTTAACCAGATAAAGTACAACCTTAAAAGAGCAGCGCGAGTTTCTCTTATTGCTCAACCCATATTTCAGTTGCTTATAGTATGTGGCAGGGAACCCAAGACCTTAAATGTAGAGAGTCTCAAAGCCAGCATCTCATATACAAAACTCGTAGCAAAACTCAGTCTTCCTTCAATCTTTTTTTATGATACTTTATGATACTTGTACAATTCTATGGTGCCTTACAGAGGGTCTTCGATCAGTTTATTCGAAGAACCCAGTTTATTCATCTTCCCGTGCTGGAGACTCTATGGCTGGAAAGAAATTTATTAAAAAAAACTACCTTTTCAAAACAGATATACAATACATTAGTGTAAAGAAAGAATAAAGTTTATAATAGTTTGTGAAAAGGTCGAAAAAGTTTTATCAAATTTAAAAAGAAAAGTTTATAAAAATTCTGAAAAATCGGAAAAAAAGACAGAAATTTGTACCTTATTCACAATTACCGCACAGTAGCTTCTGGTAGTAATCTTCTTCTTCTGCAGGTACCATCTTCCATCACAGCACCTTCGACTTCAACAACTTCGTCCTCCTCTAGGCCATCAGTAACCCATAATCATTTGTCAGCCGGTTTCTAAGTAGGGGGTATGCCTGCACCTACGTGGTTACTAAGCACCACCTGCGTTAGGGCAGAGCGTGACTCCGCGGCTACTCCAGGGCCTCAGTAACTTTTGAGACTGGTGGCTTCGGTGACTTCTCAGGTCTCTGAAACCTTCGACACTGGACAGTGTCAGGAACTGCAGAATTGGTAGATGATACCATTAGCTATTGGTGTGCAGCTTTTTTTTGAGCTCGGTGGGAGCTTGGGTCGTCGGTTTGTGTTATTTGTTGGGCGCCATATCACCATATGGGATGTAAGGACATGTTAACGTATGTCCACTTATACAATCCCACGGTGCCTTACAGAGGGTCTTCTTCCATTCTATTCAAAGAACCCTCTGCGTATCTTCCATCTTTAGTTCTAAAGTAACATTTCTTACAGCGGAAGTAAATAAAACACAGGAATGACAGGTAGACAAGGTCCAACCACAGAGTCTAACGTAGTAAAATCGAAGCAGAGCTTCGACATGGGACTCCCAGGGTACATGTGATCCTATTTGGGATCCGAGACCAGACAGGCCGAGAGCAGAAAATGTGGCAAATTTATATGTTAATTTATATTTATGTGGCATTTGCAGATCTCTTGGCCAATAGTAAAATTGAAAGCAGTTTTAAGGGAGGGCGATGCACATCAAAGTGCGTATTAGTTCACAACTTATGCACCAGGATGGCAAGTAAGGTAAAACCTGGTAACATTGACAAGGAGCAAACATTGACACATTTTCAAATATCCCGCTCACATTTTATACACCCAAGAAAAATGAGAGTTTGACGGTTTTAAAATTTTACATGTACAATGTTGTTAAAATTATGCATAAAGAAATTTGACTGTTACGTATTAAGTAAATCTTTATTATTTCAAGTCATTGTGGTGAATTTTTGCATTTTCTGTATAAAGTAAATCGTTATTAATTAACTTATTGAAATATTGTGTTTTATTTTGATTTGATTAAAAAAAAATCATGAAAAACTTGTTTTGAGGTTAACTTTGCCATGTAAAGTGTCAATGTTACACTACTGTATAGTGTAAATTGCAAAATCTTGATATTATTAGGTGCTTACCTACACATCAGTTTTTTTTTAGCCAAAATGTCGGAAAAAAGAGATACTACAAAACATACACTAAAGAAAGAATGGAATGTGCCGTTAGCGCAGTTAAGAACAATGGTATAAGCGTAAAACGAACTGAACCTTACTAAATCATGTAAATAATTTTAAATGTAATGATCTTGGAAAACCTACTGTACTTGCCAAAGACAAAGGACTACTAATAGTTTATGGAATAACCAAATTAGCAGATTTGGGTTTGATCGAATGCAGTTAAAAATGTGTTTAGAAGATTATCTATAACGAACAGATAGAAAAAATCCTTTTAAAAACGGAATTCCGGGAAAAGATTGGATTACTGGTACCATATTTGTTTTGAATTTAAGGTAGATTTAATAATGAACAAGTATTTTTAAACTATTTTTTTAGTGTTTGAGAGACGTTGGAAGAATCTAATAAGTTGTAGAGTTGCTCAAAACCATCCCAGGAACCGCGCTGAAGACTGTTCAACTGAAGTGTTAGGCGACTATTATCGACAGCTAAAAAACACTGTTGAAAAAAATGGTTTAGGAAATAAACCACAAAATATATTCAAATGTATGTCGAGAAGGATCTAAAAATCCACATAAAGTTGTAGGCACAGTAACAAAATCAGCGTACACTGTTCTGGGATGGATGGAATCAGCTCAGTTTACCAATTGATTAGAAAAAGGTTTTATCAAGCATACTACGAAACTTAAAGGCCCTTAGTTTCTTATAAAGTTTCTTATATGTAATGGTCACAGTTCACACTTGACTGTGCCACTAATCTAAATGGCCTGTGCCAATAATATTGAACTTTTGTGTTTGCCGGCCCTCACATCTCTTAGATATATGGGAGTTTTTAAAAGCGTGAAGCAATCGTCGCACAATGTGTGAAAAGATTATTATCGCGCTACGGGATGCAAAAATGTAGACAAAGATACTTTTCCTTCATTTCTTATCAGATAAGATATAGGATAAGATATTACAAAAATGTGAAGAGTTATCGGCGCACGTCCACTCCAGATCTACAATAAGAAGGAGCTGCTCTAAGTTTTCCAGAAAAGTTAGAACTTCAGGTTAATCACGACTTTTAATCAGATGATGTAGCTTCTACCAGTACGTCTAGCCACCATACAGAAAGATGTTACACCAAAAAAAACCTGGAAACTCTCATTATTACAGCACTAAAGAAGCAAGAAAAAAGAACAGGAATACTGAAACGGAATAGAATTCAAAGAAAATTGGCTGAATGTCTTGAACGAAAGAATACGATTCTCAATAGTCCTGATAAATCCTACAACTATCAAGCGATCACTCTTAGTTAACTTTGATTCTAGTTAATATCGCATTTTTTGTGTTTTAAATAAATTTTGTTAACCAAAAGCAGTGCATAATGTTACTTGACCATTAATAAATATTGGCTTATAACGTAGTTAATATTGGGTGTCAATGTTTTCTTAGAGTGTGGGTAACATTGACATCCGTCACATTTACACATACCAAAAACGGTATCAAAATTTAGGAACTTACAATAAGACTTTTCAATATGTGTCAATGCTACCCGGATCTACCTTTTGCAAAATTGTAGACAAATAATTCTAAAAAAATATTCTTACCTTGTATATTGGTCTTAAACTGTGGTAAACTATTAAGATAATTTTGTCGTTCAGTAAAATTATATTCATTCTTGATAAAATTAAGTAAAGTTTGTATAACTTTCCCATTCAAACCGTACTGCGTTTGAGTATTCTCCAACGGAGGTATAAATTCTCTGGTGTTGTTCAGTCTTAAAAGAAGATCATCTATATCCTAAAATATACATTAGAATTCATTGAAGTTAACAATTATTTTAATAGTATATGTATTTAGAAATACCCGTAATTGGTAAATATTGTAGTAATTCAGCAACAATACATAATATATGAAGGGTCAGGAGGAAAAATGGTTTTAGTCTAAAAAATCGAAATTCAGTTTTTGGCGCTATTATTATAGTTCAGTGCCGTCTCTTTTAACCACGAAAAACACTACTAACAAAAATGCTTTCAGTTCGATGTAATAGAGGCAGAAATATACGGCATAAGTGGGAAGAATGATTTAAGTTACAGCACGCAGATGGAAGAACAACCAGGGTCCTAAGAATATGGTGGTGGACGCAGCACAGTCAGGTAGCAATGGACCGCAGGAGTGTGACGTCACATTGTCATTATTACTTTCCAAACAAACGTTGAAATGTCAAATCTCAAGACTTTTTAATTCCTATAAAGTTAACATTTTGCTTCCTCAGCTGCTTTTTCTTGTAAGTATAGTGTTTTTACGATAATACCGTCATAATTCAGAGTTCTATTTCTATGAAATATGGTTTAAAAGTTTAATTAAAGAAATTTTAACCTTACTTTATTGATACTTTCATTTTATTCCTATTAGTATAAAACAATGTGCTTTAATATTTACACAACCTTGTAAAATTGTTGTAGTAACTATTAGAATACTTAAATATTGCAAAACGCGGAAAGATTCTATAAAATAAATGAAAAAATAACGAAAAATACAAATTATCCACACTAAACAACGTTTGTTTGGAAAGTGAAACTGGCAGATGTCAATCAAATCTACGTCATCACTCCTGTGGTCCATTATTACTAGTAGGAAGCGTCTATATTCTTTGCTAGTAGGGTCTCTGAAGAGTTGTTTCAGTTTAAAAAAGTATTATTAAGTCAAGTGTATTGTTGTGTTATAATGGATAACGAAATGGAAATGGGGATAATGGAAATGGGCTGGACACAATGAACGTCTCCAAGACGGACGATGGAACAATGCCATCGGAAAGTGGCGTCCATACAATGCAAAGAGATCAAGAGGTAGACCACAGATGAGGTGGAAAGATGACATCAGGAAACAAGGAGGTCCACATGGCAGAGAACAGCTCAAGATAGGGAAAGATGTAGAGAACTGGGGGAGACCTATATCCAACATGGATAACGAGTTTGAAAGTGATCAAAGTTATAATGGAGGTGGCGAAGTTGTCATTTCAAAAACAACAAAGAAGAGAAAAAGTTATAGCCGTGTAAAAGATGTCATGAAAACATTAGGCTAAATAGTCATACTAAAAGTGAAGACTGCAAGTGCCACAGATTAAAATGCTTTGAAAATATATCATTAGATAATAGACTAAGAATAATAACACAGTTTAATGAACTGGATTCGTATAATAAACAAAATAGCTACTTGGGAGGTCTTGTTACGGCTATACCGGTGCAAAGGCGTAGGAGCAGAAAATCACAGGAGGAGGCAAAAATTAACCAAAGTTCATTTGTGTACAGGATTAGAGTAACAAGTAATGACAGTTTTCGTGAAGTCATCATCACAGTCATTAACATCTTAGTAGATGTGTTGTGGTTCATAATTGGGCTTCAGCAGCTCGGACAGTTTGATTGATAATATTTCTCCACTGGTCGCGGTAATCAGTTATATGTATTGCCTCAGTATACTGTTTATTGATATTTTTAGTAATGTCCGCCCATCGCTGTGGAGATCTTCCGCGTTGGCGTTGAGTCTGAGGCCTTCCTTGGACCACCAACGCTCCATTTTGTGATCACTTCGATGGATATGGCCAAAGAAATTTAAAATTCTAGAGTAAACGGTACTGGAGAGACTCTGATCCGGTTTAATTTCATCCAGAATCGAAATATTTGTACGGCGAGCCGTCCATGGAATTCGAAACAGGCGTCTCCATGTCCACATTTCAAAGGCGTCTATACGTCGTCGATCTGATTCTTTGACTGTCAATGTCTCGCATGCGTAGTAAAATATGGAAAAGACCAGAGTTGAAACGAGTCTCTTTTTGTTTGTCATAGTAATGTGACGATCACGCCAGACCCCGTTTAGTTCACTCATTGCTGCTCTTGCTAGTTGAATGCGTCTTCTAATTTCGGATTCACAACTGCCTGTGTTGTTAACTAGAGCTCCAAGATATATCATAGATGAGATACTACCTCGCATCCCGCAATAGTTTGGGTTTCAGGAAACTGTTGTTGGCGATCAATAACCATGATTTTGGTTTTATTGTAGTTAACCATGAGTCCAAATTTAGCACTTTCTACCTCGAGTTTTTTTAATAATTTAGTAATTTCTTCTGGAGTAGAGGCTAGAAGTGTAGTGTCGTCTGCGAAACGCAAGTTAGATATCTTAATGTATTAAAGCTTTTTTTTTCTATTCACGGGATTTATTTCTCGAAGAACTCCAACAATCAAAGAATAGTTGGGTTCTAATGGCACTGTAAAACCAAATGGAAGAGGTAAGCATAATAAGAGGCCCCACCAATTAAGTGACGAAACTAAACTTTGTGTCAATTCATTTCTTCAATCACTAAAGAGTAGACAGTCACATTATCCTCTAATAGATACTGATAAAATTTATTTACCTGAAGATCTCAATATTTCAAAATTGTGGTCAAAGTATAAAGGTTAAAATTCCAATAACAAAGTTTCCTATAACACGTTTAGAAGTATTTTTAATCAAGATTATAATTTCTTATTTGGTTACCCACTGAAAGATACATGTATTACATGTGACTTTAACAAGTCTAAAAAAGCTGAATTCGAACAATATATTGCTACTGCAACTGTGAAAGGGAAAGTTAATTTTGAAAGACTTGAATAAGTTGTTAAGTGAGAAAAATCTCCATTTACGTAAGAGTGCTGCATTTTATGGCTTAAAGACTCAATACAAAAGAAAATCCAGAAAAACTCATGACATGGAAGCCATTGCTATGGATTTCCAAAATAGTTTGCACACTCCCAACATCACTACAAATGATGTTTATTACACCGACAATAAATTTTGTCTCATTCAACATTCATGTTCTTTCTGATCAAACATCTGTGTTTTATACATACGATGAAAGTGTTGCTAAAAAGGGAGATGATGAAGTGTGCTTGATAATTGACCATTTTGTGACTTCCATTCTGTCTACGACTGTTCGTAATCTTACAATATTTTGAGATAGTTGTGCTATTACATGTTGTTGAGCTGGACAATGTTAAAGTAATGTTTCCCATTAGAGTGTGACAGTGTGTACAGTTAATTAGAGAGAGAGTGTACAGAGAGAGTGTGTACAGTTAATTAGAGTGTGACCGTGAGATGAGTCTCATCAATCAAAAATGCTATGTCGAGGTTTCAGAGGAATGGAGGAAAGTTATAAGAAGTAGTCGTGCGAAACTATCTCCATTCGTAGTAATTGACTGTTAAAAAGGCATGTTCAAGTCTTGGACTAATTTTTTGAAGCCTATATACCAAATAAAGTGTCTAGTACCTATAATTTATACAGAAAGTTCATACAGCCAAATTAAAGAATTACGAAAAAACGATTAAAAATCAACCAAAATCTAGTTATAATACGTATTCAATGCGAATAGACACTGGCCAGACTACTAACAAAATTTACGCGATTACTAACTAAAACGATTGCGGGATACGCCACCTTCTTTTCTAGTATGTAAGGACGTATCAGATTTAATACGAATCGCAACGACGGTTTTAAACAAACACAATTTTAGGAAACGGTTATCTAAATTGGTTGTAGCAGATCTGCTACATTGTGCAGTATAGGGTTAATTATAGAAGAATTCGGTTTATACACCAGTCAAATCTTGAACTCAAAGTAAATTGGGTAATGTAAACAACAGAGACGCTTACCGTTTAGACGTTGGTATTTAACCAACAAAACGAATCTTCATAACTCAATTTCTAACGGAAAAGAGTTAGCCAATTTATTGGAAGAATATTTAAATAACAAAATGCCGTTGACTTGGTGTATAGTCTACAATTTGACGAAACTATTAGAGCGCTCAGAAATTTACTGCATCTAACGGGACCTTTTCGAGTCAAACTTCTAAAGAATGTTTACTATATTTGTAAACAAAGAGTATCCAGCGTTAAAATAAGCAAATACACAAAGGACAACAGAGTTTCAAAACGGGAATCATACTATAGCACCCGAGCATTTGTTCTGAAAATATTTTTATTATGTCTTACTCAAAATAGATTAGTCTTGACAAAATATTTTCATGAGAATAAGGAGGTATTATGTATGTACAGGGTGAAATAAGATTTCGTTAGTTTATAATAAAATAACGAAAATTGAACATGCTATAATAACCAGATTTTTGACACGTTACAACGTATTTAACGCTCTTAGACCACATTTGGCATAGTATACTGCTCGACAATTCTGTTTGTTGATGTACCCTTCTTCTTCTTCTTCTTCATGTGCCTTGTCCATTCCGAACGTTGGCAATCAACATGGCTATTCTGACTTTGTTTACGGCAGATCTGAATAGTTCAGCAGATGACAATCCGAACCATTGCCGCAAGTTTTGGAGCCACAAGTGTCTTCTTCTCCCTGGAGAACCTCCCTAGTACCTCTTCGTTGGTCACGTGCTCAGTTCAGGATATACGTAATATACGTCGGTAAGCCCACATTTCGAAGGCCTCTACTTTTTTCATCAATGCTGCAGTCATTGTCCACGCCTCCATTCCATATAACAAAACCGGAATACATAACATTTGAGAAGTCGAATTTTGAGAGGTATGGTGAGGCTTTTAGAGGTGAAAATTTGCTTCATGCTAGTGAACGATGCTCTTGCCTTTTCTACCCTTATACGTATTTCCTTCGCTTGATCCCAATTTGAGTTAACTGTTGTTTCCAAGTAGATGTACAAATCCACGTGTTCAATTCTTTCATTGTCTAATATCAGTTGCCTGTACACATTCATTCAAAACTGGGCCTCGTGACTTAAGACGATTTTTCGATGAAAATTAGGGTTAGTTTGCAACTGCTTCAGAGCCCATTCAGCGAACGTTGTTTATGGTAGTTTCCCTTCAGCTTCTGAATCAGTTGAATTATGTATGAGCAAATGTCTAAATCACAACTTAAAATCCGTTAAGTTGTGATCTGTGAAAGGCAGAGTTCTTGGGTGCGACGATATATAGATTAGGCTTTAGTAATATATACTTCATAGCAGCCAGTCAATGAAAGGAATAGATTCTATTGATCTCGTGAGAATAATAAAAAATGGCAAAAATCGCACCACTTTTATTTATTTAACACCTGTATAAAATATTTAAAAGTTTATTTGCAGGCAAAATAGAAAAACGCATATGAAAGCTGAACTCTTTACTTTTAAAACGTATCTTGATTTTTGTCGATAAGTTACTTGAATCAAAAGATATCGAAATTTCACCGTCAAGCGGATACAAATTTTATTGAATATTAATTTTGCGCATAACTGACATTTAAAATCGACAGTCGCTTCAAGCGTTATTTGTGAGAAAAAGTGCTGAGAAACATTTTTGTTTAAAATTATTTCAGCTACATTTTTCATTTGAAACATTTTTTCTATGGTGTACAGATTCTTGGTAAATCGATTTTTTTGGGTTTTTACCCCCCGACGAGGTGGGTTTTAGGGGAAAACCCTGCATATTTGTGGAAATTAATACTCTGCAAAATTCAGCTTATTCGTATGATTTTTAGAGATAACCAACTAATTTGATAAATATATCACTTCAAAAACATTATCACTATCAACTGTCAAAGTTCGAAAATCACTATTGAGGACCTTTTACATACCAATTAACACAACAGCATAAATCAAATTGACTCACCCGTTTTGGTACAGTGATCCGGAATGGATATATGTTTGTGTCTTTTTTACACTCGTTGCCCCAACAAACATCGTCATTTACTTCAGGTATATGGCGAATACTAAGAAATGTTTGAATATAGTATGCACACCATGACACAAGTAAAATGATACCAACTAGTAATATGCTCTTAAATGCCATTTCTTAAGAAAAATGTATCTGATATACTTTGTGTCCTATATAAAAACAGACAAGATGTATTCTTTATCAATACAACTTACTAATTTTGTATTACAATAGCGTACAAGTCTCTGCTTTTAAAATAACGGCGAAAAGATAAAGAAAGAATGATACAGCAATATTGCCTAAGTAATTAATTATACGTGTATTTTTTAGTGCAAAATCAATTATTTTCAAATGTTAAGAAATGAATGAAAATGAAACGGAAAAAATTCGTTATATATTTTGTTATAGCAGATACCAAAAAAAATTATTTACAAAAATAGGAGATATCTTTACATTTTCAAATTAGTTACAAATGTACAGGGTTTTTCATAACACTATAACACATCAAAGAGATGCTCTTTTATGAAACAGTTCGAGAAGAGATGCTTCAGGTAACATTTTATAACGGATATTATATAATACTGGTAATATACCACTGGTCTGCAAAAAAATTCTCCTCTCTTGTTGTCATAAATAATAACGTTATTTTTGGTGCTCTTAACGCGAAATTTAGTATTGGAATAAATATAGCACATATACTTTTCATATAATCTTCATTTAATCAAAAAACGAAATTAGAGTTTCGAAATTTCAAAAACTTTAATAGGTAATGTTGTTACGGAATAATAAGGCATACAACTCATATAAAAAAGTTACTTTCTGTTAACGAATAGGTACTTAACTGCAGTTTAATTCAACTGCATCTACTTTATCATAGATGACGAGATATGTTTAAGTAATATAATGTATAAGTTTTACTGTAAAAAAATCTTGACTAAAAGACAAGAGACAATCGATCAACAGCATTGTTGCTGGTCATTTCTTATTGTAACCTCTTCCAGTATGCAACATATCCTGGTGAAACGTTTCACCATGCTCATCTTTTCATACTAACATCACACAGATTTTCAGAAAAAAAAAATTAATTACGAATCTAAAAAATGAAACTTAAGTGACATTGCATCCTAGACCTTCATAAACACAAACAAGTTCTTGAATGATTTCTGGGTAGTTGTCAGCTTTAGTATTGCCAAGGAAATTATGACATATGTCTATTAAAGCTGCACAAGCTCTTTTTTCTGCTCTGTTTAACATCAAATTAAAGCTACATCTGTCATAAGCTCTTGTATATGCGGGCCAACAAAATTCGTTCTTTCAACTTCACGTCACTGGTTCGGAGAAATTTAGCACTGAAATCCTTTACAATTTTTGTTCATATATTTTACGAAATTATTAATAAATTTCAGCATACGTAAAGTGGTGTCAGAAAAACTTCTGGTCTAGTGGCACTAGAGGTTTTTGAGATACATTTTTAACTCACAAGTGTTAAAACATTTTTGAAAATTCTTCACTACGAAACGTTTGTCTCTTCCACGACTTGTCCAAAAATATGAGGTTCTCGTATTCTTGTCTAACAAATTTTACGGTTTTAATCTTGATTCAAGCAATTAAACTTTAGATTTTAATAGCCCTAAGTCTCTAAGATCATTCAAATCAGATTGTTTTAGACAGTATTGTTCTTTTAATGGACTTAAAAATCTAGATAAAGTGAACGAAGATGAGGAAGTACATTTAGAAAGAAAACTCGATTGAGTCTGTAGACCAGAAATAGTTTTACCATTCATCTTCGTGTTATTTTTTGGTGGTATTGAAAGTAAAGTGCCTTTATCGCGATTAACTGGTCTTTTTACAGAAATGATGTTCGGATGAATGATTTAATCTTTATTTTCTCTCGATAATTCTCGCGTTGATGTCATACAAACAGTAGCAATAATTAATTACTAATAAACTGGGAATAAGCCACAATTAAAGATAAAAATACGTTTATTGACGTTTCAATTTCCACTTCGGAAATCGTTCTCAAAATACAAACAGTAAATTAAACAAATTTTGTTTTTTGTTACATAGTGAAAAATTCTTCTAATAATTTAATTTTATCTGACTCATTTATATTGACAATTTAGACATACATTATGCATTTTAAAGTAGACGACTTTAAAATGATATTGCCAATATTGTTGAGTTGCGCTCCTGGGACGACTTTACTTATAAGATAGTTCATTCGATTACATGAAATCAACTTTAACTTGAGAATATCCGTCAGAAAAAATCATAGCATGTAATTCGTCTTTAAAAAGACAAACACATGACATGATGACAGTAAAATTCTCCTGTTAGTGATTCCATAGTAAATTATGAGGGAAAACCAGGAAAAAACCTCATAATACTATCCCGACATTGTAAGTATTTGTTCGTGAATTTAGTTTACCTTCAACAAACATCAAAATTCTGATTTTATATGTTACGTTATTTAAAAAACATAAATGAAGTATCCTCTATATGTTACTGACTTACTAATGCTGGTATTTTCTTATTAATAACTTCCTCTTTCAATATTGGTAACCAGATCCTACTACATTCTGCCGAAGAATTTGCGACACAATTGGCCTCATTTAACATAATTAGAGCCGCTTCTTTGATTTTTCTTTTTTACCATCCGTTTCTTTTAGGACTACATTTGAATTACTCCATTGAACCCTATGTTCATTATCAAATGCATGTTTACAGGAGAATTTTACTGTCATCATGTCATGTGTTTGTCTTTTTAAAGACGAATTACATGCTATGATTTTTTCTGACGGATATTCTCAAGTTAAAGTTGATTTCATGTAATCGAATGAACTATCTTATAAGTAAAGTCGTCCCAGGAGCGCAACTCAACAATATTGGCAATATCATTTTAAAGTCGTCTACTTTAAAATGCATAATGTATGTCTGAATTGTCAATATAAATGAGTCAGATAAAATTAAATTATTAGAAGAATTTTTCACTATGTAACAAAAAACAAAATTTGTTTAATTTACTGTTTGTATTTTGAGAACGATTTCCGAAGTGGAAATTGAAACGTCAATAAACGTATTTTTATCTTTAATTGTGGCTTATTCCCAGTTTATTAGTAATTAATTTACAATGCCACAAGAAAATAGCTTCAGAACAATAGTAGCAATAATTTTCATGATTCTCAGATTTCCTCCAAATATTTGGCACCGCAAATGGCATAGATTTGTGATGTCCTTCAAGCCAACCTCTTAAAGTTGTTGAGCAACTTTCAGAGCATAATTTCGGCAGCCACTTTTGATCCATTTCATCAATAGAAAGTCCAAAATAAATCTGATAGGCTTCTTTAACCAGATCTGTTATTATTTTTTTCTACTCTCTTACTAGTAAATAGTATATTACCTACTATTTGGATGCTAAGTAAATGCATCATAACTGATACTGACACGTAATGACTAGCACGTAATAAAAAAAAAATACGTTTCAGTTTTATAAAAATGTGTAATATACCCGGTTCGCTATTCCTAGTCCGAACTGTCTAGTGATTTTAGTAATTTTTTTTTTTTTTTCGAAGTTAGTTACTTTTTGACAGACTCGAAGTGGCTGGAAAATACTATACAACCAAGCATACGTGCTCTTAGTCAATATTAATGTAAACTAAAGTAAATAAAATAGAACTTTACCGACAATCAATATTTATTTATTTACACCGTATAATGTATTGATAACAAATAATAAAATTATTTATTGTACAAAATAAAAAAGTGGGAATAAATTCTACAAAATTAAGAAGTCAAAGTGAGGTTAAATAAGAATAAGACACAGCAAGTTCCTTATGTATTTACAACATTTACATAATTTGATAAATACATTTTAATGATCAACTTACTTCAACAGGGTTTTCATTCGGTAAAAAAATGGTAGGCATTTTGAATAAACCTTTGTGCAGTTTTATTACCTTGTAATCTAGGAACAGCGTCCTTACTAATCTAAAAATATTAACTTAAAAAAAAACTTTTTAAAAAACATTTTATCATATTTATTAAGAAAAACTTACCGACACATTAGCTCATGGAACAAATGGAAAACTTTGACTATCCATAATAATAAAATTTAAAATATAACTAACTAATTAACTGAATAGAACTAACAAAAGAATTAAACAAAGATAATAAAACAATAAGACTATATTAAATTAAATAAACAACGCGAATAATACAAATATTTACTACAATATTTAAATTGTAACAATTCAAATATTATATTTTAAATATACATGGAAAATTTGATGGGTTTAGTATACACTTCCACTATTTAGAATAATTCTTCTTTTTTTCAAAGAATGAAGTCTGCAATAGTAGTATACTTGAGCTATTTATTCTGAGAAGTAGGAATTGTTGTGTTGTAGGTTTCCTACAATGAGTCTGTCAAAATATGCCCTAGCTAAGCGAATAGACAATATCACATAAGCCTCGTAAGTCAGTTGGTCGAGTACCATGGAAACGAATTAACAGATGTTTTTTTGACAGATTAAAAATTGTTAATCTGTCAGTGTAAATATAGTGGTAATTTAATTTTTATTTTTATAAACGAAAATAATCGTAGAAAAAGTATAGTACACAACTTGAGTTGTAAGCTTATTACATGCTTGTAAAATTACTGCGCTCGCCGCTACGCGTCTCGCGCGCAACTTTTTTACTCGCATGTAATAAGCTTCTTACAACTCTCGTTATGTAATATGCTATTAATTACGTACAAAAAATTAACTTAAACATAAACTTAAAATTACACTTAAAATACAAAACGTAAACAATTACAAAAGAAGTTTTTAACTAGCTGCTTTAAGTTTAATAAAGCTAGCTGAGGAAAAACTCTGCATATGTACCTACTACTATAAAACTCACTTACGACTTTGTCTCCCTTTATTTTATTACTCACTAAAACCCACCTTACATGTATATGTATGCATCATTTACAATGTTGCATAAAATGATGCAAAAAAAATCAAAAAATCATAAATTTTTAATGTTTTGAAAAAAAAATTAATAATAGAAAATCTAGACGTTCTAAAAAAATCGGTAAACGTAGATAAATTTAGAGTATTGATATTTCAATATTTATTATAAAATTTGAGGAAGGAGGATTTGGTTGCAGATCAGTGTAATCTTTTTGTTTCAAAATTTCCCACTCGTGCCAGAACGAACACAGCCTCCTATGTAGACACGGAAATATACACCGCGTCCAAAGACATTAGAAAAATCATCGAGAGATTAGAAAACCACCTAGAGAGAATCGGGGACCAGCTACACGGACAAATGGAAGATAAAAAACAGTACAGAGAAGACCCAAATTATCATCTTTACACAGCAGTACGAACCACCCAGAGAAGAAATACGAATGAGAAGAGGCATAACTCAGGAAGAAGATGTCAAGTATCTAGAAGACCACCTCGAAAGAAAACTTTGTTTGTAGGTATTTTTGAACAGATTCTGTAGTGAATTTAAGTCGTGACACTCTTACACTTAAAATCACTATTATTATGCTCATTCAATTATTGAAATTTCGCAAAAAAGGTATGATTACCCCCCTTTCTTCTGGTCACACTATTTTTTGTCCAGTTTTAATCACAAGACTCTTTCTTACACACTAAAATCTATAAAAGTCGTGGAAGCAGTTTCCAAGATAATTGAGGCGTTCCATACTTAAAACTCTCCCTGCAGATTAAGAATGAACAGGAAAAACAAAAGCAATATTTTAAAAGTATAAAAAAAGTCTTCATTTTGTTTTTTAAAAAGGTTTGTAGGTGCTTTTGAACAGATTCTATAGAGATTTTAAGTACCGACATTTTTACACTCCAAAATCACGATTATTTTGCTTTTTCAATGTTTGAAATTTCGAAAAAAAAAACATAATTAGGTACCTCCGTTCTGGGTGGCGGCACAATTTTTTTCTTCGATTTTAAGTACTAAAGAACTAAGAATAAGTTGTCCCAAAAGAGTGCCCTCAAATTTCAAAATCGATGTTTTTGGCATCACAAAAGTGGATATTTGTAGAATTCGACATATTATATTATCGGAAACACTCATCCAATACCTGGCTATTGGTACTATTTTTCGATCAGTTTTAATCACAAGACATTATCACATCAAAATTTATAAAAGTCGTGGAAGCCGTTTCCGAGATAATTGAGGCGTTCCATACTTAAAACCGTCCTGTAGATTGAGAATGAAGAGGAAAAACAAAAGCAATATTTTAAAAGTATAAAAAAGCCTTCAATTTGTTTTTTTTTTAAAGGTTTAGGTACTTTTGAACAGATTCGATAGTGTATTAAGTACCGACATTTTTAAACTCCAAAATCACTAATATTTCGTTCTTTCAATCTTTGGAATTTCGCATAAAAGACTATGATTACCTTCGTTCTGGGTGACGGCACTATTTTTTTATTGGATATTTTCTGTAATATTCGACATATATTATCGGAAAAACTCGTCCCCTCAATACCTGACTATTGAGATGTCCTGAGAAAATCTAATTTTCCTTTATATACTACATAAAAAGACAAAAGTACATAAAAAGAATAAAAAATCTTCAGTAGATAGCGCTTTTTCCATTAATACGAGTAATTATCAGCATTACGCTACTACGTTGTATAATACATTGAAAATGTTTATTTAATTAAATATGTTTTTGTGTAAATATGAATAAAACACAATTTAGTGTTGATATTTTATTTCTATTTGCACTTATCATTTAGGTGACTATAAAGTAATAGGTAACATTATGATTTAATTAGTATTGTTTTTTGTTGCCATATAATTACTGACACCTATTTTATAAATGTTTTACATCGATTATACATAACATTATTGTAATAGTAACATACTCAAGGTTTTTGGTATTCAGTATTGGGTCAGTGATGACAATTCTAAACGATGTTATGTTCTGATGTCAAAACTGATGATACTGATGTTATTTTCAATTTAATTACTACTTTCAGGTTCTTTTATAACATAATGCCTAATACAAAACAGTTATTTTGGCACCTGTGTCTTAATTACATTATATGGCCGTATTATATCTTTCTTCTTTCCATCCAAACACTTATCGTGTTCTTCCTCTACCCTGTGTCCATATTTTTGTTTCGAGCTTCTATTCTTGTCTTTTTTCTTTTCATTGTGAATACACATTACAGCAAAGTGAATACATTTTTAGCATTTGGCGCAACTTTTACTAATCACTGATCACAGTATTTCTCTTGTGCTTATATCCACATATGTATATGGCAACTGCTCATAGTACATACCCCCATGGGTATGTATTGTGCAACTGCTCTAACTGAAATTAGGAATGAACGCCGAGGTGAGACGAGCTGACGTCTTGTATTGACCTCTAGTTCACTAAGCAACATTGAACTAAGATGTACTGACTTCAACTTCTTCTTCTTTCAAGCACCACAACCTGTGAGTCTTCGCTGACCTAACAATCTGCCTCCACTTGAGGACCATCATTAGTTCCTCTGCTTGTTCAATATTTAGAGGTGATTTTGGACTGGGGGCATCATTCAACCCTACTTCTTTTGAAAATGAGGCTGGTCAAGTAATAACTGTTACTGGTGTTCGATATCGTAACATGATCACTGACTTCTTTTCATCTAAATTAGATGATATTGATGTGGATGATATGTCGTTTCAACAAGACTGAGCCACATGCCATACAGCCCGAGCCCGTGAAACAAATCGATTGCTACGTGAGAAATTTCCTAATCATATACTCTCTCATTTCGGTGATCAGAATTGGCCCTCTAGATCGTGTTATTTAACACCGTTGGATTTCTTCTTATGGGGTTACTTGAAGTCAAAGTTCTAATACGCGAACAAGCCTACAACAGCCCGTGCATTTAAAGACGAAATTCAACGCTGCATCAATGAAATTCAGTATCAAAAAATGCATACCTTTGTGCCAGCAATGCCATGGAGGCCATCTACCTGATGTGCTATTCCATACATAACCATATCATATTATTATGTACTGTAAAATTAAAAAAAAAATACAATTTAAAGAAAAAAAAAGTGTTTTCTATTCAATTCAGATCTTCCGTTCTTGTGTAAATTTTGGGACACCTTTTATAGATGTCTATCAATATCAATATACGTAAATGTCTGTATGTCAACAAAGTAGAGGTCATAAAAAACGAAAAAGAAGAAACCTGCCGGTCAACAAGTCAGAAGTCAACCTCACTAAACCGTACAAGTACAAATTGTATTTTTGTTCATCATTGTTATAGTTAAATTTTAATAAATACAAAATGAGTACTATGCCAGTAACTTCTTCAACACTTCTACCATTGGGTAAGTAATGTTCACAAAATGACTTCAACCACTTTTTAACGAAGTCATTTTTTCTAAAATATAGAAAATCATAACAGTTTCATCAAAGAATATAAGACGGTTTCATATTATTGTTTCTCCAATCACTATGACCACATCACTGGATTGTGCTTTGACTATAATATTGAAGATGCACAGTCTTGAAGATCTGTTAGAAGATTGGCTTCTAAGGCCTGGAAATGAACATTGTACCAAAGAATATAAATGCATAGGCCTCTATTCTTTGATTGTACTGAAATATTTTTCCTACGACACAAACAATATCTACCTTATCAATGGTGTCTTGATTCTTAGTGAATTACTTCTTCAAAGGATGCCTATGTTCTAATTATGTTGGTGACCACATAGGCACATCTTATTCGATTCACAACAGCTTGAAATAGAAATTAGACTAGTACATATCGTAAGATTTGCCAGCCCGGATATATGTTTGTGTACAAGGCCTCTCTTGTCCTCAATCTTGCCTTATAGAATCAATTGCCTGTAGAATCATTGCCTGTTGGTATTTATTATTAAACAAATTTCTAGATGACTTAAAATTCTTTTAATTTTAAAGAGTAAACATTAACAGTATAATTTGGTATAGTATACATTATCATAGTAATTAGATGTGATGTCTATTTTTTTTAATAGTACCTACTTGCGATTAATTTCTTAGCCTTCAAATTTTGATAAGGGTCCAGTACAACAAATACACTTAATAAAAAAACTATTTACTGTTTTGTTTTTTAGAATTGGTAGACAAATGTATTGGTTCAAGAATTCATATCATCATGAAAAATGATAAGGAAATTGTTGGCACATTATTAGGATTTGATGATTTTGTGAATATGTTGCTGGATGATGTTACAGAGTATGAAAATACACCAGAAGGAAGGCGTATAACAAAACTGGATGAAATTTTACTCAATGGAAATAACATAACAATGGTAAGCCTATGAAACATAATACATATTCCACAGGTCTTTCAAGTATTAAGTATGTAAAATAATCCAGAAAGAGCACATCTTACTAATGATATATTAAATAAAAATAATAAAGAAGTTTACTAATATATAATATAACAAGTACAAAATTACAATATCTGAAAAAATAACAGAAGACATTTGGTAGATGTTTCTCTTAATGCAACAAGGGGAATTAGGGAAATTAAAATATGTTAGTGATTGGAAAAGTTATGGTTCTATTGGTTTTTTGGCAACACAACTTTGAATTTTGATTACAGTTATGATGAAGTTATTACACTATTGAACTCTTTATTTTTATAAAATCAAGATATATGTTTTTGTAGATATATGACATTTTAGGACTAGGATTAGAACATTTAGCAAATTTTAAATCAGTTTTTCATAAAATTTGCAATAAACTTACATCTATGGAACTGTCTTTATAGAGGTCCAACAGACGGTTTTTATTTTCAATGAGGTGGGTTTTTTTTTTAAAACTCTGATGTGTACTGGATTTCCTTCTCATATTATGCCAAACTATAATTCAATTGAACAAATCTCGGATTGTCGCCAATATCAGCCTAATCTTTTTGATTCTCAGTGGTAACTTTTGGATTAATGGTTCATGTGATCACTGATTCTGAGCATGCCTAAAAGATGCAGACAGTCTTAAGAAGCAGAGAGGATTCTAAAATATATTGAATGAAATATTTTTTTGTAAATTCTAATTTAAAGAATTTTGGTAGGAAAATTTTTTCAGCTTTACCTTTATTTTTTTAAATTCATAAACTTTTTGGGACAACATTCATTTAAATAACTATAATTTTTGTTTTATTTTAAATAACTAATTATCAACTTGAATTTTTTGCTTGTAAATTTCATAATAAATTTTGAAACTTTTTATATTCCATGAAATATTTTGATAAATTTCTAAACAAATATTTTATTGCAGCTTGTACCTGGAGGAGATATGCCAGAATAACATAATGAGCTCATTCCTTAGATGTATCAATATAGTTTTAAGTTAATTTGAATACGAATTTGTAACAAATGAATAATTTTTTAATAAATGTAATATCATATTTGCTAAGTTTTTATTTTCCCTTTTTCTCTAAAGATATTAAAAGCTGAAACAAGTAATTATCAGGAGGGTATCACATGAGAACAGCACTCGATTTGTGCAGGGGAATTGGTCATTGGTATGATGAATTGATGGTTCAACTAGGAGACAAAATGGGAAAAAAGTTCAAAAGATGATATGGCAGAAAAAAGTTGTAAACCTGTTTCTAATTAGAGTAAACAAGGAAACCAGTATGTATAAAATATTAAAAGACCTATGGTACTGACCATAGATATTTTAAAATGTGTCTTCAAATATATACCTGTTAGGGATAGATATTTATCAAACAAATATATACATAAATACATACATACCTCTGGTCCTGAATTCTTTCTCTCAAATTTGCAATTTATATCTTTGATATATCCTCTAGTAGTTGGTCTTTTCATTGTATTTTTGGTCTTTTTCTTGGACTGTTTATTACCGATTTTCAGTTCGTTATACTCTTAATTAATACATCTTCTCTTCTTTGTATGTATCTAAACCATCTGCCTTTGTGCTTTAATAAATTTTACTAGGTCTTCTCCTTCAGTTATATTCATCATTTCATTGTTTATCAATCTTCTACAGTATCCAGTATTCTTCTCATAATTTTTCTTTCAATTATTCCTAGTTTTTCATCAATTTTTTTTTTCGTACGACACATTACTTCCGCTCCATATGCTATCACCGGTCTAATTACTGCTTTATGCATTTTTGTCTTTGTTTTTTTATTCAGGTTTTATCTTCAAGTTGTCGGTGATATTTCCAATACACCCAGAGAGAACTCTATTTGAACAAATCCTCGACATACCAAGACAATGACCAATTTTCTTTTAGTGTATTTCCTTTCATGGTTGTAAGTTGACAATATTGTAATTGACATTTTTTTTAATTATTCTATTATACTAGGACGGTCCGAAAGGTACTTAACCTACAAAAAAAAACGAAGATTTTGGAAAACTGATGATTTATTTCTCAACATAGTCTCCTTTTAGCTCGATATATTTTGATCCAGCGATGGAGACAAATCTGGAGAATACGGTGGATGGGGCAACAATTCGTAGCCGAATTCGATTAATTTCGCCATAGCGACAGCAGAGGTATGAGCCGGTACGTTGTCATGGTGGAAAAGCACCTTTTTCTTCGACAAATGGACTCGTTTTTTCTGCAATTCTGTCAAATTGGTATAGTAGAGCCCTGTAAATCTCAGATAATGGTGGGCACTTGTTGCCAGAGTTAACCCATCGCCCACAGCTTTTCATAACCAAAATTTAATGCAATATATGATATACGCGATCTTTTGAGATGCCTACTGTCTTAGCTATCTCGGGCACCTTCAGCCAATACGAAATCATGGATTTTTGCCTCGTAATCGAAAAACAAGAATCGAATCACCGACCTATATTGCTCTTTTTCCATTTTTCTAAAATCCGCGGTCACGGACGATTGCACACACGGTCAAAACAAAACTATGAGTCTGATTACTCGATTAGGCTGAAATCTTGACATTAGCTGTGTATGAGAAAGTATTACACGATAGATTTGAGATAGTGGCGCCATCGGACGGTGAGGCTAAGTACTTATTGGATCGCCTACGTATTTAGTCTTAAAAAATAATTGTATCCATAATAATTCTGTAAATTGGCTGAAAAACTTCGGATTGATGCTGGATGGCATTTTGGTACTTAGTATCAAACATATAAAATATATTTTTCTCTCTTTTCTCTATCTTGTCATGTTTGGCGAGAACCATGTCTAATGTTATAAAAATCATTTCGTGAAGTTGTGTTAACGCTTCATATCATTTGAAAGGACACACGACGCCCATCATCACAAATAACTACTTCCTCCAGACTTCGTATGTTTAGGATATAAATAAATACATAATATATCTTTTAAATACAATTTAATGCTAAAATTACAATGCATCAATAGAATGAATTTTAAAGAAACTGATATAGTTGAATCCACATTGAAACATTTTTAATAGGTTATTAAAATGTAATGAAAATATTTATTGAAGTAACCAGCAAGATTATCAGCAAGTAACCAGCAAGATCATTTTCTAACGAACATTAATTTCCAATAGGAATATTGGTTGAGTTTACCGAAAGTACAAGCTGAATATAAAGCAAACATCTAGCAACTGCTGATTTGACGATTGCCAAATCTATCCCCTAATCTATCAAAGGGCAATTGCCAAAAAAAATTTTAACAATTAACTGCAACTAATCTCCAAAGAAACAAATATTTACTCATTCTTGTTTTATATAAATCAAAAATTGAAGAATTCATAACACAATATACATATACAAAATGTACTTTTCTAAAGCTTTATCTCTTTATATTTGAAGCGCACAATATATACATTATAAAACATGCCAACATTGCTAAACCGAAATTTTTTGTCCCATGTTTGACATTTGTGGCTATAATCAGCTTGTACTTTCGGTAAACTCAACCGAAATATTAGTAGAACTTCAAAAATATTTGATATTTTTGAACTATTAGTACATTCCATTATATAGTTATTCTAGGTTACAGTGGGATCTTGAACATCGTGGAAAAAATATGAAGAATATGTGAATATTTTTTTTTATTTGAACACATAATTTTTTATGTTGTAACCTGTGTTCTCCATAACTAATGTTTTACTTTGACTTATTTCTTACTTTATTTTCAAATTGTTAATAAATAAATGTTTAATAAAATATTGCCCAATGGGAAGTAAACTATATTATATCTTTGGTAGACTCTGAAAGATCAACAACCTAACAGTAGCCAGCAACATGACCAATTACGCAACATACTACTACTGAATCCTAACCACTTTATTCTTGATTTGTTTATTATCAGCCTTAATTTGACTAATCACATACACTGTTTCGAACTGCTGTTTCCGTTTATGGTTATGATCTTGCCTAATATGAACGGCGATTTCTGAAATTTCGGCGAAGGCTTTATCACACTTGCTGCACGCATATGGTAAAACATCAGCTTTTTGCTTGTGCATTTTTTCGTGTTCTATTAATTCACTTTGATCTCCGCATCTTACTTTGCATTCAACGCAAAGAATGATTTTGTGGGTTTTCTGGAACACAAAATGAGAATCATTTTACAAATAGTAGCAAAAAGAAGACCTTACTAATAACTAATATCCGGAGAAAAACCTTTACAATTTTTTTTATTTGCGCTATGAATTAAAATTACGTAAAGCGAATCATTTTTGCGAATCTGTTTTGGTGTGGATTTGAGAGGTTTTGATTCTTGCAGAAAAAGTTGTGTGATAACTTCAGTAATAATAATTGACTCATCCCCCATCTCAAAAAGGTCGGGAATATTAATAAAAAAATTAAAATATTTAAAAATTACCAAAAATAAACTGTTTTTTAATTTCCTTACTGATAACTTTAAAACCATTCATTTTGGAGCAAAGTCCTAATGAAATAAAATAATGACAATTAAATGACAAAGTCAGTGGCGCGCCCAGTAGGGTTTGGGGGGTTAACCCCCCCCCCCAGGCACTATTTCCGACACTTACTCAAAAACTTTAAGGACTCAAAATGGAGGTAGCAGCATAAAAATGTCGATGCCGAACCAACCTCTCCCCCCCCCCCCACAGGAAAATTCTAGGTGCGCTACTGCTATAAGCTCATCACACAGCCAAATTTGTCCACTGTCGAACATAGGCCTCCTCAAGATGTCTCCACTCTTCTCTGTCCTGTGCAGCTGCGATCCAGTTTGTCACTATTCTTTTAATGTCGTCCGTCCATCTGGTAGGTGGTCTTCCACGATTTCGCTTGTCTGCCCTTGGCCGCCATTCTAAAATCTTCTTTGTCCATCTGTTGTCTCTCTGTCTTGCGACGTGTCCTGACCATTTCCACTTCAACTTCGTAATCCGTTTTATGACGTCTTCCAATCCAGTTCTTCGCCGTATCTCATCATTTCGTATTCGGTCTCTCAAAGTTACGCCAAGCATACATCTTTCCATTTTTCGTTGTGCTACTTGAAACTTTTTTATTGATGCTTTAGTCAATGTCAGTGTTTCAGCTCCATAAGTGAGCACCGAAAGTACACACTGGTTAAATGCTTTTCTCTTTAGCTTTATTGGGATGTTTTCCTTAAACACGTCTTTTAGCTTGCCATAGGCTGCCCATCCTAAAGCTATTCTTCTAGATAATTCGCATGTTTGGTTGTCTCTACTTATTTGTATTTCGTGGCCCAGATATATGTATTTGTCAACCGTTTCAATATGCCAGTTTTCTAGTTTCAATGGTCCACTAGGTACTAAGTTGGTCATCATTTTAGATTTCGCAAAGTTTATTTCCAGCCCTACTTTTTGGGAGACTCGTTGTAAATCTTGTAGCATTTCGTTGGCCTCCTTTAAGTCGTCGGTTATTAGAACTATGTCATCTGCAAATCGTAGGTGGTTCAGCCTTTCGCCATCGACACTCAAACCTCTGTTTTCCCATTCTAACATCTGAAATGCATGCTGCATTACGGCATTGAATAGTTTTGGTGACATGTTGTCTCCTTGTCTAACTCCCCTTTTTAGTTTTATTTTTTGAGTAGGGGTGTGGAGGTTTATTGCTCTTGTGGCATTTGCATATATATGTTGAATAATGCTGGTATATCGGTAGTCGATTCTACAATCTCTCAAAGCTCTTAAGATAGCTACCATCTCGATAGTGTCAAAGGCTTTTTTATAGTCAACAAATACTAGACTAGTGGCCGGTTGTACTCTATAGTTTTTTCAATTAGGGCCTTTAGACAAGTTAGATGGTCATTTGTACCATACCCAGGGCAGAAACCTGCCTGTTCTCTTGGTTGGCATGTTTCTAGTTTGTTCTCAATTCTGGCAGTGATAATTCGAGCAAATAATGTATACAGGTGATTTAGAAGACTGATTGGCCTATAGTTTTCGAGGTCTGATTGATCTCTTTTCTTATGCATGAGGAGCGTTATAGAATTATTCCATTCAGCTGGTATTGCTTGGTTTACTAAGCATATATTAAAGAGCTGCTTGATTGTCCTGATGAGAGCAGAGCCTCCGATTTTTAGCGCATCCGCCACTACTCCATCTTCTCCTGGTGCTTTGTTTTTTTTCATTTTCTTTAGAGCGTGGTAAATTTCAGCCGTTGATATATCGGGAATATCTTCTGAACCTTGATTCATAATTTTTTGTTCTGTATGTTCTGTCGGGTTTAAGTCCAATTTATTTGTGTATAGTGTTTTATAGAAGTCTTCTACTAACTCTAGCATTTCGTCTCTGTTGGACGTTAGTTTGCCATTCTTTCCCTTAAGTCTGATGATTTCTTTTCATTCCGTCTATAAGCTACGGCTGGTTATAAATGTTTTAACACACACTCTTTTTTTTGTTCGGGCTGCTTTTGATCCTTGTGTACCCTGAATTTTCTTATAAGATGAAAAACTAAGTGTTCTTTTTTGTCTAGCACTACCATCGTATTTTTGTAACTTATGTTTTACCAAAAATAATTTTGGTTTTTTCACTGGACCAATATCTGGTTCACGAGGACTCTCTGTAACTTCACTTCGTAATAGTCCTTCAATAATGTTTTCGCGAATAATTAACATATTCCATGTTTTAGGATTATTACCATAATTATTGAAAAGAGCCCACGTATTTACCATGCATGTGCCAAGACAAATTTCGAAGAACACTTTTTTGTACTACTTAATACTTTTCCTTATCGGGTATATTATGAAGACATTTGATTGAACAAGTCTACACCTTTGTTTGCTTTATTATATGCAATAATCAAAGGGGGTTTTAGAATGACTTCACCTTGTCAATTTTTTTCCTGTCGGTTGGAGGTTTACTGTATGGCTGGGAACTGAACTAATCAATAATTCGGAACGTTTGTCCATCCATTTAACAACTCTTGTGTCATTATCATTTTGTTTCCATATATTTACACATTCTTTAATTTTGAAATCGTAGGCTTCCACGGCCAGAGTCAGAATTATAGTTTATTCGTCTTCCGGGTTTGGACCGTGTCATTTGTGAGTGACCCAAAAGTGGGTTCATCTCGACGTTTCGCTACAATTGTATGTAGTTTCTTCAGGAGAACAAAGAAAAAGAAAACAAAAGACAGGAAGATGGGTAGTTAGCAACGGTAACTCAGTTACTCAACGCAACCAGAGGCGAATACTAACTACCAAGATGGGCATTTGGTCACAGTAACTCAACTACTTAACGCAGCCAGAGGTGAAAACCACTGTCTGCGTGACGTGAATCCCTGTCCTGGTATTTGGTTTTCACCTCTGGCTGCGTTAAGTAGTTGAGTTACTGTGACCAAATGCCCATCTTGGTAGTTAGTATTCGCCTCTGGTTGCGTTGAGTAACAGAGTTACCGTTGCTAACTACCCATCTTCCTGTCTTTTGTTTTCTTTTTCCTTTTCTTTGTTCTCCTGAAGAAGCTACATACAATTGTAGCGAAACGTCGAGATGAACCCACTTTTGGGTCACTCAAAAATGACACGGTCCAAACCCGGAAGACGAATAAACTATAATTCTTTAATTTTTTTGACATACATCTTTGGGCTTTTTTTTCTGTTATATCTAAGGGTTCCGCAAATATATGTTTTACAGTGAAGAAACCTTTTATATAAATTTATACTAGTATAATAATTATTATCAATATATAGTGTCCTTCCTTCATACAGAAGCCCCTCAAGTAATTCCATGCAAATATTGTAGGAATATCCAAAATCATTCTCAGGTATATTTAAACCATTTTCACCTGCGTATATTTTTAGGTTATATGTATAACCTTCGACAGTGCAGAGTTTGTACAATTTTCTACCATACTTATGTCTTTTTGCTAGTATTTTACAAAATATTACGACACCCACGACTTCACATTGTGTCCTCCGGTGGTACACGACGTTTTTTCTTGAAGAATGTTCACTACAGCCGGCGTGTATCACGGGTCTTCTTCTTCGTCTAGCCATTCACGTCCACATCTGAACATAAGCCTCTTCAAGTCTTCCTTTCCATTGGTTTTTATTGTACGCTACTTGTAGCCAATTTTTCCCGGCAGTCCTTTTCAGATCATCTGTCCATCTCATAGGAGGCCTGCCTCTGGGTCTTTTGTGTTGGTATGGTCTCCAGGTTAAAATTGATCTGTGCCATTTGTTTAGATCGCTCCTAGCTACATGTCCAGCGTATTCCCATTTCAACTTTAATGATTTTTGCACCACATCGGTGACTTTGGTTTTCTGTCTTATCCATGTGTTTGTTTTCTTGTCCTTAAGTGATATACCTAGCATTGCTCTTTCCATCGCGTGTTGAGTGCATGACTTTTTTGTTTAAATTCATTTTCAGTCTTATTTTAGAAGATTCGGTATGTAGTTCTAAAAGCATGGTTTGCATTTCTTGTAAGTCAGTAGCTATCAGGATTATGTCATCTGCAAATCGTAGATTACTGAGGTAGCGTTTGATGTTTATTCCCTTATATTTCCAATTTAGGTTTTTAAAAACGTCCTCCAAAACTAAGGTGAACAGTTTGGGTGATAAAATATCTCCCTGTTTGACTCCCCTGTTTAATGGTACAGGGTTCGTGTGTTCATTTTCATTTAGGTAGTATGTAGCTGTAGCTTGGTTCATAGTTTCTTTTATTAAGTTAATATATCTGCTGTCTATTCTACAATTTTGCATTGCGTTTATTACGGCCGTGTGTTCTATGGTCTCGAAAGCTTTTTCGTAGTCCACAAATGCTAGGAAAACTGGAAACTTGTATTCGTTACATTTTTCTATTAATATTTTTGTGGTTAACAGGTGATCGGAAGTTGAGAGCCTTTTCTAAAACCTGCCTGTTCATATGGTTGGTATTCGTCTAATTTCCTTGTTAGTCGAGTAGTTATGACTTTGGTGAGTATTTTAAACAGGTGTGACAGTAGGCTGATGGGTCTGTAGTTTTCCAATTTTCGACTATCACCTTTCTTGTGTAATAAGATTACTTTAGAGTTGTTCCAGCTATTAGGGACTTTGCCCTGATGTAAACAACTGTCCACAAGTTTAGTTACAATTGCAATTAGTTCCTTACCTCCTTCTAATATCATATCTGTGGTAATACTATCTTCCCCTGTAGCTTTATTTCTCTTCATGTTTTCCAATGCTGTAGTTACCTCTGAAATTGTTACTTTTGGCATTATTTCTGATCCAACATTTTTTATTAATTTCCATGCTGGTCTCATCTCATCATCTTGTTGATGTGATCTGTAAAGTTCTGTGTAAAATTCTTCTATTCGTGTCAGTATCTTTTCTCTACTTGTGATTTCAATTTCGTCTTTTGCCATTAATGATATCATCTGACGTCGTCCTAGTGTCGGTCTGAGGCATTTCAATAGTTGTTGTTATTAATTTTTCGGTTTCTTTTCTTTTTTGTTGTCTGATTCCTTTTCTAATCTGACTATTAAGTTCTATCACGGGTGGTACATACAAAAACTAGCTTTTAAATAGAAAAATATGGTTTTAAACATATAAAAAATATATTGATAATATTCAAAATAGAGACGCAAAAAAATTACGGCTGAGAGGTAAAATCTCGGAATTCTGCGTCGCGTCGTCGCGAACGTGTTAATATATTACCGTTGCTGCAAAATAGCCATATATGCAAAAAAAATAGGGACATATTAAGACACTGTAAAATGAGGTTAGGTTGACTGTAAACAAAACGTCAGCTGATATTTAAATGGGTTTTAACAGTACTACCAATGTTATCATACATTCATTACCCCTGATTTTTCCATTAGATATTAATTGGATGTTGCGCGTGAAAAGGGTTACATATTACTTGACAACGAGTATTTGGAAACAAAATATGTTTAAAGAGATATTTGTTTGACTTAACTAGTTTTTACAAATAAGCATATGATTTACCATCTTTGTAATTTAACATACTAATGATAACACAGGGGATAATCGAAAATTTTATTAGGTTAATACAAGCTTACTTAAGTGCAACTTATATTTAAGTACTAAAACCATTAAACATTAAATGCCTATGCATACGAATCTAGCTAAGATACTTCAAACTTTTATTCGTCGTCAGAAGTTGATGAATCCGGGAGCACATCAACCCATAAGTCTTTATCTGTAATTTGTAAAAGTCCCACAGTGACTCTGATATGTAAGACAGTAAGTCCATCAGGTGCTTTTTCTGTTCTATCGTTATAGGCACAGGCTATAACGATATGCCTCCTTGGGTAATACATTTGTAGCCGCTTTTTCACTCTTTCCTAAATCTCGGTGTTGAAACGTTCTTCTTTATCAAAGGACAATTTGTATTGAAACTGTTTAGATTTTTCATACCCGTAACCAACGAAACTGTCTCCAGTTTATCTTGTTATTTAGTTTTGCGGTTAACTAGTACGAAATTAAATAAGTCAACAAAATTAAGAAATGCAGAGCGCTGCATTTCTGTAACTAAAAATTAATGTTTTTCCCAACTTGCTGAATTAGTTGAGCACAATCATGTGGATGTTCTATGTGACTACTAAATGTTTTCTTCTTTTTTTTTCCCCCTATTATACTATGATCCGTATCGCACCCCGTATGTGTATGGCCGGGTATTCAAAACTTATGGTCAATAATTTTTAGATTTGCAAAGAATTGTAAAGCAGTTAAATAACTTGATGTTATAAAACTGTTTTTATTATAGCCAGAACAGCAGTCTGCATACATTTTTAGGTGTTCGACTGTAGGATCTCAATCTTTTGTTAAGTATTGATATAGGCAGGAACTTATTTCATTTACGCTCCGTTTTGCTAAAGATTCATGCCATAAATGGCTATGAGCTTGTGAGCTGTCACTTGTTTGGCAGGCATTGCTGGAGGTCAAAAGTAGTAGTTTTCATTTTAGCTTATATTTGAGTTAATCTCGTTTCATCAAAAATTGACTTGTCCTCTTTTTCACGCCCAACAGCGAATTATATAAATTTAATTATAAACTGTGAAGAAATAGTAGATATTATAGCTTAGTAAATATCACATTTGGATTCAGCAACCGAAACATTAAAATATTTAAAATCTGTAAACATTTGAAACCTTATAGGTAAAGAAATAATAAGTAAGACTTACTCACAATCAATTTAATTTAACTATCAGACGACCGGTTTTGCTTTCTAAAATATGCAAAGCATCCTCAGGTCTCGATACAAAGTTAAACAAATGCTGAAATAATAAAACCCATATTAGGGTGTTGTCTAATAACGATAAACAAAGTAGATGTTGTAAATTACAATAATTATGCCAATATTACATGTCTGTGGTTTTATTTAACTGAGTAAGTTGAATAAAAGGTATAAAAGTTTTAAAGTTTAAACAGACAAGGTAAGGCCCACAAATTGTTATAAAATAGTCTCTTCGATTGTAATAAATTAATAAATGAGCAAATAAATAAATAAAATAAACATTACTTACATGCCGGTACTCTATTAATTGATGGATGGTAGAACATGGTTGAAACGACTATTAATTTATTACAATCGAAGAGACTATTTTATAACAATTTGTGGGCCTTACCTTTTCTGTTTAAACTTTTAAAACTTTTATACCTTGTATTCAACTTACTCATTTAAATAAAACCAGACATGTAATATTGGCATAATTATTGTAATTTACAACATCTACTTTGTTTATCGTTATTAGACAACACCCTAATATGGGTTTTATTATTTCAGCATTTGTTTAACTTTGTATCGAGACCTGAGGATGCTTTGCATATTGTAGAAAGCGAAACCGGTCGTCTGATAGTTAAATTAAATTGATTGTGAGTAAGTCTTATTTATTATTTCTTTACCTATTTGAAATGGACTCACACAAGCAACACATTCATGATTTGAAACCTTCTTTAGTGACAGTCATTTTCATATGAATGACGCTATGAAGAAATCACGGTGATGTAATAAAATATTATTAATATTAAAAAAATACTTTACCTGGTAATGTTTACTCAATCCACTTGGATACTGAAAATTGCCTCTACAAATTTCACAATCATATATTACATCAAAATCACCCTTATTGTGTACTTTTCTACGATGTTCCGATAAATATTGCTGTCTATCAAAACCGGAGCCACATATATCACATGCTACTGCGTGAGTTATGTAGTGATCCATAGTTTCACTCTTTGTATTAAAAGTCAGCTCACAAACTGGACAGCATAGGCCTTTGCTAATATGGGTGGAATATTTACATTTGTAATGTGCTATAAAAGTATTTCCCAAGTGCATAGTTTCATAGTGAGATTTTAAGCAGTTTAAGCAACCATAGGAAATTGAACACACCTCGCACGTGTATGTATCTAAGACAGAGTTGGATTTGCTTGAACACAGAAGTAATTGTAAAGTAGAAGATCTAACTTCATCAGGTATAGGTGTCCTTTGATCTACTTCTTCCTCTTCATTTTCCACTTGAAGAATGATAGTTTCCTAAAATTTTATTAATAGTATAAACTTAAGACTAAAAAAAAAGCACAGCACTAAAGTACAGATTAGAAAACAAAAAATGCATTTATTTTCAAAACAAATTTTCTCAGCTCCTTTATTAGATACGAACATGAAATATTAGAATCAAACATGATTTTTAAAAATTATTTATCTTTGAATTGGAATTGAAACAAAAAAAATGTTTTTTAGTTCCAATGAACTAAAAAGGGGATAACCTCAGTTAACCTCTCAAAAAAGGTGTCAGATAGTGGACACTAAGTCTCAGCATTGGCACATCTGAAACAAAAAAATTCCAATGGGATTATTTAAAGAAACCGCCCTTACAAGACAATTAACCACTTAAAAAAAAAATCAAAAAGTTAATTTTGACAAGCAAAAATTGGTAAAAAAAATTTATCATTTTAACGTTTTTTTTTTTAAATTTATTTTAATTTTCCATTAAAAGTGGTTGATTGTCTTGAAGGAGGCTTTCTTTAAGTAATCAAGTTCAAATTTTTTGCTTAAGGCTGTTTTAGCAGTCAAAGCACACTGCGATTTGAAATGGGCGTATCACTTACTTTTCTACACTGCTTACGCCAGCCGACGACGGGTACAGCGGGTACAGTGGCGCCGGACGACGGGTAGTTTAATGACAACAAATTCATTATTCTCCATTCAAATTAGTTTTGTCGGGAATACCTTTTTTGAATGATTATCGGAGATGTTTTAAAAAGAATTATCACATTTTTAATTTATATGTCTTAGCTAAATATAGTATTGAATAAAAATTTGTGAAACGTGACTGCAAAAAACATCATGGTGTTTATTTATAGTAAATTTAAAATAATATACAATTATTATTATAAAAAAAAATACAATTTGTTGTCACAAACAAATAAACAATTTCGCAGTTATATCTTGAAAATGATTTCAAATCGAACTAACTGACTGTACGTTCATGAGATTTGACATCACGAAGCCGATAACGGTGGAACTAAGTGCCAATGATGAGTAACACGTTTCACTATTCGATTTCAGTATTTTTTAGCAATTTTCTTCAAAGTTCAAACACGCTTTTTTCGATTATTACTGGATACAGAAAGGTGAAAAAAAATCAATGATTACAGAAAAAAAATCTCTTTCAAGTGATGGGCGTAAAAAGTTTGGTTATAATAGAACGTTAAACTGCATAATACAATATTTTAAAAGAACTTTCAAACAAATTAAAAAAGTAAAACCATCAGTTTAAAGGCAACATAATTTTGAATAACGTGTCCAAATTTTCGAGACATTTTGTCGGTAAATAACAGAGAAAACACTATCTCTAGGTTTTGGTGCACCGATAAAACAGCCTTAAGTACCAATTCTGAGACCCTTTTTTCAGATGTTAACATAGGCATTCTGTAGAAAACGGGTTATTCATGGCAACTAAAAACCAACAAAATTTTTGTTTCTTTTTACACAAACAAAAATATAAAATATTATTCAAAAAAAATTCACGTTCGTATCTAATAGAGGAGCTGAGAATTTTTTTTTAATACGCATTTTTTTAGCCTTCTAATCTGTACTAGTAGGTACCTTAAGACTAGAAATTTTGGGAAGGAGGATTATGCCATCGGCGAGAAAGGTCATAGCTTCAGTGTTTTAGAAAATGCAAGAAACTTTGCTGGCACTCATAAAAATGGTAAAACCATAACTGAAAACGCAAGCATTGAAGAAAGAAATCTTTTACATTAGGACAAACCACCTGCCCGTAAAAATGTCTTGGGAATAAGGAAATCGAAGGATCTGCAGAATAATAATTTAAAACATGCAAATTTCAATCCCTCGGACTTCTACCTGTTTTCAATACTAAAGACCTTCCTTGCTGGTAAGCACTTTTGGTCAAATCAAGTAGCCATTGAGGTTATAGATGGGTATTTTGTAGAACTTCCAGAGAAACACGAGATAGAGAGGATAATTGTATTTAAACACCACTAAATAAAATATAATGATAGATAATGTAATTAGGACAAACCACCTGCCCGTAAAAGTGTCTTGGGAATGAGGAAATTGATGGCTTTGTACCACAAAATTTTAAAACATGCAAATTTCAATCCCTCAGACTTCTATCTGTTTTCAATACTGAAGACCTTCCTTGCTGGTCAGCACTTTTGTAATGATAATGGAGGAGGCTACTTATGCAGGAAATGACTTATTTGAAAGCATAAAATGTAATTTTCATTATAGATAATCATATTTCACTAGAACTCGGAACTTCATAGATCACTAACATAGAAGAAAAAACAAGCAATACAAAAATTTCCTGATTATGCAATTTCGGGAAAGAATAAAAAGGGGCAGACCATGGACGTATAAACATAGATGGACACAGTAATAAGATACCTTTAACACACAATGTTTTGAAGCTTCGATAGAATGTGATGCTTCCGCAATGAGCATAAGCGTGCTTGACTTTTTACTCGCGGGTAATTATTCAGATTTTAAAAATTGGAAGTAGTAATAATGTATAAAAACCATCGAGCAAAAAGACAATAGAGGGAATGTAAAGGTAGTGGGGGCAAACATATTGTTAGACAGGAAGTGCGATCTTTAGAGGCCACTTTAAACAAGGATAGAGAGTCTCTCCCCTTGTTTGACATCAAATTTAGTTGGGTTATGTTATTGTTTGTCCCAAATGTCACATGAAATCTTATTTATATTGAAGTTTTTTAACAATTGTGTCGCATTTTAGACTCTTATCATTAATAATTAATTAAAACTTTCTCGTCTAAGACACATTCTGAAAAATATTATATAGCTACTGTTGATAAGTGTCGCAAAATTTAAATTTCGCGCATTCGCATTCCGGATATGTCCGCCATCAGAGGCCACTTTTTTGGTCTCCTTTTCATAAGGATTAGATTCCCTCTTTTGTCTTATTGCTCGATGATAAAAACACGTTCAAAGAATTTAAAAAAAAAACGAGAGTTTAACTATTAACAAATCACGTCTTTATAGAAAAATTAAAATACAATTTTATTTGCTTTAAAATTAATACAATTAAATATAGTTGAATTCAAGCTAATTTTTTAATAGGTATCAAAATAATGCTACAATAAAAATCTTTATGTTTTCTCCTAAATTTGCTACCCAAATAGTTCGATCGTCAATATTATTTGGAAACCTACATAGAAAAATAAATGAGTTTTATTCATTTCACTAATTTATTTGTATCCATGAGAAATATTAAATTAAAAAGGTACTAAACAGATCTTTTTAATCAGATGATGTCTACTTACAATTTAAAAATGTCTACTAATTTCATGAACTCATATCTTATTCAATACATTAATGAACATGAATAAACCCAATGGTACGCCTATTAAAATGTAAACAAACACGCTTCCTCATTTCCTCATCTAAAATAATGTAAATTGTATGTACTTACAAATGAAATGAGAGATCAGGATGTAAATATGTCGTTTATTTTATTTCACTTTTCACAAATATCACTCAAAATACAGCCAAAATATCAAAAAACAACATTTCCTCATCTACTGTAAAAAGTAAACAAACATGGAACAGCATTTGAAGTTTGACGTAGATCCATAAGACAGGAATGTAAACAACTGTTGCCATTTATAAATAATTTTCAGTGCTTCTACATATAAAATAATTGATTGGTATCTATTATTATACGCTATTATTAAATGATAATGCACACTATGTGCACACTTGATATTTTGATTACAATTAAATATATTAATCTAACCAATAAATTATTATTTTGGTTTGATAGCACCTGTAGAGTATAAAATACGGAGTAATATTTTCAGCGACTCGCGAATAAGAAATTTTAAAACAAAACGTGACAACAGTTGAAGTGCTGAGAATGTGACCTATTCAAATAATCTTGACTACACAATTTTATGTAAAAAACTGAGTCCATCTGTATTTATACCTCCATGGGGCAGACCAATGATTATTTAAATATAATTAATAATAAAGAAGTACTGGAGAGGGTTGGTAAAGAAACAAAACTAATCACCACTATACAAACTAGAAACTGGAATGCCTAGGCCACGTGATGAGGGGACCAAAATATGAAATTTTTGAGACTCATAATGCAGGGAAATAATCAAGGAATAAGATCTGTTGGCCGAATGCAGAACTCATGGTTAAAGAATCTACGTGATTGGTATCAATGCAGATCAATGGATTTGTTTAGAGCAGTAAGTTCAAAAATAAAAATAGTCATTATGATTGCCAACTAAGAAGAATGATTATTATATTTCAAAAAAGAATTAAAGGGAAAGACTAATCTTCTTCAAGTTCCACTCCTATCGGAGATTGGAAATCATTCTGGCAATTATAATTTTATTGGTTACTCGCCTGAATAGTTCAATTGAACTGCATCCAAACCACTCACGGAGATTGCGTAGCCACGAGATTTTACGTCTTCCTACGCTTCTTCTACCTTTGATTTTACCCTGCATTATGTTCCTTAGTAGTTCGTACTTTTCACCTCTCATGATGTGCCCCAAGTATTCCAATTTCCTGATCTTTATGGAATTTAAAACTTCGCATTGTTTTCCTAGTTGTTCGAGAACTTGTTCGTTTGTTTTGCGATCCATCCATGATATTTTCAAAATGCGTCGGTAACACCACATTTCGAATGCTTCTAGGTTTTTAATGTTGGATTTTTTAAGTGTCCAAGCTTCAACTCCATACAAGAGGGTAGAGAAAATATAACATCGAAGCATTCTTATCCGGAGCGATATATTGATATCGCGATTACAAAAAAGTTTTCTCATTCTATAAAAGTTGACCGCGCAATTTCAATGCGGCATCTTATTTCTTTTGTCTGATCAGTATCTTCTGTGATCCATGCTCCAAGGTATTTGTACGAAGATATTTGTTCAATTTCTGTATTATCTAGTACTAGCTTAACTTTGATGTTTTGTGCTTTTGTAAATACCATGAACTTGGTTTTCTTCAAATTGATTTTTAGTCCATAATCGTTGCAATATATATTTAGTTGTTCAGCAAGGTGTTGCAGTTCTTCTAGTGTTCCTGCCAAAAGGACGGTGTCGTCAGCATATCTTATGTTATTAAGTGGCTCACCGTTTATTATAAGGCCCTCACTGATCTCGGCAAGCGCTAATTCTGAGATGGCTTCACTGTATAAATTGAATAACAAGGGTGATAAAATACACCCTTGGCGGACCCCACGGCGAATCTGGATATCCTTGGTCAGTTCGTTTTCAACTTTCACTTTTGCTGTTTGATTCCAATAGAGGTTACAGATGATTCTAATGTCTCTACTGTCTATGTTTTTATTTAATAAAATTTCTTTAAGTCGATTATGCTGCACTCTGTCAAATGCCTTCTCAAAATCAATGAAACAGGCATATACTTCCTGATTAATATCTAAGCATCTCTGCGAAAGAACACTTACTGCAAACAGTGCATCTCGTGTTCCCAGTCCTTTCCTAAATCCCATTTGTGTATTACTTATGCCTTCATCTAATTTCTTATGTATTCTATTGTGAATTACTTTTAAAAACAATTTCAAGACATGACTCATTAAGGCTATGGTGCGATGTTCATTGCACTCCTTTGCATTGGCTTTTTTGGGAAGCAGTATGAATGTTGATTGGAGCCATTCTTTAGGTATTATACCTGTTCTATATATGGTATTGAATAGATCCAAAAGAAGATCAATAGATTCAGTATTCACAATTTTAAGTAATTCGATAGGAACTTCATCAGGCCCGGGAGATTTACCATCTTTAGCTTGTTTCATTGCATATTCAATTTCTTCTCGTATAATGTCAGGCCCAGTATCATCCTTAAAAGACTGGAAAGACTAATACCAACACTTAAAAATATAATTAGGAAGGTCAATCTTATATGGGCCTAACGCCAAAAGAATGATATCAAAGGTTTAGGAATGATTCCGAAAATACATCCAAAACAAAACACTAAGTAATACTGCTAAAACATTTTAGTATGAAATTTACCCCATCGTTTGGATCTTGCTCCTCACCAGCAGCAAAAACTTGAGAAGATAAAAAAAATGGCATCATTGGTTGAATTAAATCACTGCTATCATCATTGATTTCCGTTGAACATGTATCTTGTATATGTTCAGAATTGTCTTGGGTGGCATAGTCAAGCTCAGTGTATTGATGGTCGTTATATTCTACTACTGCGTTTTCATCATAGATGTATTCTACAAGAGGGCCTAGATGAGTGAAACCCTTTAGTTCTGAAGTATCGCCATTATCTTCCAGATATATTATCTCTGGACTAACATAGTCAATTTCTTCATGATCTAAAAAATGAAATAATCTAATAAATCTATAAATCTGATATAAGTATGCAGATGATAAAATTCTGAATTAAATACTATGGAAGATTGAAAATATCAGTACAGAATAAGATACCAAAACAAATAAAAAAAAACAGAATAACCACTGCAAAAATTGTGACCGCTAAAATTGACCACAATTTAAGACAATCACAGTAACAATCATATATTTGGTTTTTCTATGTTTTCTCTTTTTACTGCAATGTTGTTTCTTGAGCGAGATGGCAAAATGGCTGGATTTCTAGTGTTGTTCCTACAAGTTCTAACCTTCAACAAATTTTGCAAGTCCCTTTTTCATTTCTCTTTCCCATGGTTCCCTTTTGGTTTTCCGCCTTGCGATTTATTTTAAATGGCTCTTCATAACAATCTGTCATCATTCATCTCACTATATAACCAACACATCAGAGTCTAGAGAATTCTAAGCTAGGTATTTCTTTGAACAGTGTTCCACAACACACAGAAACCACATTGTTGCAACCATCATACTCGAGTCTCATAATGTTTATTAATGACAGAAGACAGATGTAGTTAAGATATTCATCTTTTCTAGGTATGTTGTTTTGCTTCTGAGAATTAGTAACCAGTCCTGTTCTTTATATGGTCTAAACATAATCTTATACTGATGTTTCCAAAGTACCTCACTATTTCTTTGACATGTTTCTAAAGCATATGTTTAGAATCTTATTTTTTGTTCGTCCATGTTTCCAGTTGGAAACTGGTCCAGCAATGGAAAAAACTAATGTTCAAACACATTTGTGTTTTTTATGATGTTGGTGTGTTTCCATATTTTAATTAGCTTTGCCTTAACTCATCTGGCCATTATTAGATGCTGACATTCACATTATTTCTGTTTCTAGCAATAATCACTGCTTATAACTGCGATTGTTAATTTAATCTGTAAAGTAAAATTTTTTCAATGAAAATTTGTTGTAATTTTATTCTAAATTTAATATTTTTTGCATATTCTCATTTAAAAAAAAAATATCCTATACTTTGCATACTGTGACATAGAGGGCACTATCAATCGCATGTTAATGGTAAAAATTTAGTGCAATACTTTTAGTGCTATAGCAGCGACAAATTATTAAATATGACAACATAGTGGAAAAATTAAATTATTAAGTGTGTGTAACATTTTTACAAAATATTTTATTATAATTCATAAAGACATTATAATTTACAAAGACATTATCACAAATCACCAAACCAGTCAATAATTTATAATTTTGTATAGAGATTCAAACATGGACTGATTAGTTCTAGTGACAATTTATGATCAGGTGCACCAAAAACAGGAAAAACTGGGAAAAGTTGATACTCATCCAAGATTATCTAAAAAGTTCAACATGTGACAAATCATGAAATATAGGCATTGTTGGAGATTTCAAAAATTTGGCAAGAACTGTGTGTTAAAAAATAGTTTTCTGTTGCATATCACATCTGTTGACTGTAGAACAAAACATAGCGTCAAAACACTAAATTTCAAGGCAGAAAATTTAAAAAAATGGGTGGTTCATGAAGAAGTGGATCTATTCATACAGGTCAGAAAGTAAATGGGAGTGTTCTGTTTGGATATCCAAAGATGAAGAGCTGACAAAAGTTATCTACTTCCAAAAATTTGTTCATATGTTTGGTTCATGACATTTATCTTTCTTCTTCTTGATGTGCCTATCTGTTACGAATGTTGGCGATCATCATGGCAATATTTATCTTATCTGCAGCAGTGTGGAAAAGCTGCACAGATGTTGTATTGAACCAGATTCTGAGGTTCTTTAATCAAGATGTTCTTCTTCCTGGACCTCGTTTTCCAAGCATTTTTCCTTGTCAGATGGCTTGAAGGAGAGCATATCTGGATTCATTTCGCATATGTCTGAAGAACTGTAATTTTCGAGATTTAATGGTGGTCATTGGTTCATGGCTCTCGGTTCTTATTCATTCTTCTGAGGACCTCCTCATTTGTGACTCGGTGAGTCCATGGGATCTTAAGCATTCTCTGCTATAGCCACATCTCAAATGCTTCCAGTTTTCAGCACATATATTCATTCAAGGTTCAAGATTCAATACCACATTTAACTTAAAAGTAGCTAATGTTGCAACAAATCCTCCACATGATCAAAGGACATATAACCATTTTTTGTTTAACTTATTTCTGAGCTTCAAAAAATCAATCCCAAGCGACAAATCATCCTCCAACAATACAGCTAGCACACAACTCATAAGAAAATTGAATTTTTAAATCATCAAAACAGGCATGATCCCAGCAAAATGCAATTTTTTAGTGTGCTAAAAAACTAGTAGAATAGCTGTTTCCAGAGTTAGTTTGAGCCTCTACAAAAGTACATTAATCTTCTTTGAGAATACCTTGAAAAGCAATAAAGTTATTAAAAGCTACCTGCAATTTTATATCAGCCCTATGCAAAATGTAAAAAAAAATAATGTGGTTATTTTATTGTTAGATTCACTAAAAATTATAATATATTATTGTAATTATTTTGAGCAAAAATTTATATTTTTTATCACATTTTAATGTTTTTATGAGAAAAAGACAACACTTATGAAATTATTAGGTAACAAACAATGCTAATTTACAGAATCTTTAATTCTATTATTACCTATTGATTCTTCTCCATCATTGAAGTTGCCTGTTTGCTCAGACATAATTAAAAATAACCTAAAACATATCAAATTCTTGAGATTATGTTTGTGCTATAAAAAGGATTTAAAAAATACCAATTGTATAATAGTTTCAAAAATAATAACTACTCAATAAAAATACTAAACGAGAAAAATAGTTTAGTTTACCATTTTACCTATTTTGTGTGATTAATCTGCCAATGGCTTAACAAAAGTGGCAATACTTAATGATATTTCTACAAGACAGACAACTTTTATAAAGAATTAGGATATTATTTATATTAGTATCTTAATACACTAAGAAATAATGCATTAGTTTTAGGATTAAGCATTATTTATTAAAATGGTAATACAAGATACTGCTCATGCAAGTGTTAGAAGGGAAAAAGTTGTTTGCATTTTTTTAACATGTTGAGATAGATATTCAGATATTGTAAAAACCATCAAAATAAACGACCGAAGATGGGTGGTCCATATTATGTGGATATGTGAAAGTGATAGTGAAATAGTTTCAAATCAATGTTCTGGGTAATTCATTTTTTTAAGTACTATAAATCCATATGTTGATTTAAATTATAAATTATATACCGTTTATTAAATAAAGTACCTACATGTAATACTAATATTTACCCTTATTATGTGATATATGTGTATAAAGAGAAGTCTTCCTTTGGACTTAATCAGTAATAGCCGAATACAACAATAATAATATTATGGCATCAGTTGATTTTCCAGTAGAATTAAGAAAATAGTAGAATAACAATAATTTTATTCCAGACATTTGCCACATATTTACTCTATAATCAGATATATATATATATATATATTTTATCAGATCAAGACATAGTTATTAGCAGTATGTCCACAAAAGTTAAAGTTCTCAATATAGTTTTTTTAGTCTTATAAGGTATTTTGCAGAATTATGCAAATTATCTTTAGTACTCATATTAGATCAAAAGTGAAATTAACTGTATATTAAAAACATTAATGTCTACTTTTTAAATTCAAATAAATACATAATGTTTAATTAAAAATGTTAATAATAAATGGTTAATTAAAATAAATTAATGTAATAAGAAATTTATGTAAAATTATTTGATTTCTAAATTTAGATTAACAACCCTTTGCCCTTAGAATAGGATACATTCCACGTTATATTGGCTGTAAAATAATCTGAATATATTTTATTTTATAGTACACATGGAATGATACCATACATTACATATTGAAATATTGATGAATTCAAGGAAATTGGTGTCAGTTCAAGGATATGTGAGGTGAAACTTAATTTAAACAGTTTTTACTTACTATATTTTTGTTCGAATTTGACTAATTTTATTTACTGCCTATTTAAACTATTAGATATCAATTATTTTGTAAAATTTTTTGATAGAAATGTAATAAGAACATGTTATCAAACAACTGTCAACATTACAGATTACAGTATCGCATATCGTACGTCATTTTCTTCTACGTTTTGGCAATGCGGAGAGGGGATTAGACAAAAACGATAACCCATACATCATTGGCGTAACTAAGGGTTCTTATTTTTATTCCTGAAGGATAAGTTTTGTCCTTCTTATGACTATCTAAATTTGTTAGTGCTACAGGTACTATTACAGTTTTACAATTTACTCATCATTTACAGCAAAACAGTTGTTCATGCTTTCAAAATAATCGTTACAAATTACCTATTATAAAATTGTAGAACTATTTATTTTTTGGATAACTGGATTATTGTTAGCTTACCGTTATTTTTAAAGATTCGATTGTGTTATTGTTGTTTGATTAGAAAGTTTTAACTTTGTATGAACATTTTCTCAGATAAATATATACCAATATGTAACAAAAACTTTTTATTTTATTTATTTTATTTTCAAAAAACAATTGTGCAACCAGAGGACCAAAATAGTGTACAACCAGTTGTTTTCCATTGATCCAATTTCCATTTCCATGAGATCCAATAAAAAGCAAATGTTGCCTATGAGCAATGTCGACGAACGATCATACGCACCTGAGGTTTTTCGCCCAGGGTGATTGCCTGGATCTACAGGACTGTCATTAGGCCAATGCTAACTTACGAAGCTATTTCATGGGTACGAAAAGTGCTATGTACAAGCAAAAGCGATTGACAAACTAAACCTGATTCAGCGGATGGCTTGCCTAAATATAACAGGTGCCATGAAAACAACACCAACTGTTGCAATGGAATCGCTCATTGGCATCAGCCCTTTAGACATATATGTCAAAGACGTAGCGCTGTTGACAATGATGCGATTGAGATCAGCGGGTGCAAACCTTGATGTAGAAATGGGACAATTAAGATGTCGTTTCTGGCTTTCTGGCAGGGGCTGGATGCTACTTCTGCTACAGGCAGGCTGCGGCTCAATTAAACCCAAGTTTGTTTTTGACAAACCCTACAAAATCGAAACAGATAGCATAGGAAGTCAAAACGTGGCAAATGCGTGTTGCATACTAGTGGTGGGCATACATGTGATTCTGCAATCACAGGTATAACTGTGATTGTGAATTAACAAAGCAACAAAATAGTCATATGTTAAACTCTAAATAAAAGTCATTCCAAAAGTGCCATTATGGACTACCATAAAATTGTACACAGGTTATTATTTCGTTATATCCGATGTGGTCAGATGTTTTACTTGCATGTGCTTTTTTAAATTAGATGTGCTCGTTTTATAGGACAACTTTACCTTACAAATATTGCATGACGCATACATATCATCCACTTCTATAAAAAAGTTCCAGAATCTACTAATTTTCCGTTTTTTATTTGGCACTGGTGGCATTTTTTAATTTATGAGAATAAAAAAATATTGATTATCAACAACTACGACGAGTTACTCAAACACAATAAACTGAAACTCTAAATACCCTTGTCATGTTCTTTAAATATTTGTTTACATATTAATATTACACTAAAATAGCGATGTTCATATTCCTTCAAAAATGATATATTATCTTTGCCCTTGCATTTCTCATTAGAAAGAGACTTCAAATACCGCCAACTACCTCTATCTCGTTCCCTATTATTCTGTTACTCGTCTCCCATTTCACAAATCTGCAACTAAGACGAAAACATGAAATATCACGTTTTGGCGATCAAACCGATTTTCCGAGACCGAAATCACAGTCGCAGTATATTTTTGTTGTTATTCACAGGTCGTGATTGTTATTTTCTATTTTTCAGATGGCTCCAAAATTTAAGAAGCGTCAGGATGAAGGATATACTCCAGATCACTGAACCTAAGAATAAAGGTTTATGAGCAAAAATGCCAGCGTAGTTTAGACTGAACTGGCTGCGGGTATCTCCATAGCCGCGAAAGAGATAACCTAAAAAGGTATAGCCGGGAAAACGATAATAATCTGCGCGGACGGCAGAAAAGCGCTACTAAGCGTTGTCACTACTAAGTCATGATCAGAGTTAGTAATGCAGTGTCACGAGTCACTAACTCAAGTTTCGGATGGTATTAACATTACCTGAGATGGGTTAAAGGGCACAATAAGAATAAAGGGAACCGTATTGCTGACCAGGTATCTAGGAAGGTGACAGGCCTAAGACTATTAGGACCTGAGGATCTTTTGATTGGTCAACTAAAACAATCACGGAAATTGTCAAAACGCAAACCGTGAAAAGATCGGAAGAAGGGCAAGGATGTATACTTGACAAGGTAACACTAAGTAGTAACGTTAAAAAGTCAGCATCAAAGAAGTACTTGCGAATGACCAGGAAAAATCTACGCTTGACAGTAGGTTTTTTAACTGATCATTGTAAACTAAGCAAACACCTCCACATACTGAGGTAGTAGACACCTCTATGCAGAAAGTTGTAACGAGAAGACGAAACTATAGAGCATCTTCTATGTCAATGTCCGGAATTATCGCCAATACGAGAGTACGTGTTAGGCGAGTTCTTGCCTAAACGTGCCTATATAAGGGAGATGTTCTATTGTGATTTGTCCACCTTCATGGAAATGGTAGGATGGACAATTAACTAAGGACGTCAGCTCTCTGGAAGGAAGCACAATGGGTCAATTGTGGCATAAATGCTGTGGGGACTTGATTCGCCCTCTCTACTCTACAGACAGATAAAATATTGAACAATTTTATTTTTTCTTGCTTATGATACAAATTGCAGTTTTAAAACGGATTTTTACAATTGGATGTATCAATTTAACTAAACACTTACATTTTAGTAGGGGCGAAATAGTTTTTATTCAGAGTAATGTATCAAATTGGAGACAATATGAGCAGTTATGAGTTGTCTGAGATGTTTTTTGGTTAATGTTAATATAGACTTAAGAGAAGAGAGATATGTTTCAAATCAGAGACGTTATGAGATTTTAACGTTTAGTTGGATGTACGTGGATGAAGCAAAACTATATAAAAAAGTAACTATTACTTCTAGCAAACAAAGAAGGCTTTTATAATTTTAAATTATTTTTTTAGGAATAATGCACATAGTGCACATAATACACATTCTTACTATTATAACTTTCCGGAACCGAGGTTTATACTTCAGTAATAAAAATTAAAAGTTTTATTAGAATTAAGACTTTGGAAACAGCATTCATTTATGAAGAAGAATGAATTTTTCTATCTATTGGACAAAGTAAATATAGACATTCGAGAATATACAAAGAGATATTGAGGGGAGATAACTGGAGAAAAGCAGCCAAGGAAAAGAATGCTTGGAGGCGTATGCTAGTGGAAGCCAGGGCCCGAGTTGGGTTGTAGTGCGATAGGAGCATAAGAAGGGAGGAGAATAATATAAATTATATGGAAACATAAGTTTATACCTATAAATAAGTGAAACACAGGAATACTCATGAAGACATATTTATTTAGTCATCATTTTTCATTTTTGCGTTGAAATTTATATTGAGATTTGCACAAATACCTAAAATCTAACATCACAGAATCTTTTTTATGTTTTTAATATTCTGTAGATATCTAAATTATAAAAAGTGTATGTATTCTTTATATAAAAATTAAAAATAATTGAATATATATTTTTTTTTATTTAGTGAGTTATTTCGTCAGTTACTTCGGTAATTATAGTATATAATATATGTTCCTTTAACGGTATTATTTAGATAATTAATCGGTGATAACTAAAGTATGTGAACAACAGTCATTATATTGCTCTTTTTGTTTAATGTAAGCTTAGTTTCATGGTTTCGGGTTCTGTTGGTAAAAAAGTACGGAATAAAAAAAAATCGTGAATATAATATAATATAATATTTGAATCATATTAATGATTCCAGACTATATGAAGTCGCTGGTGTTTGTCATAAAATTTTAGGACTGAATGGTCATTATCATGAGGCTAAATCAAATTAACGATATTGCAAATTAATAAAGTTTATTAGAATTAAAGCATATTTAGCATATATTTTTTAAGTATATTCTACAATACCAATAATTAACACAGTGAAAAAATATAAATTATATTACCAAATAATAATCAACCACAAATATGGTAATTAAAATTGTAATGTTTTTTCTTTTAAATATTTAAAAAATATATTAAGTATCGTCTGCAATTACAAACGTCAAGAAATTATAAATTTAATCATAATAATTTTAGTTTACTTCCAAACGTATTAAAGATTCAAATTAAATATAATGAGGAAAGTAATATGACCTTGAATTCTTTTTGGTTTCGGCAAAACTGGGATCAGCATTTTCAATTATTGCAACTGCAACCCTTGAATGTTTCATGGATACGCTTATGGTCTCTTACTTCTCTTTCTGGGTCTTGGGTCTTCAGTCTCTTATGTATTTCGATTTCCTAAATATGTCAAATATCAGCCGGGAGTTTTGTTGTATGTCAGAACTTTGTGTGAAACGTCAAACGTCAGTAATTCATTTGCAGAAGCCAAGATGGGGATTGAGTTATGTAGAGTTGTAGTCGGATGTTTTTATATAGTGAATTATTGGCTATAAAAATGTTTTTGTGTCTAAAATTGTGACAATAACGTTTGTGGATAATTTTAATGGCATTTTTTCAAGACTCTTGAAGTTTTAAGGTGAGCACTGTTGTCTTTATCCATTCATATAAAGAATAAAAGAACTCTGTTTGAGTTAATTGATGTTTATAAAATAAATACTAAGCTTAATAAATAGGTCTCTTCATGAATCATCTTTTTTTAAATATTTTGTAAACTTAAAGTGATTAATACAAACAGTTTGCTCACTATGTTTAATTCATTTGTAGGTAGAAAATGTCTAGCTATAAAAATAGAACATTACTTTTTGTGTATTACTAACAGCTTTTGAATAATACTAGATTGAATGAAACCTTTTGTTTGATTTAAAAGTAAATGACATTTAATGTACTCTTTATATTTTTGAATGCACTTTCATTCAAGTCAGTTCTGCTTTTGTATGTTTACATCTGAATGATTTATTTATAAAAATAATAGTTATACAAGCCAACAGAAATATTTGTATACAAACTGTATTGGGTCATCATGAGCTATAATATTTTCAGGTTTTATAAAAAAAGCATTCAAGTTGAATGAACACATACAAAAATTGGTTAGTTTATTAAATAACATAACTAAAATAGATATTAATTTTAATTTTTGTTTGCTGTGGCATTCTTTCCACAATATTATAAAGATGCATATCTGTTGCAATCATTTACTGTAAGACCATTTGTTAGTGATAAAATATAATGTGGCCTAATTTTCTGTTTTTAAAAATCAATTCTTTACATTTCTACAGCTAAGTTAATAAGTTTCTTTTTGCCATAGGTCTTGTGGCCAATTTATGATCTGGAAGTTGAAATTTGTTTTAATTCATTCACTATTACTTGTTTCTAATGAACTACTAAATAGACTACTATATTAAATGCACCTTTCTTTTTTGCTGCTCTGTTTATATTTTTGGCCATGACTTTTCCTGGTTTTCATTAGTTATCCTGTGTTCTATAATTTGTTTTGTTAGTATTTTTCATGCTGTATGCAAAATCTTTTAAATTGTTTTTGCTATCCCTATTGCTATGGTAATGTACTTTTTTCAGCTACCTACTTTTGCATCTAATTTTGAAGGTTGTCATTTTATGGGTTTTTGGTTCGCTCTGTATTTTTCAACTTTTATAATAATTATATATTTGTATACCTTTTTTGCTGTAAATTGTAGTTTTGGGTTACACTTGGCAGTTAATATTCTCCTGCTAAGTGTTGTATCAATGTAATAAATTGTATCTTTCCTTATATTTCCTTTTTTATTACTGTGTTTTCTTCATTACCTTGTCTCTGCTTCACTATATTTAGTGTATATTCTTCCAAAATTTATTTGTCACTTTTATATCTTCTTTTCTTCTTTCTCAGCTTTTTTCCCTTTTCAGGGCCTTTCTCAAGTCCTCTCCAAAACAGCCCTTCCATCTTCTCCTCAGTTTTCCTCTAACTCTCTTCTGATCAACTACTAACAGCGTATATAAAATACTAATAACTATTAATTATTAGCATCACATTGTATAGGGTCTTTAATTATGTTGACATCTTTAATTAAGATGACCTAACCAACGTTGTGCTCAAAGAAATAAGGATGCTGCCAAAATACACACCAAACAACAACAACTTTTTTTGGCATGTTTATAACTCACAACACACTGGATGCAACACACATTATTGTCTATGGTTGTTTACCTTCTCTCTCAGATTATCTTCTAACTGATGGTAATTTTGGTGATTAAATATATATTGTCATTCATAAAAATTTTTCTCCACGTTTATTATTATAGTGAGTTTATTAACTTCAAAATCATTTTTAATAATTAAAAGTAGAAATTCTCACTCTTGGTAGAATGTTTTTATTTTAAAACACTTGTTTCTCATGTGTTTTGCATGTATGTTTATTATATAAGTTACAGAATGAATATTCCATAATTATTCTCAACAAAATATTGCCACGAATTTCGTAATTGGCAGTATCAGGGATATGTTTTGAAACAGGTTTTAATGTAATAAAAAAATATGTCCAAAATTGAGTGGGTCAGATAGAATTTGATGATACTTGAAATTATGAATTCTGCTATGCTAATAATATATTACTAAATTGGTGTTAAATAAATACAGGCGCTACTATTAAAACATTAAACATACATAGAATTATTGAACATGTTAATATTGTTCTGAAGCTATTTTCTTGTGGCATTTTAAAGTAATTACTATTTAAATGGGAATGAGCCACAATTAAAGGTTAAAGTACATTTATTGAGATTTAAATTTCCACTTCTTAAGTTGTTCTCAAAATACAAACATTAGTAAATTAAACAATTTTTTTTTACATCAGTAAACATACTTTAACCATTAATTGTGACTTATTCCCATTTAAATAGTAATTATTGATCATCATCATCATCATTCCTCAACCTCTTGCATCCACTGTTGGATATAGGTCTCCTCCATGTTCTTCCACTGTTCTCTATCTTGTGCCTTCTGTATCCAATTTCCGACTGTTTTTCTCAAGTCCTCCATCCATCTTTTTGGTGGTCTGCCTCGGTGTCGTTTGTCTTCTCTAGGTCTCCATTCTATGAGTCTTTTGGTCCACCTATTATCATTTAAATGTGCTATATGTCCAGCCCATCTCCATTTGGCTTGTGCAATTTTTTCTATGACATCTGTCACTTTAGTCCTCTCACTATCCTATTTGTGGTACCATATCTCTTCTAGTTATTCCCAACATTGCTCTGTTGGCAATGTTGGGAATATTGATCATGTTAGTCTTAAAAATGTGTTAAAATTAATAAAAGAAAAAAGCCAGTCTTGGGGATGGTGACAAGTTAACAAAAAAAAAAAACAACAGCAATATTCTTTAATTTGATAATATAGAAAATTGTTCTAATCTTGTTACAGAATATACCAATCTTGTTTAATGTCGTTTCAGCATTTCTATGTCTAAAACAATTTTGAACTACTGGTATCTCCCCACCTTCTGGTAAAGGCAGTAGATTAATAATTTCTCACATTGGCAGTGAAAAAGGATTTGTTAAGCATGGTTTGTTGGAATTTCAGTCCAAAAGTACAAAAGACTATCATGAGGAGATGACAGCTGATGTTTTCGAAGAGTATTTTGAGCAGATACCACCAAATTCAATTATAGTATTAGATAATGCACCTTATCATTCACGGCTAGTAGAAAGACTTTCAACGATTGCATGGAAGAAACAGGATATGAATAAGTATCTGCCTTACGAAGATGGAATGGTAAAAGCAGAATTTTTAAAAATTGCCCGGCAACACAAATCTAAGTTCAAGGAATACGTAGTTAACAAAATGACGGAAAGCCGAAACATCACAGTCCTTAGACTTCCACCCTACCACTGCGAAATAAATCCAATTGAACTTATTTGGGCACAAATGAAAAGTTATGTTTCTAGAAAAAATACATCATATAAAATACAAGTTGTACGTGAATTGTTATACGAGTCTTTACAACATATTACAGAACAAAACTGGAAAGATGCAGTAAGACATGTAATAGAAGAACAAAAAATGTGGGATCTTGATAACATAATTGATGTGACCGTAGAGACACAACCGCTAATTATTAACCCTCAAGACGACTCGTATTCCAAAGTTGATCCTATTTATTTTAAATTTGAATAGTTTTCTAATCGTAATTATATAAGATAAGTAATAGTAGTTGTAATTGTATGGTATTAAAGGGGAAAGGCGCAAAGTGTTGCCTGTCAAAATGTTCAATGTGTTTTAAATATTTCCATTTTTTTTTTCAAATCCTGAGAAAACTAAAAAGCATTTATGAAAAAATTAAAGGCAGAATGAAAAATTTATTAGAATAGATAAAAAGTTTCTTTTGCATGCAATATTTTCAATTAAAAATTATACTATATTTTCTCCTTTATTTTCACCCCTGTTACATAACATATTAAAATAAACATTGTAGAAGTTTTCAGGGACTTTCTGCCCTCAGTAATAATATAATCTTTCATTCTGCGTTTAAATTTTTCAAAAAATATTTATTAGTTTTCTCCGGATTCGAAAATAATGGATACATTTAAAACACGTTGAAAATTTTGCTAGGCGACATTTGGCGCCTTTCCCCTTAATTAAATAAATGTATATTTTACAAATGGCAAGAAACTTTTTATTTTTGAATAAAATAAAGAAGTTTTATTAAAACAAAAATACAATTTACATAAGTACAATTTAAAAAATATATTTATTTAGTTCAAATAAATGTTTCAATCATATACTTTATGACACTGGTCTGTCATCTGTAACCAAACTACCTTCGTAATCGGATTACAAGGTTGACTGCTGTATTGTATTCCTTCAGATACAAGGTGGGTTAGTCGAAAACATCTTAAACCGTCAGTTTCAAGTTGGTTTTTACTTTTATATCGTATTATTATTATTACTTTATATCGTATTACCTATCCTCTCTGTATTTGAGCTCTCTAATTAGGTCTATACTTGTAGTGAGCTATCGACAAATTGTGAACCGATTATAGGTGTTATTTTAACATTTAACGTTGACTTGCATTTATTTTGATTTATTGTAAGTATATCAAGTATAATTTATTTAATTATACAATAAAAATTCACTTTTATACGCTGTAATTTGCCTATTAGTGCTTAAACGACTGTTGTACTTAATCGTTTATTCCATCTGACGTTGCTTAAGACACTGTAGACAAACAAGTTACCAAAATACGTTTTTTCAAATATATAATATATATTGTTGGCACGCATCTCTTTTATGCATATCAAGTATTTATTATTATAGTTTCTAGAATATGTATATAATCTAATTCATATTCTCTTTATGTCTATTTTTACATCTGAAATCATACATAAATGAAATGTTTGCCAACAAACATTTATTACTTTGGCAGTATTATATTATTATAACTAAGTGAGTTGTTAAAATAAAATAAACATAATAACAAGAGGCATAAAATAAAAATAACTATATAAGTAATAAAGTTACTTTAAAAATTAAATCTACATTAATTTACGGTACTTCTCAAATTCTTTAATTTTTTTTTGTATTTAGTTAAACGATGTTAAATATTATTTAACTGTTCTTTTTCTACAAAATTAAACAAATCACAGGAGGTGACAAGAAGCAACAGCAGACACGGAAGCAACCTACTTCCTTATTTTGAGTGCCAGAATAACTTCTTTAAATCGGATACTGCCAATACTTTGCCATTTGGGTGGCCTTTTCGTTGGTTGGTATTCAGTCAACAAGAGTGCATTCTTGTCTCAAGTACGTACAAATCAATATGAGCCGAGGGTTCTGCATTTCGCCACAGTTACATCTGTTATGTTCTGAATGCCTCTGATTTGACTTTTATCCTGACGTGCTACCGAGCCTATTTAGAGATGGGCATACGGTGTAAGGTAATTGGGGGGAAGTAATCTAGGGAACCAACACGCAAAGTTTCCTTCGTTCAAAGAATTAAAGCTGCGATACTCATAAAACTTCTATGAGATTTCAATTTCGTTGGATGCCTTCTTTGGCCAAATTAATATAGAATGGCGTGATTTACTTTTTTGTTTCTTTTGAGTTTAAAAACCACGGTTATTTGAATATTGAGGAAGCCATTTCTATTTTTGGGTGTATTATTCGGCTATAAAGGATGATCATGGTTATAATGATGAAGTTTACTTTTTGTGGTTTGATAACGAAAAATTATCTTTTCGGGATAATAAAAATATAAGCGAATAATTTTGCCTTTTTGTTTTCAGTTAAGACATGGACGGGCAGCGCGCGTTGGAAATGATGCCCCTTCTTCAGGAGCGGCTGGTGATACTTACCGGTGGACGGGATCGCCGAGGAGGGCCGGTTTTGTCGTTTCCTGCCAATCCTCGGCGAGAACGGGCCAAACCTGAAGATTACAGAAAGGTTTTGCAGTATTTGATGTCCATACCAAGGTGAGTCATATGTTTAAATCAGCAAAACGCGTAGAACTAGGGCAAAAAGTATAATTTTACAGTCTAACAAATATACTCTGTGCTTTCGAAATAGGTAAAATTCATAACTAGACCTAACTCCAATGTTCCGATGCATCAAGTTTCTGTTAAAAAAAGGAATGTCCAGAAAAACCTGAACGATTAATGAAGAAAAAGGAGAAATTTAGCCATAAGGTCTTTGAAAAAATATCAAAAATCTTTTTATTACACAAGTTCTGTAATTTTACCACTAATAACTTTATTATTAAATTGCTCGATATACCATGCAGAATGCAAATTATTTCAGGAATTGTTTTTTCTTTTCATAAATTTATTTATGTCAGATATCAAAGAAATAGTCAATATCATGTTTATCGATACATACAGATCAGAGTAATATACCCCCCTAGGAAGGTAACTCTCATAGAAAGTTTTGGGAGAGAGTAACTCCCATAGGTTCTAAATTTTAGGCGGCAATCAAAAAAATATGCTCTGAATTTTAGGCGCCAAAATTCAAAAACTATCTTCTTTGAGTACCGTGCCCAAGTTTTAGGCGTGGGTATCCGATTTGCCGATATCGTTCTCGATCTTGCGCGGCATGTAATACTTCATCTGCTGATAAGCCAGTCCGTTGACGAGGGTTCCGGAGCCATGAGTATTTCTTTCTACCAATTCCTCTTCTTCCGTCGATCTTTCCGTTGAGTATCAACTGCATTATCCTGTATCTGCTTCCTCTCATTATATGCCCCAGATATTCGAGTTTTCTCTTTTTTATCATCTTTATTAAGTCACCTTCACCTTGACCTACTCTGTTCAAGACTTTTCTGTTTGAAATATGAACCAATGAACCCCTCAAAAAGTATGCTTTAATGGAAAGTAAATATAGACATAAAATAAGAAATAAAATCTTATTTTATGCCAAACAATATATTCTCACCGTCCAAAAATATAGTATACACTTACACATTTTTATAAATGTATAACATAATATCTGATACACAGAGAGTATATATTATGGTACAGTAAAGTTTTTATTTAATATTTTATGATTATACAGTATTGTGCGAATTAATGGAATCACTGTGAATTTTTTTTCATTTTTTCAATATTCACAAGAAAATGTTTTGGGAATGTTTTTCATACATGGGGGTTGGATCTTTGGTGCCAATTGAAGGCATGATGAACAGCCAAAAATACAAATCCATGTTGGAAAAGTATTTGGACAGACAACTCCAAAAATGTCAAACCCAAGGAGGAGCGATTCTTCAACAGGACTCTGCTCCCTGTCACAAATTAAAGGAAATGATGGCATTTTCAAAAATAAGAAGATTAATGTTTTAGATTGGCCCGGTAATTCGCCAACCCCATTGAAAATTTATGGGCCATTTGCAAAGCTAGACTGCGAAAAATCGACTGTACCACTAAAACAAAAATGATAGAAGCGGTCATTCAGGTTTGGTATCGAGATGAAAGGATATCTGACAACTGCCAGAAACTCATAGAATCTATGCCAAAACGGGTAAAAGCAGTAATTGCTGCCAAAGGGGGACATATTTCCTACTGAATGATGTAAGTTTACCTTTATAGTTTTGTCAAAATATAATTTTTTACTAAATAAACTGTTTTTCATTAAAGCAGCCTATGATTCCATTAATTCGCACAATACTGTACCTGTTTTCCATTACATTAACAAACCAAACTCCCAAAAACAACAAGATAAAACACAGACATCCTGACACTTGTTTATTTGTATAATTTTCTTTGGTAAAGTATTGGCAACAAATATCCTCATCTTCCTCATTTCTTGAGCCCTTGTTAAGGTGTGGGTGGAGACACTCTAAATATTGTTAGCTTGCTATCTCCATTGGCTGCAATTCTGTACCAGATGGACAACTTCATGACGGGATTTTCCACCAATCTTCATTTAATCTTCCCATCGTGTTTGAGATCTTCCTTTTGATATACAGATATATATATACCATAAGGATCACTCAGACGAGTGGTGGGTGGGTTCTTATATCGGTTTCAAGGTGAAGAAATAAAAGACAAAGTTGATAGGCTACTTTATCTATTTTGAAGACGTTTCGCTTTCGTATTCTTAAAGCATCATCAGTTCATCTAAAAAGTACAATATGAGAACCACACAATCATGGAGAAGATGTTGTAAGTGTTACCTTAAAAAGACATGTAGCAGTCAATGCTATTAACAGATTTGTGAGTAAAACTCAAGTAAATGGACATTATACGGTAATATTGTATAAACAATCAATTAACTAACAACATTTAGCAACTTATTAAAAAATTAGCACAGCAATAGAACATGTGGTCTAAAGTATAAGTAATATTTTATTTTATATTAAGTAGTGAAAAAGAACTAAGAATATCATAGATTCGCTTCCAACTATTTGATAATTATTTAGCTTTGATTTTAACTTTTTTAACTTTAGGTAGCATTATTAAAGTGATTTTAATAAAAAATTATTTTAAGAAGTAGTGTAAATGAAGTTACCGATCAAAGCCTCACAGCTGCTACCGGGAAAATGGCGTTAATTGAAACAGACCGAACTAAACCGTGAAAAGACAGCCAACCTTGAGGTCAAATTTGACAGAACAGCAGGGTAGAAGTACCACCCCAAATAATTGGGCGGTCTATTTAAAAGTTTAAATGAGTTTGGATGACAACCCGCTTGTAAGAGACAAACCAATGAAAGAAATTGGTTTATTTCTCTACCTTGAGACCGATATAAGAAACCACCACTCGTCTGAGTGATCTTTATAATATATTGGATTGACGGTCGTACTCCTTTTCCGATATATATATATATATATATATATATATATATATATATATATATATATATATATATATATATATATATATATACCTCTATATTCATTAGTAATGGTTTGTTTAAGTTCCATACCTTCTAAAATACTCTGCCTTAAAGTGCCATCTGTAGATAATAAAGTGTAAACTCTAGCATTTCTGCGAGCTTGCTCTTCAGCATCATCACAAATTAGCATGTAACATTGTAATTGTAATCTAAAACATTGTATAGTATAATCCTTATTTGCCAAATGCTGCCCATGCTAGGCCTATTCGCCTCTGTATTTCATGTGTTTGATTGTCTCTGCTTATTTTGATTTCGTGTCCCAGATATTTGTAAGTTGTTTGTTGTATGGTATTATTGTCAATAGTTATATTTCCACTCATTACGAGATTTGTTACAAGTTTAGTTTTCTCAAAGTTTATCTTTAATCCTGCTCTTTCAGACAGACTTTTAAGCGAATGCATCATAGAAACTGTATCATGTAAGTTATCTGCGATTAATACATCATCTGCAAACCTTAGGTGATTTAATCTTTCTCCATCTATATACCCTACACCACATACGGGTGACTTAATAGAATCGGCACGTTATGATGTAAGTCAAACAAAAGATGGGGTTATACAGAACTGGATAAATGCGACTGTAGCTAAGTACAAAATACTAAATTTCTATTGGTTTGCACGAATTTGAATCAACGATGAACTGACTTTGACTTTAATGTCAGCCACTGATAGAGCCATTCAAACGGCTTAACATTGACAGAATAAGACCTGAAGAAGTAACAACTGGATTTACAAGAAATGTAACGGACATCATCCCATTGGATATCCTGGAGTTTACAGTATATCCTGCGGAATATGTGACAAATATTTATAAATAAGAAACCCTAAATAATAGAAATGACATCCTAAACCTACACCCAACTTAGAAATCTCTAGTAAAAACAACGAAATTCATACGCAAAATTAACTCCCCGAAAACTGTCCCAAAACAAATACCGACCTTTTCCTGGAAGCTGCATATGTGAACTTTATTAGACCGAAAAGAGATGAAATGATATTATTTCTACACATTGGCAAAAGGACCCCAGCGCTTATTTAAAAATGGTCTCAGTTAAATTGGCTGAAACTTTGCGGGAGGTAGCTTTGGTCATGCTGATAAAAAGTTTTCATTTTATCAAAAGAGCCAGAAATCAATTGTTTCTAAGTTACAGAGATTTAAAGTGTCGGTTTTAAGGGTGTTCGAATAATATACAAGTTGTTAGTAAATAAGTGCGACAAAATTTAGGGGAAAGAATAGTGATAGTTTGCTATATAAATCTATGTCTGCAAATGCTTCGTTTTGCGAGATGGGACGTTGAAATTTTTTTGTACAAACTGACGAATTATTTATAGCTCTGAAACTGGTTGAGATATACAAATGAAATTTGGAGGATTTTAAGAGGTAGTTATTGCTTATTTTTTGACATATATAGCCCAGGCTGTGGGAGAAGAAAGGGTGATTTTACACTGTAATCCAGGAATTTATGTAATGTGGCCTAATGTGTCTCAAGTACACACCAGCCCAGTTAAAAAAAATCCTAGAGGTTGTCGTGCATTGAGACGTATTCATTTTAAGGTAAAATTCTCATTATTGATGATGAAAAGTATTTTACTTTATCCAATTCCGAAATGAAGGGCAACGACCGATTTTATACACGCAATGTACAAGATGCACCGAACGAAGTTAGGTTTAAGAGAAAAGTGAAATTTGTCGATAAAATTTTGGTATCGTGTGCAATCTCAGAAGCTGGCATTTATAATCACCCCAATGATGAAATCATATTTTGGCCCGACATAGCGACACGACATTACGCCAGGAGAACGAAAGATTGGTTAACTGCTCAAAATATATATTTTGTTCCCAAGCGCGACAACCCTCCAAATGTACCTCAGGCGAGGCCTATAGAAGAGTTTTGGGTTGTTTTGAGTCGAATAGTGTATAATAATGGCTGGGAAGCCCAAAATAAAGATCAGCTAAGGATTTTGCAAAAATTTCGTGAGATCGACAGTTAGAAAGTCTGTTTGGATTGCACATACAAGACCAAATTTACGTGCCATCGAAGATCACGGACCTCTTTCTTTTCTATAAAAATTCAATATAAACCTTAAA